ACTGGAGGATAGTAAGGGGTTATCATAATACTATAATAATATAGAAGTAGGAAATCAAATCTAATTTAACCGGACTTTATTGATACTTATTTAAAACTTTGGTTATTTGCCTTCAACACAGTTTTTGTTTCTCTCATGGGCGAAACATGGTCTTGAGGTATCATAATTTTTAAATAGATTTTTTTATAAAATATAATTTATATAGATACATTATAAAAACACAAACTTGTGTATACTGACGTAAATTCTGGATCTGCCCTTGGTTTAGATGTCGTGGTCCAATCGTACGGTTGATCAACCATAAAAAGTGAAATATTTTTTACTCAAACAAAGACATGCAATAAGAATATAAGAATACATATATCGTACCAACTGCGTTTTTTTGTTCTTAAAAACAGAATAATGGAGCACGAGAATTAATTTACATTATTATTTATTCGTTAATTTGTTATTATTAAATACGACCTCGACCAGCATCTAGCTCAAACGCACTTCAAACGCTCATATACAGGGCCGAAAAAGGGGCCCCCCTTTAAAGACTTCGAAATAAGAAATGTTTTAAATTCCGACTAGACATAGACATAACATTTATTACTAATAAAACACACACACAGAAACACACAAAATAACAATAATCAAAAAAATATAAAAAAGAATGAAAGATAACAATTATTTTTTTATTTTAAAGAACAAGGTATGTTAAACAACCAAGGACTAGTAAACAACTTTCCTTTTGATATACATATGATATATATATTTGTTAAATACAAAAAGAATCTATTTCGTTTCACATTAAATTATTGATTGAAAAACTCGACAGAGAAAAATTGGTCATATTTGGAAAATAATTTGGGGCCTCCACTCTTTTGTTGCCCCGAGGCCTCCAGATCTCTAAATCAGGCCCTGTTAATATATCGTAAATCTGTGTAATTTATGCTTTATGTCAAATCTCTCAAGCGGATTGAAAATACTGTAGACATATATACCTATACTAAACCTATACGTACCTATAGTCCTACCCTACACTTGCTATACCCTAGCATCAACATTGCCTTTTCTTTTTTGCACAGACCAACTTTACATTAGCTTTCAACCCTTTTCCAATACATAATTCATTTTGTATGTATTCTTATTCTCATATATAGGTATACGTTTGCAATAATAAAATAAATATTATATAATTAATACAATTCTTTTTAATTATTGTAATCTGTCACTTAAACCCGAATAAGAAAGTATACGATACCGAAGTCAGAGTATACTTACAAACCACTACATATATTCTCGGCTGTTTTTTTACATGAGGCTGTATGTGTGCCATACACATAATTATAAAGATACAAAGTATATTATAGAAAATGGTTCAGATGAATTTAATACATTGCAAACGATGTACGCGGGTATTAACTAGTCAAATTATAAGTAAATTAAACATCTACATAGTAATAATTCCGTTTGATGCAACTTAACAGGAAACATTTACAACGTACGTTTTACTTGAATAACTCGATAATAGGTCTTTTTTATGTTAAGTAGCTAATTCACTTAATATTAGTCAATACCCAAATATAGATGATATTAAATATTGCATAATGTTATAGATTTAGATTAGATATTATCAAGGTACATTTTGTGATATATTGCGTCCCGTAATTTATAATAAAGTATTGTACGTTGTTTTAGGTAATTCTACTAATGAGAACAATAAAGTACACGAAATTCTTTATTTCGCATGATGTGATTTCTATAGTCGAATATTTTTTCGTTAAACGGAATTTATCGATTGGCGGCTGGCGCTGAATCGATGTTAACACAAGCCAGGGCCACACGGCTACATCACTTCTGTGTTCGTCATATAACAAAAATATATTTCAAAATATAATAATAAAGAAAATTAAATTGTACTTTACTTTGATACTATGTACTTTTTCTTGTGTATTATAACCAATGTACTTTAATTTAAAAAAAAAACGACGGGTTGCACTCCGGGAGTGCCGGCAGAAGTGAAAATTGAATATTAACGTTGTGCATTTTTGATATTTTCGAATGGTTAGGGAATAATTTTGCACGAATTGCTTTAATTATCAATATAAAAGTACTATCATTTATATGGTAGAATACAATATTTATTTATTGCGCTATCGTACACAAACATGACAATTTATATTACATTAAATACGCCGCGCCAGCTGTCTACTCTCCATCCGTCTTACGAATTTTCGATCAGCCCTGCGATTCTGTAACTCACTTTTCAAACTCACACAGCGGTTTTCGCATCGGCGGTCGCTCTCAAATCAGTCGTGAAGCAGTCATTTTATGATTTGGCATTCTGATAAACAATAAACTACAAGCTCCCACCTTTTCTGATAAACAATAAACTACAAGCTCCCACCTTTTCTGAATGCCAAATCATAAAATGACTGCTTCACGACTGATTTGAGAGCGACTGCCGATGCGAAAACCGCTGTGTGAGTTCGAAAAGTGAGTTGCAGAATCGCAGGGCTGGTCACGTGTCCTGATTAGAATTTAACATTTTTTACCCATTCCAAAAAAAGTGTACAACGCCGCTAATGAAGTTTTCACTTCAAAAAGGTGGCAACCCTAGATATAGCTATCTGGAGGTCTCAAGCCGAACGTCCACCGCCGGCTAAACTAAATGAAAACTAAACTCAGTGAACTAAGCTAAGCTAAACTAGAACTACGTTGTCCGTCCACCAATAAATAAGCTAAAACTACGTTAGTGATGGCCAGTTTGTGCCAGAACGTCGAGTTAGAAGACGACACGAGCAATGACGAGACTTTAGAGGAGGACTATCTTCATAGGAGAAGAAGACTGGATACTGGATATGACTTATCCAGTATCAGTCCTGGAAAACAAGTAGCGAATTTGACACTTTGTTTAATGAACTAGACGACGAAAATTTTAAGATGTACTATCGTGTATCTAGTCAACAGTTTGATGAGTTACTGTCACAACAATGTCGACAGGCCTTAGAGGGGTAAGGCAAGGGGGTGAGTGGCGCTTAGTTTAGCTCAGTTAAGCCGAACGTCCACCGCCGGCTAAACTAAATGAAAACTAAACTCAGTGAACTAAGCTAAGCTAAACTAGAACTACGTTGTCCTTCCACCAATAAATAAGCTAAAACTACCTTAGTGATGGCCAGTTTGTGCTAGAACGTCGAGTTAGAAGACGACACGAGCAATGACGAGACTTTAGATGTAAGAGAGGAGGAGGAGGTCTTTAGGAGGTCTATCGTCATAGGAGAAGAACATTGATTATTGCTTATTTTATGAAGAAAAAACGGAAACATAGATACTGGATACGTGAACACATTCAGTCCTGGAAAACAAGTAGCGAATTTAACACTTAGTTTAATGAACTAGACGACGAAAATTTTAAGATGTACTATCGTGTATCTACAATAGTTTGATGAGTTACTGACTACTGTCACAACACTGTCGACAGGCGTCAGAGGGGTAAGGCAAGGGGGTGAGAGGCGCTTAGTTTAGCTCAGTTAGTTACGGATCGGGCGCACAACTAAGTTAGTTCCACTTGGCTGGGGCATTTCACGTAGCTTAGCTGGAATAGTTTGCGGTGGACGCACATTTATGAAAAACTGGCTCAAATATGCGAGCTAAGCTAAACTAACTTAGTTTAGCCGGCGGTGGACGTTAGGCTTAATACGCGTTGCAGACCAAGAGCTAAGCTACGTTAGTTTAGCTTAGCTCGCATAGTTGACCCAATTTTCCATACGTCTGTGCAGACCGCAAACTATGCGAACTAAGCTATGAGAGCTAACTAAAATAAGCGAAGCTAAGTTAGTTGTGTATGCCGATGCGCAGCTACACGAGCTAAGCTAAGCCCCTCCCGCTACCCCGCACACCCTTTGCACATAGTATGCAACACTGACTGAGCTTTGGGTTAGCTGTTGGTGTGCACGCTATTTATTTCTAGCTTAGCTTAGCCTAGCTTGCTTGGCATAGCTTAGTTTAGCCTTGGCATAGCTTAGTTTTCGGTCTGCAACCGGCTTCAGGGTACAAAACACGATGTGGCGTTACGGCGCGTCAACAAGCCATTAAATAGTAGTATTCGTTTATCTTCCTATAATTTCAATTTTTTCTTCTAATATTTTTTTTTATCTAGTTTTTTTTGTGAACTTTTTCCCGCCTATGTAAATGTCAAAACAATTCACTTCAAAGGCACTCCCAATAGTGGATGATTAGTATGATCCTGAAGTTTTTCTGAGGAAATAAGATGTAGTTCTCCCAATATACAGAGCGGTGATGTCGCCTTAAGACCGCACCTAAACTAAACATGAAAATTGAGAATACTGGGCAGTTTATGAAAATTTTTCTTACATTTGTCTTAAAATAAAATTTTATTAAAAAATTCTCAAATTATTTAGAAAAGCTTCTTTACAGATAGTTGTGGCATAAGCTACTATTAAACATATAAGGGTATATGAACATGAAAGGGAAGTATAAGTCCTTATAATTATTGTACTTCCTGCACATCTTTGTAAAATAAAATATCTCCCAAATGTGATTAGCTCGAAGACATTGATCATTCAATGGACACCAACTACTTTTAGTGAATTCTATTCCTTATATGAGTTCTGAGCCAAAAGTGTAAATAAATAATATCATGTTACATTTTTGATCCCTAGATTAAGAATTTGTAAATAAAATTTCATATTCAATTTTATTCAATTTATTTAAATATTCCAATAATTACTATCAGTACATAAAACTATTCTACTTAAAAATACATAATATATTTGATTTTCCTTAAAATCATATATCTACATTTATATGTAACACTACAAGAACCTCAATTCAATTATACAAAAGGTGACTGTTCAAAAAATAAATTTGTCATATTGTATTAGTATATGCTCGATGTTTCAAATAAATAATTAAAAATGAATTTCAGTCAATAAAAGTACCTCACTTGCAAAATGCAAAAAAACAAGAGATATATAATTTGTAGCAAATCATTGTTATGCTGATTTAAGAATACCTTTACTTTCTAATTCCTTTTCAACAATTGTTCCTTCATATTTAATTTTATTTTTAACAGCTTCTTGTAGTAATTCCGCGTCAAACCTCTGTTTAGACCACTGCCATCTACAATATGACCAGTATATAAGTGTGGTCATAGTAAAGGTGCCAAATCCAATATGCTGTGATAACATGGGTTTAGACGTCTTCATAAATGATCCAAATCCTACACCAACTCCTGATACTATTCCATAGAAAAAGCTTTCACGAAAACAAGGTATCTTTGATAAATCTCTTCCAAACAATACCAAACCCTGAAAAATAATCTAATTATTGTAATCATAGGTTTCATTTATGCATAAGCATTAAATTTGCTATTTATTTATGCTATAACGGCTATCTGTGCAGTTATGTTTTGATAAACTATAAACAAGCAAATTACTTATTAATAACCCGACAATGTTGCAAAAATGTTGTTATGCCGAAAAGGTTATGTTATGTAGAAAATATTAAACACAACACCTGTTTTTCTTCCTCTGCATCATCTTCTAACATACTTTTAACAACCGTATCCATTTTAAAAGGATTTTAAAAAAGGTCTTTGTTTTAATGCGGAAATCAGTAATGTTGATAATGGATCATAAGTTTGAAATTTGAATTAGGGATGCTCGCGAATCGATGATCATCGATGTTAAAAGTAAAAACATCGATGTTGCTTTACCAAAAATATCGTAAGATTGATGGTAACTGAATCGAACATCGATGTTAACTCACGGCCTCCCACTCGACCAACTTACGAAACAAATTATCTCTACTATGAACGCATCCACAAATCAGGTTTATAAAAATTTTGAACGCGTATTTATTCTTTGCGCCCAGGTCGTTCCCTTCATTCGTTCTTCGTAGTCTCGCTCCCTCTTTTCTCTCACTTTTCCTCACTTCTCTTTATCAACAAAGAAATATATTAAAAGGTTCTTCTTTATCAACATTACTTTTCATTCATTCAGTTGATCTCGGAAAAAAATATCGGAATATGTAATAATTTGTTCTGTTTCTTAATCAATTTCGAACCATTTCACTGTATTTTATTTCTTTGTCAATTATTATTAATTCAAAAATCATCGATGTTTGGTTTTCGATAAATATCGAACTACGATGTGCAGCTTTCGATTATGACATCGATGTCAATATCGATGTTTTTCTAACATCGATCATCCCTAATTTTAATATAAACTTTATAAAGATTAAGGTAATATTTTCTGTTTCGACAACAATAATTATTGTAATTTCACAGAATAAATAAGAAGCTAGTGCAAATAAAAAAAATATACATGATAGTGACAAGATAATACAATTCTATCATGTTCAGCAGTCATGGTTTTATTACTCAAGTTAAAAACATGAGACTTGACAGCTTAGATTGACAGTTAACAGATGACAATTGTAAACCGAAGGAAAGTTGAAAAAAACATTTATTAAAAATTCTGCAAAATCTGTTCAGTATTCTTTCGGCCGGGTCTTTCCCATAATAATTTATATATAGTGTTTTTCTGATTAAAACTTGAAAGAATTGTGTTTAATATGGATTATTGGTGACTAAATAAAGAATACGTCAAAACTAAAACCATACTTTTCCAGAAATCAATAAAGCTAATGGGGTGTTTTCTTAATTTCGGTTCTGTTATCTCTTCAAATACATTTAGACCAGCGTCAGAGACATTTGCATTAGTATAAATATAACAGTTAAAACTATGCGCGGAGCTGCTGCAAATGATGTGAAATCGTTTTATGATTGGTAAGTGGACTGGTTTCTATCATTAAACCTCAGTAGAAATTTTCTAAAACATGTTTCTTACTCCAGAGTTTTTTTAAATAGATCAATCATTTTAGATAAAAATTTTGTAATTTTAACTCTATTGGCAGGCTTAAATTGAAGAAGAGAGCCCTATTTTATACATTCAGCATATATATTCATTTTGTAACAAATTTAATATGTTAAATTTTTAAAATAATATAGCATGGAATATCTACTGCAAATGGCCAGTAAAAAACATGTTAACTATTAAAATATATTATTCCTTCTAAAGCCAAATGCTTTCTGGAAGTTTAGAATGAAATAAAATTGAAATAGTTTTAATATAACTGTTAATATATATTATCATTAATACACACATTACTTACTCTGAAATGGATCAATTTGTTGCGAGAATTGGTATTGCATGGTAGCTTCATTGTCACTTTTAATTAATAAAAATTTAAACAAAAGATATTTTTTGTAAATAATATTTTTGTGGTCATCATATTTCATACTCAATTTATTTATCTTTTCTCCAGAAGTTAAAATTTATCCTGTACTACTTAAGTAAAATCAATAATGTAACTAGATTTCCTGTATTGTTACAAATATCTGTCTGTTATAACATAAATTGTTGATAGTTTTTACTTCACATAATAATAATTGTTTCTATTGCCTCCAATTACGTCTGAACATGGATCAGATAAATTCTAACATACTGGCACCAGCACTCTGTAACTTAATAGCAAATGCAATCACAGCTTCAATGTTCAGTTTTAGTACTGAATACTCATACAAAACTTTAGATTGCTGTCGCTATTTTAAGTTACTGAGAACTGGCTCTAATATAGCTAAAACTGTATATCACCTTGTGACTTACTAGTTAAATTTTAACGTGTAGTTTGAATTTTAATATGAATTTACCATAAAATTTACATAATAATTAAAAAAGTTAATTTGTGAATTTGATGATGTCTTTATAATTTAGTAAATGCTATGTAAATGAATCCATTTAGTGATATACTATGTAATAATTAAGTAAATTTTGCATGAATGACTGCCGATATTAAGCAATCTAAATGATCAAACGAAGTTTTTATAGAACGTAGAGTTGCCGTTTTTCAATAGGTCAAAGGTATATTTACTGTAATATAACTTTATCATAAATATCAGCATATTTTTATATAACATACATTCCTCGTATTTAGTAATTTGAAACAGTTATAACTAGCTCAGGTTGCTTTTCATATGAATTTGTTTATGACGTTCGTTTCTTACCGGGATATTTTACGACTGTATTCTCCTAAAGGAGCAATACTAGAAGAGTCGATACATTTAATAAACTTTGGAACCTGAACGATTCTTCAATTAAAAAATACAACAAAAATTGAACAGTATTTTGTCCGAATAAAGTTACTTTCTAATTGTCAGGAACATCTGGCTACGATCTAACGATTTGTACCGTCTCGAAGGGCAGGTAGGTTGTACGGGAATTAAACCTCAAAGGCTGTGAAATGTCAAGGCTTGTGACATCGCACGAGGTGCCTTAAAGATTAAATTCCGTACTTGTTCAAGTATAACTCTTGAAAGCCAATCGCTGCTTAAATGTGAAAACAATTCGTAGTATAGAAAAAATTTCATGTTTGTTAAAAAAAAGTTTGTAATGATAGTCATTTTAAAATATGTAAGTATAGGTATATCACTTTAGCATTTCCCAAGCTAGCCAAGTAGGTCTGTCTTTCGAAGCAAAACAATTATGTTTAGTCATAAATGTAAATAACTTTTACATGCCGACTTTGGTTTAGACAAAAACGTAGGTATGGTTTTTTTAATAATTGATAAAAGATGTAATTATGTTCAGAAAATATCTTGCAAATATAATATACTAAGATTTACAAAGTGCGACATCTTATGTGTTTATTGCACACTAGTTATATCACTATGTTAACTAAAGATAAATAATTATTATCAATGCTTAAGTACAGAGGATTTAGAACTGAATTTCTTGACATTGAAAGGATTTTGCAAATTTAACGTCAGTAGATAAAAAAAATGTTTTATTTTACATGACAATTTACTAGCACTTACGACTATTTAAAATAAATTTAATCATATATGGACGGCTCATTGGTCTAAGTGGTTAGTACCCCTGACTGCGAATCCATGGGTCCCGGGTTCGATCCCCGGCTGAGACAAACATCGATGTGATGAGCATTTGGTGTTGTGCTTAAGTCTTGAGTGTTTAAATATGTATTTATATGTCTATCTGTCTATAATATGTATGTATATCCGTTGCCTAGTACCCATAACACAAGCTTCACCAGCTTAGCATGGGACTAGGTCAATTGGTGTGAAATGTCCAATAAAAAAAATGAAAAAAAAAACTTCTAATATTATTATATTCTAGACAATAGTGACCTTGATGTCGAAATGAAAAAAAATACCTACATTGAATTAATCGTGTCACAAAAATCATTTTTAAAATGATTTTATCCAATAACATTTTCTTGTAAATGTAAGTATGATTCTGGACTACGAAGCTTGTCCTATATTTAGTAAAGTCAGCTGAAGTTGGCGTAACCTTCGCAACTAGTGTTGAAACGTTCCGTGTGAATCAGAATGTACCGGTGTTTCACTTGTTCGCCTGAAATAGTCAGTGTTGTGGAGCAATCAGGCGCGTTAGCAGCAAGACTGCGTCTTCGCACTTGGCACAAACTGCCAATATACATATTAATTATATGATACAGATAAGCGTACTTCAAGGCACTTCATATCCAGAAACGAAAAGTGAGAGGGGTTTGCACCAGTCGCCTTGTTGTTGCTCGTGTATCAGTGGAGACATTCAGTAAGACATATGTTCTGTGTTATGTGTATTACTAAGTGGTTATAAGGAATTACAAATCAGTAAGTTATGCATTTTTTTAGCTTTTATAAACATCTAGCTATACTATGGTGCTATAAGTTTCTGTACATAAAAAATAGTTTTTAGTTATACTCTCGTTTAAATAAGGATTTATAATCTTTCTGAATTATGTCGGTGTGTATAAGAATGCAATTTCGATAACATTCATATCAATATATTGATAAAACTCGTAAATAATGCCATTTAAATGTGATTATTTCGACAAAATTAAGCCTCGGTATCCTTGAAAACGTATAAAGAATATCAATAATTTAAACTTTTAACAGACCCGGTCATAATCGAAGTTGTTTTGATACAGGAAAAGTTGTATTGAAAGAAGTCACATTCAATTTTAAGTTTATTATATGAGATCAACAACGTAAGTAACGTTAAATAAAATAATATATTTAAAAAAATACAGCGTAATTCAAAATGGGTTTCTGGCTTATATTTTATGAAATATTTTTACTTATATATGAATTATATAGTAGGTAACCAAGTACTCAGAATCAGACGTAGATATGTAATCTGATATTTGGCCTACAAATAGAGATATCGATCGATATCTATTATAATTTAAATTACCACATTACAATCTAATGCTTACATGGAAAAATACCTGCTTTGAGGTTTGACTTATATGTAATTACATAAACTAATATTAATTCATAAAATTATTGCAGTTTTCTTTGATAGTCAAATATGAAAAATATTACGGCCCGGTGCTTACGTACTATAGAATTATCATACAAATATTTGACACAGAAGACATTAGCATTAACTGACAATTGCTGTTGCTTCTAGAACGTAAAAACCTAAACATGCCAAGAGTTATCTTTACGTCCCGTGTCTTTGAAGTCTGACATAATGCTCAAAACGATTGTGCTCAAGAAGTATGAGAATACGAGTCATAATCCAACGTTTGCATAATTCAGTTGGAATTCTACCACTATTTACAATTTGCGATAAGGTTGTTTCAGTCATAATTGATACATAAAGTAATAATCGTATAACATAATTTGCTTAGGATTATGCTAACGAAAATTGACATTCTTGATTTTTATTATCCAGTTACACTGCTGCTTTGTTGAGAACTATTTCTATATCGCCTTCAACTTTATCAGTTATGAATATTCCGTGCCTTCTGGCTGAATCTGTTTTAAACATACCGTCGACACTTATAATTGCTCTTGATATTTGTCCCGTATTATATCCGCTACGATGTCACGAGGTAGCATTGTCGCCCTCGCCGTCTTTGTTATTGACGTCCTTGCGGTTCTTCCTGGCCGCCGATTGAAGTACACGTAAACATTGTAAACAAGTTGTCTTGTGTCAGCTGGCAGTTCCACTCTCGAATCTTCCGCGCTCTCCATCCCTCTACCGTTGTACAATCTCCTCCAACTGAACATTGTCCAAGCAGTCATTGCTTTGTCGCCGTATTGCGCCGTTTTGATCACCGAAATTGAACCTCGCGGCAACAAATCAAATCTTCACTGATTCTGGTGTTGTCTGTTAGACTGATCACTTGCGACTGGTTGTTCTACCCTTCTATGTATTGTAAGTAGAGTATTGAAAGTCTGTTCGTATCGTCTTTATTTCCGGTAACTTTGCGTGATCGCAATTAAAGTAGTGTCTTTGGTATGGGATTCGATTTTGGTATGCAGTATGACACTTAATTTTTATATCACATCAATTCTTATGGTCATCCGACCGTTAGAATAATTAACTGCAAATTTTTCTACTGCCATATTAAGATAATTGTTTTGTATTTATATACATTTCTATATATATAAAATTCTCGTGTCACAATGTTCGTTCCATACTCTTCCGAAACGGCTCGACCGATTCTTATGAAATTTTTTATGCATACTCAGTAAGTTTGAAAATCGGCTACTATCTATATTTCAAACCCCTAAGTGATCCATGTCCACCCCATAATTTAATTTTTAATTTTTTGGATAACATTTTTATTATTTTATTATGTGGCGTTAAAAAATACATACAACCCTAAATTTTCACCCCTCTATGATCAACCCCTATTATATGTATAGGAGGTAGTTATTTTTATTGAACTAAAAAAATGTTTCCTATAAATAATATATGTACTATATGGCAAAACAACGTTTGCCGGGTCGGCTAGTTATATATAATTTTAATGTTTACCTTAAATACAAATAATGGTATGTAAGTAACAAAGCATTTTGGATTTACGTGTGTAGGTGCGCTTAAATTACCATGACCTATCAAGAACTTCAATTCGAATAGTTGATAGTTATGCGGCCTTGTAACGAATTGCGTAACAGACTTAATTGACGAAGCCCATCTTTCAGTATCAGAACTATTGAGTGTTTAAGACTCAAAGTTTATATGTCTCTTATTATATAACGGTAGCTATGAGTAGTCAAAAAAGTAGACGGAAACTGCACTATAGACAATAATAGAGTGGGTAATTTTATGGTTGCTTAAAGCGTAACAGTGTCACTGTCCTCGCTTTTGTTTATGGACGGTGATCGGTGATAACTGTTATTCGTAATGTTTGTGAAATATGCTCTGTAAAACTGCGAATGTCCCGTCATACTATATACAGATTCCAGAGGAAGGGCGTGTAATCGCACCTGCTATTTTTTACTGTACATGTGCCATATGCAAGCATTTGTCTTATACTGAAGCCAACATGTCGATCTATTACATATTCTCTCTACTCCATTAGGCCAATAGAGTTAATAAAGCGATCTGAAGCAGTTAAAAGGAAATCGTATCGACAAAAAATTGTTAATCTAGAAATCTTACTGTGATTCATTTTACAGAATAATATCATAAAATTATAATATGTTTCATTAGAAAACCGATGTGGTTTGTATAAATGTAACCATAGCATTTATTCTAATACTATATATTTTATAAAACAAAATTATTTTTATTGTTTGTAAGCATATCCTAACAATAGCCCTTCTCAGACTTGCGAAACTTGATCGTGTGAAAGTGAAACCATTTAAGGGTGTAAATGTATAATTTTATTTTTTCTGTTGCTGGGTAAAACGGAATTATTCTCGTACAATTATTAAGTTAACTTGAAAATCTATGATTTGTCGCAATACCGACTGGTTACTTGGCGTTAGTATCTTAACCCAGATTTCAATGATTTCATTCAACAGTTCAATTGATAAATCTCAAGTCCAGATAATAATTACTATGTGAACGAGGAGCTGGATAGTATCGGTTCCGATTTATTAATATTGATTAGCGTATGGCATATTATTAGCTTGTAAATTTATTTGAAATTCGCGTCGGTGTTAAATGAACTTGTAAATAATAAAATTTATCAATGACATTAAATTTTTCATAGTAATTGGCAATGGCAATATTTAAGCTTTAATAATTGCGAATTTTGAGAAAAAAGAGATTGATATTGAAACGGAAAAAAAATCTTTACACCAATTTATCGACTAGACTAACGTGTTATCTCGCTACCAAAGTAACCTTACAAGTTTAGATACTAAACGCCGTTGGAATTCTTTGTGATGACTCAAGAGTGTGACTCAACAAGGAATTGAAAGTATCAGTTCAACTGTTCACTGCATTTCGTGTTGATCATTTCCTCATATTTTCAGTCGAAAGAGGAACTTTGGATCATTGTAGGAGTTAATGTCATCAGTCGCAATGCCAAATGCCAATAAACGAGCTCCCGTAACACCTGCGTCCGTCCCGCTCGCACGCGCCGCCTGCGCCCGCGCCGGCTTAACAGCTGTTGCAATCCCAACGGATGTGAGAGCTTTGCCATTTCGTACACTTCAATCCCTGTGAACCTAATATTTAAGTGGCTTTACATATTCATTAAACTTAACAATTGAAGAAGTCGCTCTGAAAATTTCTAAACTGCCTGAAATCGCCTGACTAGTAATCGGCGCGCCAAGTTGGATACTGCATAATTTATAAACTTTATCGAATTCAAATTAAAGCTATCTTGTCTAATATGATGATCTCACCGGTCGTCAATCTTGACAATGCAAAGGAGTAAGGACCGGTCGGCGGGCTGAGGGGCGAGGCACGGGACGGAAGGGGCTTCACTCGCAGGGTTTGCGCGATTCACGCACGCCGCATGCCTCGAGTCGCGACTCGCGACCGACCACTCAGTTCGGCTCCACAGTAAACTTGTCCGCCTCACGCGCGGCGCGCGCGCTTCCTTCAACCGTATTTCTTAATATTTACTTATTTTATCTAGTCAAAATGTAGATCAGTGCTTACCGTAAACAACTAGTGCATTTTTAAAAATATGAGTGCGTTAATTTAAAAAATCGTTACATTCTACGGTCCGAAGAACAATGCTGTGGGAAAAAATAACGTTCAGCTGGCATCGGCACTCGTTCCCAGCTACCTACCTACCCCCCTCGCCCCGCGGACCCGGTACCGGGTTCAATGCGCCTCTCTGCGTTTATTCATCGTTTGTGGGAAAAGTTGACCCCCATTTTTAAATTTTTATTGTTAACGAATTCACACGATTTCGAGTCGACTACCGCATCTTAAACCTGCATCCCTACTTTGTTTTATAAAATAATTAAGAGTGTAATGAGACAATAAACCTTGTAAGTAGATAAAAGAAAAACATAAGATAAATTGTAAAAAATAAATCCGTGAATAAACATCAAGGTTGCAACATTCGTGGAAGTGTAGTGTTTGTGTTGTGCTTTGCCATGTTTGTTGAGTTTAAACTTCTTCGAAATTATCTGTCTGTGCGACGAATGGGATCCAGTTGTCATTGGAGGACGTAGCCGCTTGAGCAACTAGTGTACTCACTACACGTGCATATTATGAAAGAACCGTTACTATGATAATTATATTAAAGATATATAAAGTGAACATTCGGGGGTGGACGGCGAAGTTGTGAATATAGTGTTGTTTCAAAGTTATTACTATCTTTCAAAATGGGCAATCAGGGATCATCACCGCATGAACCGCTGGATCATGTCCAGGCGCAGAATCCAGATTTGAAAATGGTACGATCTTTAATTTATTTATGATTTAATGTAATTACGATTTCTAATATTCGTCATATCGAATTAGTCATTTAATTTGTACTCAATCAATTGACCTAGTCCGTTGTATCTCCGTTTATTGCTAATTTAAGCTTACCTCATAGCAGTTTACTATACTAATGAATTTATGTATGCTAGTTTACTTTTAACAACGCAACCTATTTGCATAACAAATGACGAATTGGAGCAGAACTTTTTTGTTAGAACATCGCTGGTAAATTTCAGTTTAGGTATAAAGATAAGATCAGTATATGCATGTATTCCTATAGAATAACTACTAGTCTGGATATCATAGTATTTGAAAAGGAATAAATGAATATTATAAAATAGTAATAAATTCGAAACAAATGTATACGTAGTTTATACTAGGCAAAAAAATGGGATTTTTTTAAATATCTATAATTAACCATTTTTAACATAACACAATCTGAATTGTCAAAATTATCTGTTTCTATCTGTCAAACTGTGTTTACGCTGCGATAAAGACAGACAAATGATTCTTTAGTTAAAACCGCAATTATACAGATTTTTTATGAATATAGTTATTTTGGAAATATATTCTTAGTTGCTTAGCGATTGGAAACGTTTTAGAAATCCGTCGACCGAATTTGATGATACTGATTATGTAGGTGTCTCGGCTGCCGGAGTTGCGTCTAAGTATTAAAAAAATGATTTAAATTTTTGTGAAATGTATTGAAATTCGTAAACAAACTGTACATTTTCTACTTTTCTATTGGTTATTAGAGATGTGGCATTCGGCATAAAAAATGGTTTTTTTAAGTAATCGATTGTTTTTTAGCATGAAAAATCTATGAATAAAAAATAATCTATGAAGAAAAAATCACAGATATAAATAAATCGCATCGTAGATATAAATAAATCTGCTAAAGCTCGGACCCTTTTCACGCTTCCATTGAAAAAATAGTTTAATAAACTAGGTTTATTTTTGTTATTAAGTAGTTTACGCACGATATTCTTTAGAAATAGGGCTTATAACATGAACACGTGTTTAATTGAGGTTTTAAGTACATTATCGTGCGAATCTATTTGTTGCACTCATCAATACGACCCCATGTTACTAACGAACGACAAGGACAGTTCTATTAACATCTGTTTATTAGACTGTTAAATACTTTAATCCTGTTTGTTCTAGAATTTGTAATATGATATACATTAAATACCTTTTTATGTGTAAAAACCTTTAATGTTATTTACTTTTATTAATCTATATGTAAATTAAAATCAAATAAACGTACAATTGAAGATACGTTGAACTGGGTGTTAATAATTGAATTTCACTTGGGAAGCTAACCGGTTAAAATCAGGAAAAAATATTATGACATGACTACAGATGCAACGCCAGATATTAATTATATATTAAACGAATATATCAACATATATACAATTCTTAAATTGATACGCTCTTTTCTTGACCATATGTCGAATGTTTCTAAACTATTTTTAACTCCTGATGAAAGGTATTTTTTAATAAGCTCGGCAAACCGTTTCTTACTAAAATTACGTAATAATAAAAATATGTCCATGATTTTGCAAGACGAAATACGTGATGTATACTTCTAGGAATCGAATTTTGACTTATTCACCGTCACAGTCATTAACTTATAACGTGACCTATCAGCTGTTCATGTTTCTTTTAAAAATTTATGATTAACTCCAGCATTGTTACAATTTGTGTTTTAGACTTTTTTTTATAATATATACATATTATATGCGGAAAACTAGTTTCGCACCTCGTCACTATTAATTATACATCACTGTTTTCTTTCATTGTCTTTGCTGGAATACGTTGCTTAGAGACCGCCCTTTGCACAACGTAATTTTGTGTTGTTTTATTATTTATACAGATACCGGCAAACATCTTGAACAAATGCCTGCGCAGAAGCTATTTTAGGTATCACTGAGAGGCGGGCGGCGGGAGTGTGACGTGTCGATCGCGTGATTGGTAAATCAGTTGATGTTTGTGTTCCGCGCTGCGCAAACTTTCCCCCACTCCCTTGTTTAATGTTCAAGATGTGTGCCGGTATCTGTATTATTATTAAATAAATAAATTTATTTAATGCATTAAATATACATAAACGGGATATATGAAATAAAAATAGCCTTTATTCGAGTAATACACTACACTAAGTCCATGTCATTATGTTTTACAATAGTACTCGACCTCCGAGTGAAGGCCTCTTCTAAAATCTTCCACTTGTCTCTCATCCTCGCGACAATTTTCCAATTCCGCCCCGCTATCACTTTTATTCCATCTCCCGTGTCTCTCGTGTCCAGTTTCTGGTCGGCGTCCTCTCTCTCTCTCTTTATCACATAAACGTGATACGATATATTAATGTTATGAAAAATTACTCGGTGGACAATTTCAGCAACTCCATAGAGTTTTAGAATTGCTGTGTTAATTGCTATTATTATTATTTTCTTTATTCCTACGTAATTATGTATTTACAGTGTATATTCGCGGATGCTTGGCGGACCCATGCGACTTCTTTTATACAAAGAGTCCCCTCGTGAGTGGTGTGCTGCGCCTTCATATGTTATTTTCACACATGTATATCCTTTCTATAACATATTTTCTGAGCAAAAATTAAATAATCACAATAAGTATTATCTTCGTATAGAATCTTCCTACAATAGGTAGATAGACTTAATGGTTTATTTGCATATAGTAGGCACCTATGTGTCACACATACAGGAATTAACAATTGATTTGTATTCATAATGAACCTCTAACAATCGTTGCCTACGTTTTTAAGTACGCGACAGGAAAATTAATAGTTCTATAAAGAAGCTATTCGAAGTGATTAAATATAGTAGTTCGTTAGTTTTTTACAATATTAAAGGAATTTTTATATAACTTAGTGTCAATGGCAATTAGAATTCTTAAATTCTATTTTAAATGTCATTTGGGCGCTTTCTTTGTTATTCCTTGACTAAAATAAAATGCCTTAGAAAATTAAGTTTTTATTAAATTATTTAATAAGCACACTGTACTTTTGGTTCGGATATAGTAAAAAACTTAGTATACCTATACGTAATGAAATCTTGAGATTCAAAAACGAGGCTTAGCGCTGTCTGACTCTCATACAATCCGAAAATAAAAAATCACAAACAAAAATGCACTGGATCTTGATGTACAGCCTTGCGATTGTGTAACTCACTTTTCGAACTCTCACAAGTCACAGCGGTTTCCGCAGTGGCGGTCGCGCTCAAATCAGTCCTGAAGCAGTCATTTTACGATTTGGCATTCTGATAAGGAGGGAGCTTGTAGTTTATTGGAATCTCAACCCTTAGGCTCCACACATCTCCACCTGGCGATGATTCACAAGATCCCACTGAAAGTTCAAATCGTATAAATTAATGATTTGTAGTATTAGGGTACTTAATATCTCGAATTCCGGTATAACCATCTTGCCACAAAAAATTCGATAAAAAAATTATTTATTAATTTGAAAAAAAATTATTTGACTAAACCTTCTTTAGTTAACTTTCAATTTTAATTGAACATTACGGTATGATATACAATGATTAACCCCAAGTCGTTATTGAATGTTTTGCCCTTATCATTCTGTCACATAATATGTAACTTATGAATGCTTATAGTACTTTGGTCTAGAAGAGGTAAGAGTTTTCAGAAGAAGTTGTCAACAACTTATAACAAATCTAAATAAAACTAAATTGTTATCTTATCGTGACACAATTACCACTGCAGTACAATTCTTAAAAACACGAAAAAATGTAATCTATCTGCGACAGCGCGTCGTGATTACAAGTGTAAATAAAACACGAATTCCGCGTACATTTCGTACGTTTCATGAAAAGAAATAATATCAAATTACAGGAGAGTATGATACTCTTACAAGACAACTACCTGAAACGTCGGGTCGGAGTCACGACCCACAAGTATAGCCAGACGCAGGCACTCTTCAGAATTACAAAGCATTAATTTCGATTAACATTTAATTTATTAGAATTATTATTTTGTTATATGTGAGTGGTTAATACATAGAAAAACTTTTTTAGTTCAATAAAAATAACTCTCTATTAATTATTGATTTATGGTTGATGGTAGAGGGGTAACAATTAAGGGTTGTATGTATTTTTGTATGCTGTATCTTAAAAACAAAAAAACAAAAAGTTTTGTCTAAAAAATTAAAATTTAGGGGTATAAAAAATAATTGTTGTCCGATTCTCTGACTTAATATATGCATAAAAACTTTCATAAGAATCGGTCAAGCCGTTTCAGAGGAGTATGGGAACGAACATTGTTACACGAGAATTATATATATATTAAATAATATCCATCTATTCTTTAAAGCATCACGTTGACCCAGGAACCGTACAGTACACATTCAACAAGACTTTGGTCACTTGTGTATTAGGGAGCGTTCAAGTATTACGTCACGCAATTTTTGGAGATTATTGACACCCCCCAACCCCAAGTAACGCGCCGTAACATTTTTCTGTACTTAACCCAACCCCCCTTTACTGTACCCAAGTATAGTAAAACGTTTCGTGACCACCTAGTGACTCTTTATACCTAAAAGTTACCATTATATGGTGTAAAGTACTGGAAAGGCGAAAATAATATTAACAATAACGCGTAATTCAATCCCCGCCCCGCTTCGTAACGTTTTAAAAAAGGATCCCCCCCTCCCCCAAATTCGTTACCTAATACTTGAACACTCCCTTAGCGTTGTATGCGGTTGCATGTTGGTTGTATATTCGTCTGACAAATTTTAGAAAAAAATACTGTTCCAAATATGTACTAGGCGTAATTGCTGTGCAATGCATTCAATTTTGTTCATGTTATTTATTAACCGCTTTTCCATTGTAAAAAACAATCCAGTAACTAGATAATATTTTGTCTAGTAAATAGTATAATACTTTAAAACAAGAAATATTTCTATGCTGTTATGTAAAATTCAACATTAAATTATTCTTAATATAGGAACACTGTCCAAGGTGAACCAGCTTCGGTTAACAATATAAATAACTAACGCTTTGAATGTTTAAGAAAAATTATTATTATATGAATTATATAATGCTGGTTTTTAGATTCAATAAAAAATTAAACTTAAAAAGTTTGATGAATTTGATCTTAGTTTAGTACCGTATATGTTTAGTACGTGTAGATTATATTGTTAATAATAATACAATTTGCAGGAATAAATTAAAAAGACGCGATTTTAGCTGAAATATATGAAATCGTAATGTGTTTTCAATATATAGTAAATTTATGATTCATCTCAGCAAACCTTACTAACTCCAAGTCAAAGCAAAGTACCTACGCTCTTTAGATAGCTAAAGATAGATTATGTTTTTATTCTAAAAGATAGTTAACAAAAATAATATAAGTATACAAAAAATAATAAAGCTATGTTCACGAACAACAATTACTTGATAATACCTTCAATGAACTAGAGAGATAGACACGGAAATGTTAGAATAGCAATTGTAAATTTGATAGATGCAAACAGCTCTATAGTAGTCTAGTCACATACATATTTGGTTTACCAATTAAGTTACGATTCTGTTATGAGCGCAATTTTTACTGCGCACCACCACTATGTGGTGTATAAAAAACAGGTAACGCACTAGCGAGCCTTCTGGCAATGTGAGTGTCCATAGGCACTTATCACTTAACATCAGGCGAGCCACTTTCCTGTTTGCCTCCTGTTACATAAAAAAATATATATTTACTGCTCTATAAATCTTAATATATATATTTCTTGTGTGCGTATGTATGTGACTGAACTTCTCTCAAACGACTGGACCGATTTTGATGAAATTTTTTGTGTGTGTTCAAGGGGATCTGGGAATGGTTTAGATTCACAAATCAGCCCGGCAGATGGCACTGCAGTCGGTACTTTCATACTTTGCTTAATATCCTAATCGCTTTAAATATCATGCCGGACAACGTCTGTGGGCTCCACTAGTATACTATATATATATATATATATATATATATATATATATCAAATCGGGTGCAGCGCAACATACCATTGTATTTTTTTCATGACGAGTTTGAATAACACTAAAATAGAGGTAAAAATTGAGGTAATTGGCGGTGAGTTTAAAATGATTTTCTCAATAGAAATTAGCGTGGACATTATTATTAATTACAACATATTATGAGTAGGATATAATATGTTGTATGGATACGAGAACAGTTAAGTCGCTGTGCTCTAACTTTCACATTCACATGAGTTTCACTATGAAAGCTTTATTTGGTGATCACACCTACGGTACACCTTCATTATGTTTGCTCATCTCAATGAACGAAAGTTGAAAGTTCGTGTTTTATTACTAAATTTTGTGTGCTCTTGTGCTGAGGTAAAGATTGCATGTTTATATTGATTAAACTTTGTTAACAATTCTTATACCATCAAGCGCAATAATGTCAAAATTTTAAAAAATAAAAAACATCTTGTGGACGTGGAATAATATAAAAAAGGTAATTAATAAATAATAAAATAGTTTTTGCGCTGTAACTAAAATTTTTTTTAAATTTCTTTATTTTACAAAATAATATTATATAATCACAATATGTTACATTAGAAAACCGCTGTGGTTTGTATTAATGTAACCATAGCAGTCTTGTTTAGGAGCGCGACAAATGCATATACAAGTACATAGTTTTTTAATTTACTGTTTATGTTGGTTGGTGATAGGCAATCTAATATCTGATAAATAGCAATGTCCTAGGCCGTACATTTAACTCGAGACTCAATACACGAATCCCGCGAAATATTATTCGTACGTTTCATGAAAAGAAATATCAAATTACAGGAAAGTATGATATTTGTACGAGGCTGTATATTTTGCTTTGTTAGGCTTTCTTAGATTTATTAGCGTGGCGATTACTTAAATAGTCAGAGTAACGCACAAAAAATTTTGCAGGCACTCTATTCATTTCATAGCATTTATTGTTTTGTATACGTGTGTGGTATATAGAGTGAAAATAATATTCTCTTTTATTTAAATACAAGCAGTAGAATTAGACTTAGATAAAAAATCGTCTATGTTTGTGTCAAAGGACCTAATATACTTCTAAAAGTTATAATTCTACAGTTTAAGACTATTAAAAACCAGTGTTGCTACAACCTTTTGAGGTCTGGGCCTCAGATATCTGTATCAGTTTCATGATCATTTGTCAATCTAATAGGCGATCCGGTGTCTGACACACGCCGCGCCGTTGAGTTTTTAGGTCTAAGGCTAGCCGGTTTCCTCGCGATGTTTTCCTTTCTTCCTTCGCCGTTCAAGCGAATATTATTTGTGCACATAGACAGAAAGTCCGTGGTGTACAGCCGGGAATCGAACCTATGATCTCAGATGAGAGTCGCACGCTGAAGCCACTAGGCCAACAATTTTTTGTTCACTTTAGTTTCTCTGTCCTAAACAATATTCTGTACTTTACAGAAGTCGTCAGTGCGAGGGTCTGTGCGGCGGGCACGCGCAGCTGGCGCGTTGTCCCCGCCGCGCGCAGGCATGGAGCGCCTGCGCCGGTCGTTCCGGGAGTCTTTCCGTCGGCGTAAAGGAAGCCCGCCCGAATCGGCAAGGCCGCACCAATGGCACGCGGATGAGGCAGCCGTCCGAGCTGGTACCTGCACCTTCCCGGTCAAGTACCTCGGCTGCGTTGAGGTCTTCGAGTCCCGGGGTATGCAGGTCTGCGAGGAGGCTCTTAAGGTGCTTCGGGTGAGTTGAAAGTTTCTGATGGTGTTACTGTATGTTATAACTTATAAGTAATGTGATTTTCAAAGGTTGTCAGTCTATAGTGGGATGACAACGAAACTTGAACATTCCGTTGAGATACCTTTATATAATTTGAAATGAAAATTATTAAGTAATTTAATTAAATAATTATTTTTGTTTTTATTTATTCTGTCCTATGATTATTGTGGTAGCAATCTTTGAATCAATAAGCTAATGGTTTTTTGTTCTATTTAAAGATACTGTAAGACATTCAAGTTGGAATATGTATTGGTACCTACCACAGAATCCTCTTTATATCTGTACCAAAATTCATCAAAGATAAGTTGCATTATTGGTTCTATACATTATTTAATTATAAAGGAATACTCAGGTTATATTAACCTTGTTAACAATAGAAAACAAATTTATCTTTTCGCAATACTAAATCGAAATTACTTCGATTAGCCGTGAACAGTTTCCTCAACGCTTTTAATTAATATTATTAATGAGTATCCTTATAGAAATCACAATTTTAATTGTTTATTTGTAAATGTAATTCTAAAAATAACTAATAATAAATAAGCACTAGGTTTCTAATTGATTTATAAATTAATTCTTTACGATTACAATAGTATGAACGGAACTCATCCAGAGATATTCGGTAGTGGGCTCATATTTAAAGAAAAAGCACCTAATCTGCGAATGATTTCTTTTTTTTAAATGTATTTATTTTGTTCGTAAATCTTATATCCACTGTAATTCTTATATATTTTAGAATATTAGATTGAAATTTAAAATGTATATTTTTTTGTGATGTGGTGGATACATTGGACAAAGATATTTCTTAATTTTTCTCGTCTTTTAATTAAATAATCAAAATAAAACATTCGGCCATCTACAATTTTCTATCGCAATACGCAAATTCTTGTTTTTTAATGGACTAAGTCCGTCTTTGTTACTCCCCAAGTTTTTAAGAATTAATTTTAAAAGAACATCATTTTTATTATAATCGTATACAGGATAATTGAAGTACTGTTTACTTTTACGTGGTGAAGCATTCTAATGTGAGATTTATATTATTTTATATAATTTTTCTTAAGAACAATTGCAAATTTTCAGAATTCACGTCGACGTCCCGTAAGAGCGGTGCTGCATGTAAGTGGAGATGGCCTCAGGGTAGTGGAAGAAGAGACTAAGGGTCTCATAGTGGACCAGACTATTGAGAAGGTGTCGTTTTGTGCCCCGGACAGGAACCACGAACGGGGATTCAGGTAGATGACGTTCCTATTGTGTTGCTGCTTCTATTGTTCACTTATTGAATCTTAGTTTATGCCATTGAAAGCGATAAAATAACAAACTATTTTATATTAAATGTTCATCATTCTTATTGCAAAGATACAAAATCAGTCAGTGAAGATTTATCATACTATTTAGAAAGATTACGAAATTTGTTTTTCGTTTAAAATAATCACAAAATCAGTTAGATTACACTTTATTATTTAAGTATATTAAATATGAAACTTAATATAAAAGAGATGAATTAAATAGTATTTTTATTTCACTACCTTTAATCATATTATAATCAATAAATTCACATGAAAATTTAAATAAATGTCACAGCACGAAATTACAAATACTACAAGAAGATCTCCAATCTAAATATGAATGTCGTGTTTGGCATGATCGAGACCGATTCCGTCGATTCCATTCAATTAAACATTAGATCTGACGTAGACATCGACCTTGTCTCTTGTGACTTGCGCTCTCATCTAGCAGATATCGAACAGTTATATAATCCAAAAAGCGATAAAATTGTAATTTCATCATAGGAATCTCGTTTGTGTTAGCTTTAAATGTAATTCGAGAACCTTTATGTCTTGGATTACGTCTTAACTAGAAGCCATAGTAAACGTATTGGATTTGACACGCGGGACTAGCGCTAAGTCCCGACTCTGAGTGCCCTAATACTCGATTGTATGTTTTAATCGCGTTTAGTTGAATGGTATTAAATAACAAGTAAGCTAAACGAATTTAGCTCACAGTTTTGCCGTGTTTTGCATATTACAACGCTTGGTGCAATTGTGTAATCAATAATATTACTGTATTACAAAGCTCACTTTTCGTCGTCAATTTATTTATTTATTTATTAACACTTCGTTGTATTACAATATAAAAATTGAACATAACATAATTAAATAAAAAGGAGGGTAACTGGCGGCCTTATCGCTTTCAAGCGATCTCTTCCAGGCAACCACTGTAAGAAAAAAAAATGTTTAAATTAGACATTAATCAAAATCACTCATCGTAGATTAGATTTTATCTAAGTATGTGATGCTTGAATTAAAAACAATAAATATGTAATCTTTCGCTATTATTTCAATGGTTGACTCTAATCAAAAACACAATTCACAATATAAATTTGTCGATACAAACAAACAAAAACACCTTTGCCTAATTTCGTTTTTATTCAATCATAGCGAGTACTATGGAGTCAAAATATAATTGAATTAAACCACATTAGTTTGGCCGAGAGCTGTTACTAGCGTTTTAATAAATATTGTAAATTTTACGAGTTATTTAAATAAAAAGTACTTGGTGTTTAATACATTTTTGTTCCGCGAAACATTGTATCGTCCCTCTCATCTCACACGAACTTCAGACATACGTTTAATTAAACATTTTTAATTAGTGTCAAATAGTATATTATAATATATTATATTTGACACTAATCATATAAATACGTAATATATTATTATATACAATATTCTTAACCTACATAGATAGTATACTAATAATAAAAATATGTAATTCTTTAAAATATAAGTTAATAAATGGAGTATACCTTTAACGCTGGCTGTATTTCCTCGATACTTATTCGTTGAGCGAAAGATAAAGATAATTGTTTACTTCATTATACAAGTACAGTAATTATAACAGAGAGCAACTGATTTGCGAGATTTTATGTAGAGGAAAAATGTTTATAAGGAAAAGACTTTACAAAACCACTCAACAACTTACCGCATTCCTGTAACAGTGTTGTCAATTCTGGATCTATAATTTCAGTTATATTTGCCGCGATGGAACGACGCGTCGCTGGATGTGTCACGGGTTCCTGGCGTCACGTGATAGTGGCGAGAGGCTTTCGCACGCAGTGGGTTGCGCCTTCGCAGCCTGCCTTGAGCGCAAGCAACGCCGGGACAAGGAGTGCGCCGTGTCTATGAGCATTGATGCCGCTTCACATGCCTTTACGCGGCAAGGATCCTTCCGGAAGTCGGGTATGGATTTGTCATTTATAAGGAATGTCGTCGAACAAGGACCTAGTCTAGGACCCTGTTTTATACGCCGTGTACTTAATCTTTGAACCATTTGAGTGTTGTTCCCACGATAATGTGAGTGCGTGCACCTATTTCACTATGCCTCCTGCTGATAGAGGACAAATCTTTGTTTTTTATTTATTTTATTATTATTTATTACTTAAGATGTCATTTGGAACATGGTGTAATGGTTGCAGCTCCTTACAAACGTTGTGTAAAACAAAAAACTTGGCGGTTAAAAAGAGTGGCGGAGAGTTTATTATCAGTTCTTCTCTTCCGTTCTACGCCCTTGATTTGAGAACTGGCAGTAAATGTAAAATTAGAAGCATTTCCTATATATTTATTTTTTGATGTTCGTAAGTGTACATTGTGTTATCTATATGAATGAATGACTTTTACTTTGATTGCTACTTCGCTTGAAAGTCTTCCTGTGTAATTAATTGCTACTCATTTTGCGCATTATTTTCATATAAGACAGAATAAACGAATGTATTTTAGTTACAATATGTTTTAAAATATTTTCTAGTGATCGGTCGTCGCGTGTCAGAGGCAGACGCTGGTCCGCCGGTGACTCCGGCTCCCCTGGCGACGCCCCCTAATCCAAAAGCACCGAGCCCTGCCCCAGTGCCAATTGCGCCCGTCGTGCCCCAGAGCCAACGCCCCGCGCCCCACAATCCCTTCGCTGTGGAGCGCCCCCACGCTGCCCCACATCTGCTGGAGAGACAGGGCTCGTTCCGCGGCTTTGCTCATCTCAATAACAAGTATGTATGGTTAGTTGTGGAATGCAATGGTATAAAGGCTGACTTTATTTTATATTATAAAGCTAAACAATTTGTGTGGTTATTTGTTTTGTGTTGGGTAGTCCATTCCAGAGTGTATACTAAAATAATGCGGTTACAACTAATTGAGATGAACTGTGTATTTAAAGTTTTTGTACTTTTGTAAAATAAATAAATTAACACTCTAAAAAAAACTTTTTTGAGTAGTTTTGTGTATGGTTCCTAGAAACAGCCGGGTGCTTCAAATAATATGACAATATAAAGTACTTTGTTTATTAGCACTCAAGTACTATAAAAACATTAATAAATGCTATGCTATGCACTTGGGGCTTAACTCTGATGATTAAAGTAATCGCCACGCTTATGAATATTTTGGAAATCATTTCATTTCTTTTAACTCTTTTTGCTGTATTAATTAGGATTTTTGTAGAATTGTCATATTGTAGGTAAATACAAAATTCACTCTTAAAGTGTTTTACTAAGGAATCATTTATTAGTTTGCAATAAAGGTCTGAAATAGTTAGGTAATCGGGCATCATTCTTTAAATTTAACCTATCTCGAACCTAATTCCCTGTTTTGCTGGTAATTTTTTTCTGCTTGACAAAAATTTCTGTTTTTTTTATCTTGTATATGTGTGTCTTGTGTGTCTTGTGTGTGTGTATGTTTACCTAAATTGTCATTTGTCATACATTTTAGATAAAAGAGTTTGTATGATATATATAGTAGATTTAGTAATATGTAAGATGTGGTAAATAATAAATACACCAATGCAGTTAAGCATGTGCTACTCGGTATGAAACGGCGGTTTGAAACGAAATAAAAGCGAGTTGCGCTTTTCGGCTACACGGTTTAAAACCAACAGTGTCCAAAATAACGTTGCGCTGATAAGACGTCTCCGCGCTCCCGTACCTGACGCACTTTCAGAATTAATTACAACGACATCATGGCGACTTGCCTAAGTAAACAACAAAAAGTTGGGTCTAAGTAGACTGTTTCAAACCAACGGTTTTGGTCGCGGTTTGCAACGCAAAGCGTGCTGCCAAGGTCATATCAAGGTTAAACGAAATTCGGCATAAAACAACTAACCACACGGTTTGAAACCAAAGTTTCAAACCGCCGTTTCATACCGTGTAGCACATGCTTTAGTTATAATTCTTAACTCTCCATTAATATTTGAGTCTAAATACTTGAATTATTTTCCCCTCAAATAAAAAATAAGTACAGTAGATATACACTACAATTACTTAATAACTTTGTTGGTGTAGTGGTTTAAACGTGCTGTTAAAGTCTTAACCTAGTCATGCATTCGAAACCCGATTAAAAACCAATGGATTTTTGTTCGAATATATTTCTTATGATGGGAGTAAATCGCGTGGTAATCGGCATGTCATAGAACGAAGATGGTCACCAACTAGTCTATTAAAAAAAATTTAACAAAGATATAGTCTGAGGTCATGATCCATTAGAGTAACTCTATAAAAAATTATGTACAATATTTTGTTTCAGTTCTCCATTCAAGCGCCAGATGTCGCTACGAATCAGCGAGCTACCGTCAAACGTTGAGCGACAACGATTGGGGCTCGGTTCGCCCGCGACCCCGCCTTTGCCCGCCCCGCCCATTCCCGCTTTGCCCACGATGCCCGCCTTGCCTGCGCTGCCCGCACCTAATGATATTGAAGCTATAGAGGTTTGTAAACTATATTTGAATGAATACAGTATACTAACGGACCCCACTGACGTCCGGTTCACATGTGTTAAAAACTAATTGTAAATCTAAACCATTCTTGAAGCCACTTGACGCAAAGTAAATTTTATCAAAATCGGTCCAGCCGTTAGAAGTGTGTCACTCGAATAAACGGAACATTCGTTATTCAAATGACAGTTTTAAAGTATTGGTTTGTTAAGCTTTTAGCGAAAAGCAAAAACATTTTGTAGTTTGTTCAGTAATTTGTTTTTCTCAAATTAGTATTTATGATGAGGCACAGAGACCTTCTGTCGCACAATCACATATTCTAGCGCCCGTAAGACGAATTTGATCTATTAATAAAGTTAGTTACTACTACTAAACTGAAGTATTTCCGAACCTATTCGACTTAGGGTCCTTCAAAAGAGCGTACCAATTCGTAAAAGGCCAGCAACGCACTCACGAGCCCTCTGGCATTGAGAGTCCACGGTGTCACTTAACATCACGTGACCCACCTGTCCGATTGCTGTTCCATAAAAAAAACCTTATTAAACTATCCCAAACAATGAAACAAGTTTAAAATTCGGAAACGAGGCTTACCGCTAAGTCTGACTTCATGTCAAAATGCAACACTTTTTGACATACGCTAAATTCCTAATCAAGCCAATAAAATGTGATGAATTATTAATGATCAAATTTTAATTGCAAGAATAACTTCTTATTTATTTAAATTATCCCTTCTAGGACGCGGAATCTGACCCAGTGGCTGAAATGTGTCAGCAGCTGTCTCTCGGGCTCCGGGCCCTCACGGAGGAGCCGGTACCCGCAGCGGTGGGTGCTCTGCCCCATCCCGAGGCGTGGCTGGGGCGCGTCGCCCGGGCTCCGCCCTTGTCAGCCGGCGGAAGGGCCGCTTCCTTCGCGGGACACGCCACTACCAACCCTTTTCTTACACCCGCACCCCTCTAATTGGTGACGCTTAATTTGCCACGAACAACTCTTCTATAAAAGCCATAGACAAAAGTTTGTGGCGAGCGAGACTATTACATGGGGATGACATGATAACACACACATAGATAAATATATATTGCCATCACGAATGATCCATATATAAGCTGTTGCATAAAATGTTAACGGCATCCCCGTTTTGACATTTAAAAATGTCTAATGTCACGTTATCGATATAGTCTATGGTCATATCGTGTAACAGATCTAATGCATTGACAAATGAGAAAAACGTTATTGCGCTTATTTTCATTGATAAACATAACGTATTTAAAATATATCTTGATTTAATTACATATTAATGAGAATTACTTTACTTTGACCACGTGACATGCGCTGTGCGCCAACTTTTAATTAATTTCGTTGATTTAGCGCAATTTTACTCTAGCGTTAATAATTAATGGCACGATCACATTTATAATATTATGGGATAGTTACGGCGCGACGAGTTCCTCTATCGGTCGCAAGATAAAAATTTAAAAACTATTTCTGATAATGAGTTTTGCACTCGGTTGAAATCTGTCCAATTTTAAATTGACTGCCACAAAATCAATTTTCTGTAGGTTTATTCAAATAAGTGGTTATTTTCGTGGATCGTACTTATTTCAGTTCGTCTAGGCGAATTTACAAAATCGATTAAGCACGTACTTAAGATGTACTTAAACGCCGAATATGTTCCTAGCCTACGAATGTTTACGTCCGTGTCGCAGCGTATACTCTTTTATATTCTCTTTTTACATAATCGATTGTTTGCTACGATTTATTTCAGTACTTACTTTTTGACATGATTTATAACTTTTTTGAAATGTGATGCGTCTACGCACATTCGACGTGATATCCTCTAGAATACTTAGGCTACCGCTGAATTTGAGAATTAAATAATTACGGATTTAGTACTTAACGCATCGTTGAAGAGCACTCTGCTTGCGTGTGCACTTATAGGTAGGCACTCCGAGGGCGGTATTGGTCCTTCGATCCGGAACAAATAATGCAGTATTCGTGTTTGCTTGTTATATACGTACTTGGATATATTTTTTTCTATTTGTATATAATTGTACATTTGTAGAATTGTGTGAATCTTTGTTAATTTTTTTATTTCTGACATGAGACGATCAAACTGTAAATGATAACTCGGTGTGATTTTTAATGTTGTTTTGTTTTTTGTTAATTAACTGTAAATTCGGTTAACGATTAGTAATTGTTATTTGCGTAAGTTTTTACATGGCAATGTCGCGGTTTTAATGGCGGAGCACAACAAACACTGCACAAGGATTTTTGAGTTTTTACATTCCGACAGTTGGATCGACATTTTTATTCTCACGCCAGCACTGCTTTTGTACGTATTATGTAGAGAATAGCAAATATATGAGAAATTTATCGCACATTGATGTATTGCACTCGGTGTCTATAACATTATTTATTGTGCAGTAATTAAATTGTCATGTTTGTAGTACAAATGTCCTTATTAGATGAAGGCTTGATGCGTTTTATCCCACGAAATAGAAATAGTTCAAAATTTTACAAATAATTGTGATATTAATGATTTGTAAAATTCTGTATGTATACAGAAGCCGTCTTTAGATGTTTTAGAATAAATATATGTTTTCAAATAATTGATTCAGACGCGTATTTGGTGTCGTATCTGAAACAGTATCTAATCTTAATCTGTCAAAACTGTCAAACGCCATAGAGAACATATTTAACAGATTAGATTTAAGTTACGTAAATTTTGGTTCTATTGTCTTTTTATTTTAATCAATGAAAATGATATAAACACTATTTGCCCAAACGATGAACCATAAATATCTAAAGGTCTATGAAAAACAAATCTTTATGTAAATGTATTAACTAAATTTATAGGTTACTTCTCTGATCTACTTTATTTTCGACATTTTTCATGTAAAATATAATTTTAAGAAGTGGATAGTCGTACTGTACTTAATCGCAATTGTTATATCGAAATTAGTTGTTGGAACATAACACTGTATATTTTTCTGAATTTATCTTTGGCTAAATTATATTATGTACATACCAACTCTTATGTATGTAGATATTTTAGGTAATGAGAGTTCAAATATTATAAAGAAATACATATTATGGTTAGTAACCCTTGTTTTATTTCATCATGAATAGAAGAATTACGACTTGGACGACGTTTTTACATACATCTCTCTTAGCGCGAAGTCTCTAGTCTTAATTTTCACTTCCGTGCCTTATAAAGAGTATGAATCTTATCTGTTTCTAGAGATTGTGAGTGATTTTAAAATGTTTGCTTATTACGAAGAATACCTTAAATAAGTACAAATAGTAGGTTACAACTAGGGATGCATCGATACGCTTTTTTGCCGATACGATACCGATGCCGATACACTTATAGGAATATCGTCGATACCGATACCAACGCTTATTGAATTAAAATTAAATTAAGGTAAAATATATCAAGTTAAGTTAAAGTTTATAATTTTTATTAAAAAATATATATATAAAAAATAGTCACAAACTTTGAATTATTTTAAAGGTTTTGTTACTAAAATTAAGAATTAAAAGTAATAATTTAAATAAAATAAATAACTGTTAATAATTAAAATTAACAATGATAACATTGTTGTAATTCTGTATTTTATTAAATTTGGTATCGAAAAAATACTACTTGCGATAGCAGTTAAAAGCCGACTAAATGATCTTCAAATCTACGTTCAATAAAGTCAAGCCATAATATCTAATAAGTAATAACTATGCGCTGGCAAAGATAGTTGACTCGAGTAAAAATTTTGGTCTACTAATCAATCCAACAAGGGTTTTTCGTACTAACTACTAACTGACGTGAGACTGATCGTAAATTATCGTGATTCATGTGCCCTTTTATTTTTCATGTAGACTTTTTTTAGTTTATATGTAATATGTATTTCTGCCCTCCTTTTCATTTAATTATGTTAAATTTTTATATTGTAATGCAACAAAGTGTTAGTAAATAAATAGTGTTTAGCGAAATGAAATACATATATACATAAATAATAATGCTTTGTCCCCAAGCGAATGATAGAGACAACAAACTGAATAAAACGCGGGGATTTCTCGGGCAACAATAGTCCGTGGCTCGTTTGCAACAAACTAGATCATACAAAATGCGCGTGAAATTTGAAAAGTATCGGTGAATCGGCAATGAAAATATCGCCGATGCCGATATATCGGCAAACCCAAAGTATCGCCGATATATCGGTATCGGATGCATCCCTAGTTACAACAGACGCCTTGATTATACTATTCAATGCAGATATCTAATTAATTGCACTTTTATTCTCGGACTGCCATAAAAGCTATTTTGAGCGTAAAAACGTTGAATACTTGCCACTATGGTAAACCATAGATCTAGGATTGTGAAATTCACGTTTCAATATTATATTATCTGTCAAATTCACGTCTTACAGATAACTTTATAAGTACCTATTAGAACTGTGATGGAGTAAATACCAAAAATATCAAAATAACGGATAGTATTTTTCAAAACTTGCAAGCTTATGGCGAATGTATTAAAAAAAACCAGTGGCCTTTTAACCTTTTAAGGTCCGGGCCACAGATTTATGTATCTGTTTCATGATCATTTGTCAATCTTATAGGCAAATAGATGATCAGCCTCCTGTGCCTGGCACACATCGGTTTCCTACGATGTTTTCCTTTACCGTTCGAGTGAATGTTAAATTGGACATAAACAGAAAGTCTATTGGTTTACAGCCGGAATCGATACTACGGCCTCAGCGATGAGATTCGCACGCTTAAACCACTAGTCCAACACTGCTCTATAATATATTTAGGACAACATTGTAACTAACAACAATATTAACAATATGGACTTTTGATAGTCTGCTTAAATAAATAAATTAATTTAAAAAAAAGACAGACTAACACTCATTGAAACTGTGTTTCATCATAAGAAATATTTGTTAGGAATGCCATCCAATTGTGAACTAGATACTAGTTTTTCAATGGGTAAATAAAAACAACATTTATTATTACTTTTTACACTTTATTCAACTGCATAACTTTAGGTGCTACTCACTACCTAAACGACATAACTATTGTCCGACTTTAATTTCTATACATTGGGTGCGCGTTAGATACACCATATCTATCTTTCATGTAACATTCGAAATACAAATTGAACATCTATTACCATAGAGTCATTTACATTGACTGGAAACAAGTACATGAAGTGTGGAAGACCATTGCTGTAAAAATTGACCTATGCAAACACTAGCGAAGTGAGAAATCGCCTTCCGATTGTGAATTCTTTAAAAAGACCTTATTCCCCTCTCAAAGGCCGGCAACGCACCCACTAAAATGGGTGTCGATGTGCTGAGATAACTGCCCTTTATGGTGGTATTGCTTGTTTGCCCTATCTTATAAAAAAAATATGTGGCGTCTCAAAAGTTAACTTATAAGACCTAATAACAATACTATTAAAAATCATAAAAATATATTTTTCCAATTCTAGAACTCACCCTACTATTCTATTAATAAAGATAAAATAAATGCGTCTCTTTCTATCATTCTGTATTTTAGGTAACTTCGACAGAGACAGCGTTATATTTATAAATAAGGAGGTGTACGTAAAAATATCCGTTGTCTACGTCATTCATATTAAAGATGCATCGTTGCCGCACCACTACATTAGGGAAGGTGTTTAGTAGTAACAAAAATATTTTTGAAGTTATACTTCTTTAGGCGCGTTATGAAAAATTTATGAGGGTGAAATTTTACGAATGAAGTTGCCCACGGAAGATGCTACGGCATTGGACATAATTTAAAAACAACATTCGAATTATAATAGAATTTATGTTACACTTAATGTAAGAAAATAATGATAAATTTTTATTTATTTAATTTTCATTGACTATAATGACTCCTTTTCCAGTCTTTGATTATTTAATTGTAATTAATTATTTGCATGCAATCAAAAACTATTTTTAATAATGCCAAAGAAGTATACCTTCTTATGCGCGTACATAAGTACACGCACCCTTTTTTTTAAAAATAAATATCTTTACAGCAATAGTCCTCGTTCACTCTATAATTTATAGTACATATATAGAGTAACATCAGTCCTATTTTACGAAACGAAGCTTAAAACTATCTGTATAAAGCTTCTACTCAAGTAACAAATATATACGACTAGGAATGTCGTTAAAAATGCTCAAATTTACTAAAGTATTCAAATGAAATCTACTTTTCTTTTTTATACACAATTGGGTAAATTAATGACTAGCATAACACAACATACACACATATAAAAGATGCCAAATATCACAAATATTTAATAAACCTTACAAATGCAAATTAATAAATTAGCTTAAAATTATAAAATTCAACATTGTGTAGAGATCCTAATATATTAGTAGAAAATTACATATAAAATAATACTGACTCGAAAATGGTCGCAGTATTCGTCACTGATCCAAATTTATTCTATACAGGGTGTTTAAATACCACTCGGTTTTTTTGCCATAGTCAATTAAATACAAAAACAAAAAAAATCAATTGAAATCGTTAAAAGTGCTATCTTCAGTTTTAATTCTCCTTGTGGTAAATTCCACCCATATAATTATAGTCTACAATTACAATTCATATATTACAAATAAATAGATTTTAATAAGCGCGAAGTATTAAGCATTTGTACTACATAATATTATTATAAAAATATCATACTTTGGTATAGATTTAGACTGTTAAAAAGCGAAATGGTGAAGTGTATAGATATACTTAACTGACAGCAAAATATGAATAAACTATGTTTATAAATTTATAAACACTTTGAAAATGTCGAGTAATTTTTATTTTTTTAAATATCTTGTTTAATTATACTTTCTTTCATCTTTACGTCTTTAGATTCCTTTGATTTCAAATGAAACCGTCTCAAACGATTTTAAAGTAATATAATTTATCACAGTTAAATAATAATTAAGGTAAACAATACAAAATTATTGGGTTTATCGAAAACATTCATTCTTAAAAAAAATTGATACAGATAACGGCAAACTTCTTGAGCATTAAACAAGGGAGTGGGGGAAAGTTTGAGCAGCGCGGGACACAAACGTCAACTGATTTACCAATCACGCGATCGACACGTCACTCTCCCGCCACCCCGCACCACCGCCCGCCACCCCCCAGTGATACCTTAAAATCGCTTCTGCCAAAGCAAGGCAAATGTCCTTGAAGATGTTTGCTGGTATCTGTATCTTCCACAACATTTCAATATACGATTGATTAGGTTTGTATTGTGGTTTTAGTCAGATCTTCTCGAGTCCCCGAAGAAGTGTACAATTAAAGTGTTTACCCAACATTTATAATACCTATGGTAATTTAATTTTTTATTTCTAAGGGTAAAGCGCATATTTATGACAGCACATATATAAATAAATTATCAAAATTTTACTAATACATTTTGCGTACACGAACACGGTTTTTAAATTGATTGACGCGTTAATTCCTCAAACATAATAACTTCGCCAAGCAAAACTAGAAGAAATACATTTAGCCCCTTAATCGTCTAACGGATACAAATAAAAAAATCGCGTTTATGTATAATATTTTTAAGTATATTAAGCTATACCTAATCCTTGTCGTTCTGCAATTGGTGATGGCAGCGCTGGCAGACGCGGACGGGGCGAAGCGCCCTCAGACGACGCACGGGGGCCTCGTACTTGGAACAGCGTCCGCAGAAGACAGCCCCGCACGCACGGCAGTGGTGCCTTCGCTCCAGCGCCGTGAATCGCACGGAGCATTGCGCGCACTGCGGGGCCGTGTCATCGCGGATCCAGTGGTCTGCGGGCCCGCCCTTCGCCCCGGACGCGCTGGACATGTCCGGAGCGCACCAACGGAATATCTATAAATAAATGAAAACTTGGGTAATATTTAAAATAACAAGAAAAAGACGTTACATGAAGAATGTTAACGTATACGCACCCGTCCGCGTGCGTCCCCAACGGCCACACCCCGGCCAGTCCGAGCCGCAGCGAGAGCAGTGACCGCAGCAGGGGAAGTGTTGTCTTGGCGCTCGAAAGCCGTGTGCATGGTCAGCTTGCCTCGCACCACCAGACGTCTGCGCCAGCGCATCTCGGCGGATACGGCGGGAGCTGCTGCTGCTAATCAAAATCATAATGATCATAATGAATGTGTTTAAAATTTTTGCAACTGAACCAGGAATATTTATAGGCCCTTACGGGTTTTACCATCACCCAGGCGCAGAGGCGAAGACAAGGAAGAGTGGAGGAAGTTGTGCGGCCTTCGATCTTCAGAAATGAAAAGTGCAACTGAAGAAGAATTCAATAACACAAAAACGATAGCAAATACATTCGCCAATGGATCACCTCCGAAGCAACACAATTTTTTACAATTCCCTTTTTTTCCAGGAAGAGAGAAATAGAGTTCCATAATCTTTCGTGCCAACAACTAATTTACGCACTCAAACGTATATTACATACATCTAAATGAAAACAATGTTATGCCAACCTGGTGCCGGTGTAGTGTCGTGTGTGACGTCCCTATGCTCGAGCACGACAAAGGAGTCCGTGAGGCTGGTATCGGATTTGCTGTTGCGAAGCTCTCCCTCCGCAGCTGACTCGGTTGACCCGCCTATGCTGCCTCCACCTAGCCAAAGAAGATTAAACTATAGCTAGTAGTAAATTTTACAAACTAATTCTATAATAGAGAAATAGCTGGATTAGGTATGCTTTCATAGGCTAATGCTGATAATTCGTTGGGCGGTCTGTCTCTTAATAAGCTTTTTTTTACTAAAGAAAGGTTTGGCTGTAAATGAAGGCTATTTTTATTTATATACTAGGGGGGTAAACGAGCCAACAAGACGCCCAAAAAGGGCAGTCATCACAGCCAATGGACCTAGCCTTTAAGAGAGAAGTACACTCGAACTTTGAATAGTTGGAGGTCGTATCTCTCAGGGAAGACCCACACAGAGTCGATTCCACAGTTCGCTAGTTCGCAAAAGATAATGCCCTGTGAAACGGACTGAGGAAGCTGGAAGATACATACGGTTCGTCTAAAACGAAACAGATAATAAAAACGAGGCAGGAGGGATCAACACAAACATTTCTTCAGAACACTCAGCGTAGTACATTTTATAGAAAACGCAGAGACGCAATGTCTTTGCATAGAGAGAGAGAGAGAGAGAGAGATCAAGCCGATCAGTAATACATTGGAGATTGACAATTTGACTTTGTTTTTAATGAAGTATTGTTATGTGCGTCCAACTGGTTTATTTTTTTTTTTTGTGTGTGATTTGTGATTTAAAGACAAATCTAATATATAAAATTCTCGTGTCGCGGTGTTTGTGGTTAAACTTCTCCGAAACGGCTCGACTGATTCTCATGAAATTTTGTGTGCATATTGTGTATGTCTGAGAATCGGACAACATCTATTTTTCATCCCCCTAAATGTTAAGGGTAGTCCACCCCTAATTTTTTTGTTATTTTTAGATAAATTTTTATTGTTTTATTTTTTTATGATACAGCATTAAAAAATACATACAACCCCTAATTTTCATCTCTCTATGATCAACCCCTATTTTTATTATATATGATATACATGGCAAAACGACGTTTGCCGGATCAGCTAGTAAATTATAAAATAACTCACTTTTTCTAAAGATTGGGTTCCCCTTTGCCTTATGTCTTAAAACGACGTGTTCCTGTTTCTGCAGCTTACTCCTATGGGTGTGATCCAGTCCCTTCTCGTTATCGTAATCCTTATCGTCCGAATCGATTTCGTACTTGGCGTCATCACAGGAGTCGTTCTTATCGTTATCGCTACACGTGTCTTTGTCGTCATGGCGACGAGACGATTCCTTGGCGCTGGTCGTTTCACCGATGTCTGATAGAGAACTCTCAGAACCTGATTTCACAAGGTTACCTATAAAAAATTTAGTTAAGTCACTTAAAACAAGGGGATACGAAACGAGGCACTTTTCCATTTATAGAACAGGGGGCAAATGGGCAAGAGGCTCATCTGATGTTCAATTCCGCCGCCCATGGACACTCGCTCGATTGCTAGAGGGGTCGCGAGTGCGTTGTCGGTCTTTTAAGAATTACGCTCTTTTCTTAAAGGAACTTAAGTTTAGTTGGTTCGGAAATACTTTAGTGGGCAGCTGATTCCATCTAGTGGTGTGTGGCAAAAACTGCCTTGCCTATGGTCAATAAAATCTTTAGTTCAGTAGATGCGACACGATCGTTCATCTCATATTTATACCTAAATTAGGCCCAAGAGAAGCCCCTGTTACTTAAGTAATAAGCATAAGGCGTATTTAATGGTATCATATATATTATTTTGCCCTGAATTTCGTATTTTTACAATGTACGTGCTGGTACTTGACTACGTGAACTGTAAACCCTAATTAGCGATTAAAAAGAGTGGCGGAGAGTTTCTTGCCAGTTCTTCTTGCCCGCTCTACGCCCTTGACTTGCGAACTGGTAGTAAATGTAAATTTAGAAACAATTTAACATAATTTCTGTTGAAGTTCATAAGTGTACTTTTTTATCTATATGAATAAATTTATTTTGAGTTTGAGTTAATAATTAAAAAACCATACCTTCCTGTTCCTGTGACAAACTCATCTGTTTCACCAACGCCTCGACCCGTTTGATAGCCGCGTCCCTTTCACTCGTTTCAATTTCTTCACTCTTCATCTCGCTCTCTGATCTTTCACTTTCAGTTCTTAATTTTTCGATCTTGATGGGTCGTTCAGTGGTATTGTCTATGGAACCCGAAGCTTCCACACTTCCGGCTTCCGGTGTACTTTCATCGTCCCCTTTGGGTACATATTCGATTGACCACATCTGGAAACGAGCAAATTATTTGATGAACTTTATAATTGAATTCAGACACAAATGTTTTTAAGTTTTTTATGTGTGTATTGCACTTAGTACCAGAGGATCCATGGTGTCAAATTGTGCTTACCCTACCCATTGAAAACCCCTCAGCCCGCGAACGCCACCACACGCCCTGAAGATGGGTCTGTCTGATCTGACATTTCATAAGTGTTGCTACTAAAAAAAATATCCACCGAAAAAGGGACAAATTTGACTTATTTGAAGGCAAAAAGTAAATCTAAATATTTACTTACTCAAGTGACCTAATACAAAAATATCAAATATTTCAATATATCGAATTAACTTTATTTTATTCTTTAACTGGCATCACTACCTACTAATTCCAAAATTTTATTAAAAAATTCAATTTAAAAAAAAATTATCTTTACTTGTGCGTTTTTTACTGTTTGTGATGAAAAAGAAAGTAATTACCAAAAATAAAATATATACATTAACTTATAAATAAAATGTATGTATAGACTCAGATGTTCAGCCTCGTATTGAAATTGAATGTGCACGGCCAAAAAGGTTTGCCATCTCTGACATGTCAAAAAAGTATAGCATCATCATATATCTTATAATTTTTTCACAATGACACTTACCCTGACAACACCATCTGAGGAGCCCGTCAGTATGACATTGAGTGGGTCCCACTCGCGAGCTTGGCTAAAGGCTACACATAGCAACTGAGGGGCACGGTCAGCTCCGCCTGAACCCCCTCCACCTGCCGCTGCACCGCCCAAGGGCTCGCCATTGATGGACCACGCTTGGACCCAACTGCCTGCACATGTTGCTATGTCGCCCTGATCAGAGGTTTACGTTTTAGAAATAATTTTATTACATTAAGTGGCGCTACGACCTTTTTAGGTTTGGGCCTCAGATTTTTGTATCCGTTTCATGATCATTTGTGACTCTAATAGGTAAGTAGGTGCCTGACAAACGCCGTCGACTTTGTTTTTTTGGGTCTAAAGCAAGCCGGTTTCCTCACAATGTTTTTTTCACCACTCGAGAGTTAGACCAGACAGAGAGAAATCATATTTTACGAAATTCTGTGATGAAACCAAATCACAAAACCACTACTAGAAAATCTTTGCAAAATCACTTACAGTCAGGTCATCAATAGCAAGCGCAGACACGGGTGGTAAAGGCTGCGTCATATTGGCAAAGTGCGGCGGCAACAATTGCCTCACAAAGGTGCCACCTTCCGCATCCCATACTATGACCAGGCCGTCCCTACTGCCGCTCACGACCAGATTGTATGCGGAACTGGCCGCAAGACAGGTAACAGCTTCCTCGTGTCCGTATAAACACGTCTTAACTGTTAGGCGGCGTCTCCTTGCCCAGTATTGCCATATCGTTACCACCTATGTAAAAGGGCAGGATATTTATCGTAGCACACAACACCACAAATAGTATAGAAGACAAAAATAAATACTAATGCGACATATAGATTACACAATTAAACACTTGGCGATTAAAAAGAGTGGCGGAGAGTTTATTGCCTGTTCTTCTCTTCCGTTCTACGCCCTTGATTTGAGAACTGGCAGTAAATGTAAAATTAAAAGCATTTAATGTATATTTCTTTTTTGACGTTCATAACTGTACATTGTGTTACCTATATGAATAAATGATTTTTGACTTTGTTTGTGATGACAGATGGTTCAAAAGAAACTTACTTAGAATGGCCCAGTGGGGACGAAGAAATAGAGGACGCCCACCAGATACCTGGGAAAATGGAAGGGATAGTTGGGAAGGATCGGAAAATGGTAGCGAGGATGAGAGACAAGTGGAAGAATTTGGAGGATATCGTATACTAATGTTAAACATGATATGGACTTAATGTGTTCCTGATTATGTAGTGCATAATACAGGATATTTTTATTATAAAAAAAAACGACGGGTTGCACTCCGGGAGACCGGCAGAAGTGAAAACTTGAATATTAATGTGCATTTTTGATATTTTGGAATGGTTAGGGAATAATTTTGCACGAATTGCTTTAATTATCAGTATAAAAGTACTATCATTTATGTGGTAGAATACAATATTTATTTATTGCGCTATCGTACACAAACATGACAATAATTTATATTACATTAAATACGCCGCGACAGCTGTCTAGTCTCCATCCGTCTTACGAATTTTCGATCAGGTCACGTGTCCTGACGCGAGTTTAACATTTTTTACCCTTTCCAAAAAAGTGTACAACGCCGCTAAAAAAGTTTTCACTTCAAAAATAATAGACTTTATTTGCATGTGTTATAGACAAGGTTTATTTGTAAAAAAATTATGTCCTATAAAGCCACATGCTATGTGGATTAGTATAGTACGGACGCGGAGCACGAAGAATTTCGTACAATGACCTTTGGTACGAATATTAAAAACGTTAGTTTAGAATTTGAGTTAGCTTTGTAAATAAGATCATCGACTTAATATAGGTAAGTACCCAAGGATAGCTTTTTACCCGACTGCGCCAGAAGGAGGGTTATGTTTTTCGAGTGTATGTATGTATAATTCTTTGGCACGCTCTGCAGCCTGAACGGCTTGATGGATTTTCGCTTGAGAGGTGTCGTTAGATTCGTATATACTGTGATAGTGACACTGGGTATATCATAACAGCAAATAAATTCAACGACCAAACACACAAACACCACTCACAACAAACTTAACCTCAAAAACGAAACTACACACGAGCGTATCCCAGCACGGAATGTTCTTTTATTTCAGGGTTAAAAAAAAGAATTACTACTTATAACAAAACAAACCAAAGTACATGTGCACCACCACAAGTCTTTATGGTTATGACTAGGGTTGTAACGGAACTCCGCCTCTGCCTCCGTTACTGCGGAACTTCCGCAAAGAATTTAACCTCCGCCTCCGCATCCGCCTCCGCAAAATTTATGCGGAGTCATATCGGAAGTTCATTTACGATCACAAACAACGCGCAAGGAGCGACGCTAGGCGACGCGGCCGCTCGGCTGCGTGTTTTCAAGTGAAATGGTCGAGAGACGAGAGTTTGCTTAAGCCGCGGGAACACGGCCAAGCGGGTGGTGGGAGTGTGAGTGAATGAATAACAGGAATCAACTTGTCAAAGCGTTCGGTACCGCGTAGTTGCAATTGAGCCGTGAATCGTGATTGTTTTAAGTAATTTTGTGCGTAATTATTAGTTATTGTTATTTAAATAACGTGATGAAGCCGAAAACTAGTGAAATTTGGCAGTACTTTGTAGAAGTAGACGATAATTATGCAAAATCCAAAAGTTGCGGGAAAAATTATTCAAGAAAAGGCCGGACAACAACATCACTAAAAGGGCATTTAAAATATATACATAAAGAACAATTTGAAGAACTTTGTAAATTAGAAGAACAACGTGAAAAAGGAAAATTACAACAGACATCGTCTTTAACACCATTGCAGCAAGCTAGACGGCAATTGTCTTTAGAAGAATCCACGAAAAAAAATCAAATGTGGGATACTTCACACCTCAAAGCAAAGAAAATGGATGATGTTATCGGAGAAATGATTGCTTTACAGAATCTTCCGTTCCATTTTGTCGAAGGCATTGGTTTTCGCCGGGTTATGCAAACGGCTTTGCCAAATTACCAATTAAGAGGGCGTCAGTTTTTTACAGAACATATATGTGATGAAATATATACTAAAATAGCTACCAAAATTGGACAAAGTCTCAAACATTTTTTAAAACTCTCATTTACCACCGATATTTGGTCTGAGCCAAGTGCTAATGTGTCGCTTTTGAGCCTTACTGCACATGGGATAACTGAAGATTTTACCCGTAAGCAAATTGTTTTAAAATGTTGCTCACTTCATGGCCGACATACCGGTGATATAATTTGTGACTATTTTAAAATGATGCTGCGGGACTGGAATATTCAGAACGAGCAATTGCACTGTTTTATTAGAGATGGTGGATCGAATATGGTAAGAGCAATGCATTTGGCTGAAATACCTGACATAAATTGCACAGTCCATCAACTTCAACTGTGTGTTCGTTCTGCACTCGACGAAACCCAGGTCAAGGACTTACTCGCAAAATGCAGGAAGATATCAGGCCATTTTAATCATTCACAAATTGCTCAAGATGAGCTGATAAAAATTCAAACGGAGCAACTTAATCAACCTGCCCTTCGCGTGATACAGGACTGTGTAACCAGGTATGTTATTGTTTATATACTTACTTACTTACTTATTATATCATTCCAATGATACCTATAATTCGTTCATTATATTTAGCGCTTAAAATGGTGAACAGTTTTCAAAAAAACATGACGAGGAGTAACATTTTGTCTTCTTTATTTCATTACTAGGTGGTTTCCCCCTAGCTACTCAACAGTGAAAGAATTTTTCAAATCCGTCCAGTAGTTTCGAAGCCTATTCGCGTCAAACAAACAAACAAATCTTTCCTCTTTATAATATTAGGATAGATTATTTTTATTATTAATAATAATAATAATTCTTTATTTCAGATGGAATAGCACATACTACATGGTCGAACGGCTATTGAAGGTTAAAGATTCTATTTGCCTGTATGCCAGCAAACATAGTATTCCACAAATATCTCCAGAAGAGTGGTTGTACCTTAATAAATTAGTGGCAATTCTCACCCCCTTTGAAGAAATAACGAGAAATCTGAGCGATACAAACACTTGCATATCGTCAGTTATTCCTTTGATACATGTACTGAAACATACACTGCAAATGGAAAAGGAAAAAATTGACACAAATCCAAATTTCAAGAATATCATTCAAAAACTAATTGAAGATATCAATTCTAGATTTTGTGACCTACAAAGCAATACCCTGTATTCGCTTGCTACATATTTGGACCCAAGGTACAAATTAAAGTTTTTTTAATGACGTAATTAAAGAGCAAGTTCAGTCCGAACTAATACGTTTGCTAACCCTTTATGACTCGAATGTTGCAAGCCGAGTTGACGATGATGAACCTTCTGTGGCCAAGAGAGCGAGATTAGCATCAAATGCAAGTAATGTTGACCCAAGCACAAGTTTTGAGATTTTGTCACCAATACAAAGTGTGCATTCCAACCTGGCTGATATGTTGAAGAATTGCAGTGATGAAGAGGAATCGGAAAATGACAGCATGGATACCAACAGCAACCTCATGATATGGAAAACACTAATTAATGAATACAATAAAGAAAATAGACTCCAACTAAATGAAGATCCCTTATTGTGGTGGAGATATAACATTAAATATAAAGTTTTTGCTCCCATAGTTCGCATTTACTTATCGGCGCCACCAAGTTCAGTGCCAAGCGAACAGTTATTTAGTGCTGCTAGTTTAATTTACGAACCCTTGAGAAACCGCTTAGAAGGCGAAAAAGCCGCAAAGCTTTTGTTCGTAAAATATAATTTGCCTCTTGTCAATTTTGATTACTAAGATGAATCATGAACATGTATGTACAATTGTACACATTATATATAATATAAATAAATGTTGCTGACTCTATTAATCATAAATTTATTTATATTTTCCCAACAAATTTCACCTCCGCCTCCGCCTCCGTTAACCTTCGCATCCGCGGAGGCGAACCTCTTCACCTCCGCATCCGCCTCCGCCTCCGCTAAGTAGGCCTCCGTTACAACCCTAGTTATGACTAAAGGTTTACAATCTCTGAATACGGCGGTCACTGCATCTGTGTGAGCGCAACGGCAATATGTTTATGCGCGAGCGACAAAGACATAAGATGAGGGGTCTGTGTACGAAATTCTTCGTGCTCCGCGTCCGTACTAAAGAATTGGAAATTTGAAAATTTTCTAAAAGTTTGATCAATAAGGTTGTTTTCGATAAATTTCAGAAATTAAAAAATGTAAAAAAGTTTGACATAAGTTGTCAGAATCGATTTGACAAAAAAGTCACTCACCGTGCTCGTTCCAGCGGTCACGAGGGTCTTATCGGACAGACACACACACGTGACGATCTCTCCTGCAGCCTGCGCCACGCTTTCACAGACGAACACGGCCCTATCACTGTCGTAGTGGCCCACTCGAAGCGAATGATCCGCAAAGCCCCAGGCCACGTACTTGTTGTATGTTGGAGGCATCAGTACTTTGTTCTGCTCAACGGCCAAGATGGCCTTTTCCGTGTACAGGATCTGACCTACTGGGCCTTTTACCTCTGAAAGGAGACGATTATCAAAATTGAAATTTAAGAAATTCCATACGTCAACATTATTTACCTCTGTGACTTTACCTTCCAGAAATGCATATCAAAAACTACTGAACCGATGTTTATGAAAATTAAACTAATTCCTATAATGAATACCTGATAGGTATTTTAGTTTACGAGAAAATCGTAGACAAACACATGTACAAACGAATTTGTTACATACACATAAAACAATAACGAACCCAAAAATAATGATCCAATTCGGTCGTTCGAAAGTTTACATACATTTTTATACATATAAAAGAAATTATTATTTAATTCAAAAGAATTAGTCTCACCTTTAACCGGCTGCAATGAAGGCCTCAAATTCTCCAAATTGTGGAAAAACAATTTGTCAGGAGGAGTGATGACTCCTTGTGAGGGAATGATGTTGTTAGGGTCCAATATAGTAGAGGTCCGCTGGGACATCTTCTTACTGGGGTGGGCCTTCTTGAATAGCTGCTTTGGTATTTGCCCAAAGTTGTTGATGAAGCCTATCGTTGCCGTTTTCTTGAGCGGATCATCGATACTATAAAACGTTTGTGTTTTAAAAATGTATGCATAATGCTTGATTATGAGAATTTGAAAAAAAAAGAAAAAAAAGTGTTGTCAACAAATATTTCTAACACTAACCTAAGAAAATTATATGTAAATCGAACGAAACGGCTCGACCGATTCCTGTGAATTTTTTTATGCATATTATGTAAGTCTGAGAATCGGGCAACATCTATTTTTCATCCCCATAAATGTTAAGAGTGGCACCACCCCTAAATTTTGATTTTTTAGACAAAACTTTTTGTTTTTATTTATTTTTATGATACAGCATACAAAAATACATACAACCCTTAATTGTCACCCCTCTACCATCAACCCCTTTTTATTGAACTAAAAATTTATAATTTATATGGAAGGAGACAATGTATGTATTTTTTTATAAAATTAATACAAAAATTGAAGACGACGAGGAAGTAAATATGCAGTACGTACACGAATGCGTACGTTCCGCTTAACTTTAACGTATAAAGTAACTTACTTGTAAATATCGACGTTGCCCTCGTAGAACAAATGATGGAACACGTTGCAGGCATCCACAGCCGGCTGGCCCTGCTGCTTGTAGCCGAAAACCAGGTCGATCCAATGATGCAGGCGGTGGGACACAAAGTCAGACTCTAGTGCCGCTCGGTGGACTCTGATGAATTCTCGCGGGTCGCCCTTTGCCCATGGGGGAAGTACTACGTCGCCTAGAGCTACGCCCGACTGCTTGAAGCCTGATCGGGATTATAAGACAAAATCAAATATTGAAAAGCCAAAATTGAAAAAAAAAGGGTGCGTGTACTTATGTACGGGCGTAAGAAGTTATACTACTTTGGCATTATTAAAAATAGTTTTTGATTGCATGCAAATAATTACATACGATTAAATATTCAAAGACTGGAAAAGGAGTCATTATAGTCAATAAAGTTCAGTTTACATTTGAAAAATTAAATAAATAAATATTTATTATTATTCTCTTACATTAAGTGAAACATAAATTCTATTATTATTCGAATGTTGTTTTTAAATTATGTCCAATGCCGTAGCATCTTACGTGGGCAACTTCATTCTGTTAATTTTGTGTCACGGTGCGCGCGCATCGTAAAATTTCACTCTCATCAATTTTTCATAACGCGCCTAAAGAAGTATAGCTTCAAAAATTCATTTACTTTAACACGCTATTTAGACATATAAATAGTGTACATTAGGAAGGCTTATGACAATCTCACTCAAACTTAAATATTATAATCAACGACATATGAGAATTAAAAAGTTGTTTTAAAAGGTATTCACGATTCTATGATTATATTTTATTGAAAAAATATTTTTAATACAGTTGCTCAAAAAGTGGCGTATTGCAGGGACGTATAGCGTTCGGGATGTGGGCTATTACACACTCGTGCTTTTTTTTTACCTTTTCCGAACTAGTGCGTTTTCTTTCCCAACTGTCAAAATAATGTCTATTAAAAAGAAAAAACCAACCACGAAGTTTTTACTAAAAAAAATTCATAGAAATTTTTATGATTCATGCAAATATTTCTAAAAAGAAGCTACTGCTTTGTTTCAATATCAGATTTAATGATTTGATTCAATGAGTTAGGTTAGGTTTCATTTCATCTCATTAAATTTCATTTCATATCAATAAAAAATTGTACTGAAGACTTGGCTGTATGGGCATAGTTCCCTTTGCCTACCCAGAATGGGTGAAGAAAAAAAATCTGCTTATATTCTTTTACGGTTGGCGCCATTTTCCATAAATGTTCTTTGCGCGTTTAGTTGTTTGTTATATTATATATTAAATATACATGAACAATCATACGAAATTAATAATAGTTTGTCTCAAACAGTAAATAAATATGCAACCTAAAACTTCTCCAGTTAGTATAAAAAACTGTACCAATGTATATGTGAACAATAATTTGTATAAGAAATAAATGATTAGTGAGTTGAGTTTATTGTTTTTTTATTATTTTATTAAATTGCATAATTTTTTCGCAACTGTATTAAAAATAGTTGTTCAGTACACGTGCGGAACCGTCATTGCAACTTGTTCCGACTGTCAACCCTCACCTTCGGCTGCGCCTCGGCTCGGGTAGACATTTGTCGAAACTCTTTGCAATGACAGGCTTTCCGCACTTGTAATGGAATATACTATTCTGTAAAATTAGTACTAACCTAAGTCAAAATTATTTGAGTTGTCCAAGAATTCAGGTAAATAGAAAAACTCCGGAATCAATTCCTTCACGTCGGCCATATTGTGTCTCGATGCGGAATTCCATGCTTCTTTTATAGAATGAAACATTCTGAAACAAATAGATTATTTGGAACGCTTTCTTTCTTCCTAGTTTCCCTATTAAACCCTACCCTTTTGTAAACCATCCTAAGTAACACTGCCAATGTTAATAATGGATGTGTAATTGAACAAAAACTCTCCAGAAATTGACCCCTTCCCTCTCTTACAGTCTGGCCGAGCTTTCCAAAATATACGATAAGTTATCATTTATATTTCTCGCTTTTTATCACATATTCTGTAATAAATCTGTTAATTAGCAATGGTTATGAAGTCTAAAGCATGCTGTGCGTGTGAAATTGTGTACAATTAGTTCTTATTGTTATGTTTCTGTATGCTATCACTATGATGCCCGTTAGCAAACCTTTTAATAAATATAGATAGAAAGTTTTTAAATCGAGGTTCCAATTCTAACTAAATAAAAATGAATTTGTCGCAACCGTAATTATGTTATACGACAATACGTATACGTTATATTTGTGTACGTTACATGGGCAATTCGGTTTTTGTTAATACTCAAGTCTATCAAAACGCCCTTGCGAGGCACAATCGTTAAAAATAAATTATTTTAGCCTATCTATAAGGTAATAAAACCGTTACCTGTCTGCCAGGTCAAAATGCCCCCCTTGCAGTCTCAGGAAATGCTGCGTGAAGGGCTCCATCCGTACAAGGTACGAACACACGATCATGGCGGACGAGTAGTGAGTGCCGTAGTGGTAGGGCGGGGTCTCTCCGTGAGGGTCGTCCCATTCCTGAAACCATATAACAATTCAATTATGTCTGTCATTTGTGCGTACCAAACTAAGCACGTAACCTAGAATATTAATCAAACTTAAATATAGTTTTATTAGCTGCCAAACTATTTTTTCTACTTGACAGCGCTCAAGACGAGACTGTGACTTGAGGTCCGACTTAGGATATTGGAATAGAGTTTTATGCGAAAGCTTTTATAATTCAATAATGAAGATTTACAATACTTCAAAACTGACAACAGTCAAAATAATATAGAACCACTGTTTTTGCTTTAATTAAAAAAACTTAATTCTACAAACCCAATCGTAAAAAGTAAAGTTTACTAAAACATGACATGATAATCACAAATACACGATAAAATATATGTAGAAGTGTCTGGTCCAAATTGTTTCATATTATTTTTTTATATATATAACTATGAGTAACACTACTAAAGAGAAAACAATGATAGGTTCGAAAATGTAAAAACAACAATTATTTGTATGTTCAAAAAATACAAAACAATTACGATTTTAGTCAAAGATCGAAAAAAAGCAAAAGAGTGCTATATAGGCAATAGGCATTTCATATATGTATGGGGGCACGAAACCCGGTGAACGTACGTACGTGTAAGTACGCGTAACAGGCAAATCAAATGTATTGCATGAAGAAACTAGGCTGGAATATGAATGTTTATTAGACCGAAGAGTGCGAATGATGTCAATTCGCCGCGGCCGGTGCAAATCTTCATAATTTCACCCATAAACTTAAAATAAATAATAAAAAATATGACCTTTCGCCATACAACATATTACATTATCAGTTTAATCGTAAATAAAATATTAAGACACCTTATATCGTTTCCTGAATTGATCCAATCTGTCAGAGCTCTGTGCGCCCATTGGTTTGCTCAAATCCCTGAAGGTGGCCGGGTCATTTAGGTCCAGTTCCAAGGAGTCATAATCCGCCAGAATCCAGGGAAACACGGGGTACTGCATTAGGTCATTGTATGACCGTCCAGCCAAAGTATTTAAATGCATCAAGTACTGGAAGTTAGTTATTTCGCCGCGCTAAAAATTTCAAAAGGATTTTTATTAAAAAAATTTTTTATTAACATTCCAATAACATAACGCCATTTAACAGTATTATTTAACTACATGCCAAGGTTGGAACTAAAATACATATGGTTTTTATTATTCTGCTTCTTTTCTAATTATATAAAAATTAAATATATATCCCTGTCTAATTGTATATTTATATAGCCTTCTGCTTCATAAAACATATTAATTTAGATATTCACAAAAAAAATTGTCTAAAACATTAGGTAACTACTGAATCATATTTAACTGTATATCGATTATGAAGTGACTTACCAGCCATCGCTGCGTAACAGAGGTGTCTCCAATGAGAGAAGCTAGAAGACCACCTGGTTGCTCTACCGCCACGCCCCTCTTTTGACCTGCCACGGAACCTGCTGCGCTATCCGCCATACCTGTGGCTACAGCTGTAAAGCGGCTGTACACCTGTTTAATGAGTAATAAGATCTGCTCTCATAAAGTCCACTTTTATCGACGACGTCATTAAAGCTGGATGATTCATGTTAATACGCCATAGTTCAATAATAATATTAATCTTTAAAACGACATTACACATTTGTATTATTAAAAAAAGTTACTATTTCTAAAGGAACTAACAGTTTTTTTATTTGATCTTACAGTTACGAAATTGATATCAATAACTCGGGTCAACACAAAGTTTGACTTTAAAGCTTTTTCCTATATTTCAAGACGTAATGAGACGAAAAAAATGACATGAAAAAGTTTGCTTCTGTATTTAGGAGTCGAGAAATCCTTTGTATATCACATACCTTATTCCTTACTTTTCGGGGAAAGGCCAACAGATAATTGCGACCATCACTCGAAAATACTTCTAAAGCAATGGGCTGCAGGAGATATCTTCGTTTGTGCACCTCTCTGGAAGGAACAATTGCATTTCATAACTATACAATGATTTCAGCAACTTTAATTAAGCTAAATTAATGTTTTTATGTACGCGAGAATTATAAAATTTCTAGCAAAAAAAAATGTTTCTACAACAATATATGAATTTTAAAAAGGCCAATTTAAAACGATGAAAAACAAAGTGAGTGTAAGAGCATCATTAATTTCTCAAAAATTAAAAATATTTGATTTTTAGTCACGTGACACAAAACAGTCACAAATGAATCAAATCGACGATGAAGCAGCATACTTGTAAGTAATATCTACGCCTGTCTAATTTTAATGCCGTCTCGGAGATTAATTTTGTCGGAGACTGATTTAGATCCAAATAGACATTATATTTTTGGTAATTAATGATAATAATTAGCACGTACCAAACTTAACGTACGTGTACGAGTTTACAAGCATGGTAGGTCCGAGTGCGGCGACGCCATCTTGCCTAGAGGAGCGTAGAGTTCTTGAAATTATGAATGTTTAAGAGCGGACACTAACCAAAATCACTCAACGTAAATTTGATTGTATGAATAAATTTGTATTGATCCTTCTCTATAATTTCAATGGTTGACTCTAATTAATAACACAATATGCCTCGATACAAAGCACCTCACCTCTAACTTTATCGCCATTTTGTTTTTATTCAATCGTGGCGAGTATTATGAAGCCAAAATATAATTGAATTACAGCAGATTAGTTTGGCCGAGAGCTATTACTAGAGATTTTATCAAATATTGTATATTTTACGAGTTATTTGAATAAAAACCATTTAGCGTTTACTTTATTTTTGTTCCGCGAAACACTTCGCATCTCATGCGAACTTCAGGCAGCGGGCGGAGGGAGACGCGCGGGTGAAATCATGAATTTTGCTAGCCTAATGCGCGCTCTTTATTTAAATTCTTAAAGCCAATACTATATTCTAATAAATTATCTGAAATAGTTATATCTTGTTAAATTGTCTATTATTTAGTCGAAGTAAGAAGTAGACATGGGAAGAAATTGGCTGAGTCAAAAATCAACCTGGAACTGTTTAGGAAAAAACACCTTTTGTATGGCAATTAAGGTTTACAATAAATTACAAATAGAATTGAAGGATCTTCCGACTAGTCTTTAAAAAAGCGACTTGGTGTATTACTTTTGAAAAGAAATTTACTATTCAATAAATGATTATTTGCTTTTATATTTAAATAATATAAGAAATGACTTTGAATAATAATGTAAAATTCCTTTAAAGACAAATTTGCGCGCCATTGTGTGTGGCAGAATATGCGAACTTTTTTTTTATGGCTCTGGCACGATTTGTGCATTAGCCAGCGTCAAGTATAGGATTTTTTATAATTCGTGCTTGTCTTTTAGAAATTCGACCGTGTCCTCCATGTAGGGTTTAAGCACTCGCCCGGTACCGCACAACCCTCCCAAAGGCCGAGAACAAATTTTCATTAAAACTTGCCCTCGAACCGGGAATCGAACCCGGTACCCCTCACCTAGCTGCCTTAATAAGACTGCTAGGCTATGAGGCCCCCATATGCGAACTTTCTTTTTCTTGCAATAAATCAATTATTAATATTAAATTTTACACAATATTAAATACCGTATATCTTCATATAGGAACTTGGAGCATTGCCGCTGATTGCTCCTCTGTATAGCTTGGCTCGGCAGTATGGGGTCATAGTCATCAGGACAGCTGTCCAGGTCTCGAATCTCTCTATTCTTGAGTAGGGTGAAGCCATCGATGACGTAGCAGTGCTCTCGTCCAAAGAGGAGGAGACCTTCAGTCGTATCCAAGCCTTGGATACGGGCGCATCGGAACATGTGTGTAATCTACAGATTTACAAAATATTTTTATTAATGCCTGGAAGTGATTGCTTGTTACCGAAACATTAATTGTATAATTAATTATTAATTCCGTTACATTCATTAAAATATATATTAATTAAAACCTAATATATTTAAACCGTTTTTAATTAAAACACTCTATCTCCTTTCATCACAGCGTAAAGATAATTTGACAGAAAGGGACGAAAGAGAATTTTAGTTAAATAGTAATTAGTATAGTTATTTTTTATGAATCAGGTAAGAAGACAAGTCTGTGGTCTCAGAGAACTCCTTAACAAACTTCTTTTCAAGTCTAGAATTAAAAAAAAATAAGTCCCGTAACTGGTAATATGCACGTCCAACAGTGGTAGATGTTTTTGGTTTAAGCCATTGGTCAAATACATGGCAAGTAAGGCATGATACTGTCATGTATATATTCAAGATATATTTACATTATATATCGTCATACATATAACTGGTATATTGCAACTACTGACAGGTGACAAGTCCAGGCAATTGCTAGAGATATAAAAGAACTATATATATATATATATATATATATATATAGCGATAAAGTTGGCGTTGGACTGTATCAAAGGGCACTAAAGCCGATATTTTACTAGAGTAACTATTTAATATTAATATAATTCCTATTATTTTATTTCTGAAATTGCCTTCATAGCATATTCAGTAAATTTCTGATTTCCCATATACCTTCTCATGATGTTCTAGCAGCCGTAACAGCGTCTGATTATCTGGTGGAGGAGCTTGTTCATCTTCGTCTTCATTATCGGGTCCATCTTCACTTGCTGAAAATAAATTAAGATTTAGCTAAAGCCTCTAAAGAGCGCAAGGGAAAGCAAAAAGCTACCAAAACAAGGGAATTAGCATACTTCGTCTCCTACATATGTATTTAATTGAATAACATTAATAAATAAATAAATCAGTGGCGCAGTAAAAGGTTTTACTTTTTAGGTCTGGGCCTCAGATTTCTGTATCTGTTTAATGATCATGTGTTAATCTAATAGGCAAGTAGATGATCAGCCTTCAGTGCCTGACACCCCGCGACTTCGGGATGAGATTCGCACGCTGAAGTCCCTACACCAACACTGCCGTTATTTTGCATTATTAAATATTAATTTAATTTTTTTTGACATTAATAAACTGAAAATCTCATTATATAACTGTGAAAAGCGCTTTAAATGTGTAGTCACTCCATTATCCATACCTTCAGTGGAATTATTATTCCCTCGACTAACGACTCCGCTGCTCACGAGATCAGATGGACTGCCTTCTTCGTTATTTACTTCCACTGACGTATCTCTGGTACTGAAAAGTCATGATTTCATACAGAATTCTAAAAAAAACTATACAAACGTACGTACGTTTAGCGAATTCATGAAATGATCGAGATAGATGAATAATTTAAAAGGCCGACAACGCAATTGCGAGCCCTCTGGCAATGTTAGTATATATGGGGTCTGTACCACTTAACCGTTATATTTAAGAAAACGCTTAAGGAAATTTCAATCAACGTTTATTATACATGAGTTTGATATAAAGTTCACCATGAAATAACCCTAACTTTCAATTCAATATAAACTAGCCATTACATGAAATCACTTAATATGTCAGACAATAACTATGACATCAAAATCTAACCGACCCTATATATCTACCAGCGACAGATGTTGCCCTGTCTAATGTCTAATAAACAATAACCTTTTCAGAATGCCAAATCATAAAATGACTGCTTCACGACTGATTTGAGAGCGACCGCCGATGCGAAAACCGCTGTGTGAGTTCGAAAAGTGAGTTACAGAATCGCAGGGCTGGTCTTTAATAAAAATCTAACTGTAAATCGAAACGAATCTCGAATCTATTGAAGACAAAAACTTTATCAACATCGATTTCGGACTTTAATTACAAATTAATCATCAAAAATCAATCTCCTATTTATAATATATTTGACAGCAAAGCAAATTAATATGCTTATGATTTTGTTATTATATATTATACACGTTTCCCTTCCCTGTCACCGTTTAAACCTTTAAGTTTAAGTTAATTACTTATTAATTTACTTTAAAAAAAATTATGAACATATGAAATTATTATCGATGAACGCTCGGCGCACGCACGAAAAAGTATGACTCATTGTCCCGTTACGCTCATTGTACGCTTGGGCCTATCTATCTCTCTTTCACTCGAAGACAAATATGCAATCACTATTGCCATAAAAATTTTTAGTACATTGTGCCTCAGTGTTTTCCTCTTAATAGAGACTATACTATATTAGAGTTATTAGACAAGTTTAGGTAATTTGTCTGAGCGATGAGGCAATTAATAAAATAAAGAAAAAAATATTAACCTGGTGAGATCATCCTCCATAGCCTGTCCGTCAACTTCGACGCTGTCGGCTTCTCCCAACGCGGCATGGGAGCGCCACTGCTGGTACACGCGGTAGTACTCCTTGCTGTCACGGCTCTGAGCTACTTTGTATTTAAGCTGACGCTGGAACATATCAAACATATTAGAGTCATGTTACAAGAGTTTATAGACTAAACTCTGATTTTTCATTCCGTAGAATTTGCTACTAAAAAGTTCTCCACCGAAAAAGGGACAAAGGGTCCCATAATCTTACTCAAGTGAACTAAAACAAAAATAACAAATATTTAATATCACGAACAATATATCGAAATAACTTTATATCATTCTTTAGCTGGCATCACTGCCTACCAATTGCAGATTTAGTAAACCTTTTAAAAAAAAATGTTATCTTTACTTGTGCGTTTTTTACAGTTTGTGATGAAAAGGGACGTAATCATCACTCGCCGTAAAACCACTTTAAACGTGGAGCACCGCACTTAATAAAATGGATACATTCACTAACAAATAAAATGTATGTATAGACTCGTAATGAAATTGAAAAATGTGTCCGGCCAAAAAGGTTTGTAATCTCTGACATGTCAAAAAATTATAGCTGTCAGAATTCTACGGAATAAAAAATCAGAGTATAAGTATATTAACGGAATCTATAGCTTAATAATACCAATAGTCTTGGCCTTGAATTTCCAAACTCACATTTTCAGCCTTCTCCAGGAGCGGTCTAAAGGGATAATGAGCGTAGAAGGAATAGTTCCGTCGAAGCTGCTTCCTCATACGGCAGGGTCCCTCAGTACAATGCAGCGCCCACTTGTCAAGGGGCGAAGGTCTAGGGGGGCCCCAGAGGGCTCTCTCACGCGTGAGTTCCCTCCATACTCCCGACCATTCCGCTTGCACGTACCGAGTCGTGTGCGCGCTCGTATTTGCCGCACACTGGGCGCTCGATAACCACGATTGTCTGAAAATTTGACAATATTTTAAAGAATTAGTTAGATAATATCTAGTAGAATTATAATCTTAGAAGAATTTGTATTAGACTTGATAAAAGCGACTGTTATTTAGTGTCTTCGGACTTTTTCGTCTAGGAAATCCAAATACTAACAGGAAAATTATTTAATTCTATAGATCGAAAAGTGAATATCTAATCAAATATTGGCAGTGTACTCTTTTTCTATGATTTGGTGTTTAAACTGCGTTCGAACACAACTTCTAATATAGAGGAAAGATTTGTATATTTGTAACGAATACATTAAAAACTACTGGACCGATTTCAACAATTCTTTTCGGTCCAAAGATGCTTTATTTCTCAAAGAATTATATTCACAGAAAATTTTAATTAAAGTAGGTTAGTTGTGTTATTAAATTATTAAAAATAATAAGCTATATAAAATAAAAATAAATTTTCTGTAGATATACAAATATAAACTATGTGACTTCGTGTAAAATTGATTCGCTATAGAAATGAAACACAAATAAGAATATGTATTTTTTACTTCAATGAAAATAACTATCTACTATAATAAAAAATAGGGGTTGACGGTAGAGGAGTGACAATTAAGGGTTGTATGTATTTTTGAATGATACAGATCATAAAAAAATGAAAACAAAAAGTTTTGTCTAAAAAATAAAAATTTAGGGGTGGGACCACCCTTAACATTTAGGGGGATGAAAAATAGATGTTGTCCGATTCTCAGACTTACTGAATATGCATAAAAAATTCATAAGAATCGGTTGAGCCGTTTCGGAGGAGTATGGGAACGAACATTGTGACACGAAAATTTTATATATCAGATAAGTCGGCTAACTAGGATAGAGATAGACAAAAATCTCTATGCAAATACGAAAACTCCATCTCACCTGACTAATTGGACATGATCTTGCATATACGCCAGAGCGTGATGCTTCGATAACCTCGGTCGCAGCTTCCCCGTGTCTTCCCGTTTGACCTTCGTCCGAGACGCCAGTCGTGTCAGTCCACCTGTCACCTTTTGTATCTTCGATTGAATCTGATTGTGCAGCTCCCACGGCACGCGGTACACGGCCTGATTTAAAAAAATGCTGTGTATATATAATACTCGTAGTAGCAGACACATCTTTACATTATCTCAATTGGATAGGAGACATATAATATATATGTATATATATATATATATATTATATATATGTTTTGGCTGTAAAGCCAAGAACTTTAGAAGTCAGATCGGTGGAGATAGAACAATCATAGGGGGTCCGATAGATTGTCAAGTTATTTTTTATAGAAGGGAAAACGTTTTGAGAATAATTTCTGTTAATTTTTAGTAAAAAGTGAATTATCCAAATTTTAAGTATTATTGTATCCAGGGATGAATCTTTGTTGTAAATATCTAGCTTCATACATATACATAGAGCAGTGTTGGCCTAGTGACTGCGTGCGACTCACATCCTTGAGATCGTAGGTTCGAACCCCGGCTGTGCACCAATAGACTGTCTATGTACGCATTTACATTTCGTACGGTAAAGGAAAACATCGTAAAAATCTGGCTTGCTTGGCTGATAACCTACTTGCCTACTAGATTGACACATAATAATGAAACAGATACGGAAATCTGAGGCTTAGACCTAAAAAGGTAGCGACTTTTTTAATTTATATAATATATATATATATTAACGCCACCTAGTGACACGTTTTATTCCACAGTATAGTCATGTTGTGTTATAACTAAATGTCAGTTGCTTCTGATATTAAGCGAACTCACGCACGTTGTTTCATTTTATTATTTACTAGCAGACGCGACAGACCTGTCCTGCATGATTTTCAATCGATTAGAATATTAAAAAAAGTATGAAAGTACCGACTGCACCGCCATCTGCCGGGCTGATTTGTGAATCTAAAACCATCCAGGGCCCTAACCAAAAGCATACAAAAAAAATCATTCAAATCGGTGCAGTCGTTCAAGAGGAATTCAGTGACATACACACTTCTGATTTTGGTATTAGTATACCTTCCTTTCTGCATCCACATAATGCGTCCAAAGGCGATGGGCAGCATCGTGAAGGGTCTCCCTCACGACCCCAAGGTCAGGGGCTTTAGCTCCAGGTGGTGGAGCACTCAGAGACACCTTGAAGACTTCTTCGATTGCTGGCTTCTTACACGCGTATAGCTCCTCCCACACGCGACGAGCCGCACCCGCCATTAAGTTGCGACCTGTAGCAACAAATTAGGGAGCGTTTAGTATTACGTACGTAAAACGTTACAAAGCAGAGCGGGGATTGAATTACGCGTTATTGTTAATATTATTTCCGACTTTCCAGTACTTTACTCCACATAATGGTAACTTTTAGGTATAAAGAGTCACTAGGTGGGTACGGAAAAACGTTACGGCGCGTTACATGGGGGGGGGTCAATAATCTCCAAAAATTGCGTGACGTAATACTTGAACGCTCCCTTATTCAACTATTATATTCATAATATATAAAAACAGAAAATAATATTTTCCTTTTCCAGCTATCCCAAAACTCGCAATGTATTTTAAAACTACTGATAAAATAGAACGTCGCTATGACTTAGTTTATGATAAATTTGTAGACAAACATACATATAGGTACATACAGTATACATACATACATTTCACATATATATCAAACTGATAACCTCTTTATTTAGAGTCGGTTAAAAACATACCCTGATGAGCAGTAAGACGGTCATCATGAGCCTCTAAGTCTCCACTTGGATTGACATGCCAGGTGGTCCTATGTTGTACGTCTAGTGCCACACGCATACTTGCACTAAGCTGCAGTAGGCAGTATGTCAGACACCCCATGAACTCCAGAGAATGGTTGCCTGCCCCGAATATCACCAGCCTACGAACCAACAAAATAATCAGTGCGGCAGACACAGATAGGTATTTGCGTCTATAGCACAACTTTTTTTAGAAACTATAAACAATTTATTTTTCAAAAATTCTTGTGTTTCTGGTATGACTACCATAATCATAAATAGTAGAAACACGTAAAAAATTAAGAAAATCTATAACTATAAAATCTAAATTTTTTTGGGCAAATTAGATTGTTATCCCTTCCAACCGAATTGTTCTTCAGGAATCAGGAACTATCAGTAACCAGGAAAGCGGAACTAATGTATGTGTATATTTTTATGTAATAGGAGGCAAACGGGCCGGAGACTCACCCGATGTTAAGTGATACCGCCGCCCATGGACACTCACATTGCCAGAAGGCTCGCAAGTGCGTTGCCGGCATTTCAAGAAGTACGCTCTTTTCTTGAAAGACCCTAAGTCGAATTAGTTCGGAAATACTTCAGAGGTCAGCTGGTTCCACAAAGTGGTAGTGCGCGGCAAAAACTGCCTTAAGAAACGCACAGCTGTGGAACGGCGGACCTCGAGATGATACGGATGGTATTTTGTATCCTTGACGTCCGATAATGAAACTCAGTTGCAGGTCCGAACAACTCCGCTGAACACTCTAAAGAAGAATAAGGGCGAACAGCCTCGCTCTATTTAAAATCTAGTTTTACAATCAATCACTTACCTATTGGTAGTTAATTTGTGTAATGCTTCCAGTACGGACATCTGATCGGCGATAGAGTCCGTTGGGCGAGACAATAGGAATAGTATGGTCCTGTTGAGGCAGTGGTGAAGTCCCTCCAACGACACCATTAGAGACTTTTTCTTGGCTTGTGTGACCAACTTTACAAGGAAATCGAAAACCTGCCAATTATTTAAACTTTGTTACATAAAAAAAACTAATAACATAAATTGTTAGGGATGCAACGGTCGGCCTTATCGCTAACAAGCGATCTCTTCCAGGCAATCCTAGTAAGGAATAAACTACAAAAAAAGAAATAGTAAGGGTAAAGTGATTGCAAAAATATGAATTGGAATGCAATACAAAATTAATTATTAGTTACTTTACTTGTCTTTACATATTATATTTAGTTTAGGATTTATTAGTTTCAAGATTTTTTCTTTTAAAACTTAAGTTTAGAATAAATCTATAATTATTTCAACAACACATTAGCCGCATCCACACCGGACGATCCATCGCGATCCGATCGCGCGCTCCACTCCGCGTGCGATCCATTTGTTGTCGGTTTTTTGTTCACGCTCAAAGGGGCCTCAGTCACTTGCCGCGCGCGGTTTGGACAGTTGTGATTTGAATCGCGTGATCCAACGTTATGGATAATTCGCAATGTATTCGTTTATAATCCCTTTATAGGGATAATAAATGCTTATGGGATTCTAATGATATTACGATACGATACGATATTACGTGATGAACAAAAGTCAAATTGATCTGCAGACATAGTTCATCTGATTCAGTATGGATCCGAAGGATCGTGATGGAGCAGCCAGTCAGGATTGCAAAAGATTGCTGTTAGATCGACCTAGCACGATCCACGCTCCACGCATCACGATCTTGGATCGCGGATAGCGGGATCGCCGAACCATTTTGGATCGTCCGGTGTGGATACGGCTATTGGACTTTCATTCATCATATACATAGAAAATAGTGGAAAAATTGTGTTAAATGGGAGTCTACTCCTGATTTCCATTCAACTAAATATGTACAATGCGATTAATAGAGATTTTAAATATTGATGCGGTGACTGTAGGGACAAAATGGGTAATACCAAATTATATTCAACACCAGAACATTGCATACCTCGTGAGGATCTCTAGACAGTTGCCCTTGCCACAGTTTATCAACGAGTCTCGCCGCCAAGTAGCACACATTAGATATATTCGACTCGGAGCCAAACAGTTCTGTATTGAGAAGATTCTCCATGACGGTCGTCAGTACTTCTGTTTGGTATTCAATCTGTTGCTCACTTGTCGAGTTAGCAGGTGATGCGTCTAGCACTAAATCAATCACCTGTAAATAATATTACGTGTCAATATCAATAGTTTAACAGAGTCAAGTAGCGCTGTTTATTGTTAAAATTTCTTAAACTTTACTGATAATAGAAATCTTGTCAACCTGGCCAAAAATAAAATTTATTTCCCTAAATGTTGCATGTAGTTATTTATGTATTTGGCCATTGCTTGGTGATATGTGGTGATGAAAGGTGATATTCAGAAACCAGACTTAGCTCCAATTGTGACTCCAATCCGTTTTTGAAAATCCAATACGTTTTTGGTTCGCGTTAAGTCTCGTGTCTAAATCTTAATTTAATTGGTAATATTTTGATGGGATTTTAATTTTAAACGAAAACAGCGCTACTACGGTTAACCAATTATATAATCCAGGTTAGTAGAAATGCGGTGTGAACTCATTTAAAGAATCGATACGTAATATTAGTAGTCAGGATAGGATATCCCAATACTTAAAGCTGTCAAGATTTAGAGGCAAGTTTTATAGTGAACTCCTAAACGGTCGTTTTCTATACTCCATTCCAATCGGAAATCTGGATTGGAAATAATTTTAGATTATATATCGACATAGAAAGCGGCCGTATGACAACATAATTCTTTGTATGGTAAATTACACATATAAGTAATAATAACACAGAAATGGTCTATGCTCAGATCTGTCAAATCGTGGGATTTTGACAGATAGGAAAGTAAATTCACTTTGTCTCTGAATCTTGGGTTTAGTACCCCTCACCATGCACTTTTAAAAAATAAGCAGGAAAATAGTATGTTAGATAGAATTAATATTTAGGCGAATATTTACGCAATAAAAGTACGATCTCTGTGTGGAGCAGGGCGTACAAAACATTGACGGAGGCACCGAGTCGTTCGCGATCAGACTCTACGAACAATGCAACTACTGATTATAGTTCTTCCTTATTCAATTGTTGCTTTATATCATGGACCTATTCGGTAATTCTATAATACATTTTTCAATTCTACCTTTAACATTTATTTTATAGTAATTACTAACGTATACGTCTGCGTGAGATATTTGTATCAATCAAATCGAGGAAATAAACGGTAACTCCAAAAAATTAAAGCACTGATCGCTTGACTGTCTTTGGTCTACGATGCTTTTGATCAGTTTAAGGCGATGCAATCAAAAAATGTAAAACAAAAGACGAAACGATGTTTAATTGTAATTGGTCAACGGCATCAGACCGTGACGCGAGTCTGTGATTGTACATAATAATAATTGGTATAGGAATTTTAAACATATTTAACATAAGTGTAAAACTTAAGGGGGTCTGATATCGGTTTTAGTAATTTGATTAAACTACCATTCATCTAATCATGCTAAAACATCGTAAACCAAGAAAAACAACATGCTCATCCTATATTTACGTCACGTCTTATTTAATCCAACAGTTGGTAAAAACAAATATTAAGCAATATTCAAGCAAAAAAATAAGCCGTCAAAATCTATTTTATTCCATTTATAAAATAAAGCTTATTATAAAGACAACATCAAATGTTATGAAGCGTGTCATTAACTTCCAAAAAAACATCTCAAGACCACCCATAACATTATAGGTAAAAACTCCTAATATTTGATACTAGTCTTGGGATTGCAAAGTTTCTTTATAGCTAAATTATTATTTTGTTATATTCAGAAATCTTCTTAAAGCCAATAATAATTTAAACTAAGGTTCAAACAATGGATCTAGTCACAATTAAACATTGGCGTACTTCAGAATAATTGAAAAGATTTGATTTACGGTTTATAATAATGAGTACAGTACAGTAACATATCCAACTTAATTTAATTTTTATTTTATAGGAAATTTTACTTACCGGGGAGGCTTTAGCGGTCACATTAAGAGGCAGCGAGTCCAGTACGATGACTTTGATGAAGTCCATGACAGCCTGTCGAGCCGGATGCTGGGTGAGGGTCGCTGAGCTGCTGACCAACACCACGTCCTTCTCGGAGCCTGGAGTCGACGCACCAGAGCTATCTCCGCTCTCACACACGGCTGGAATGTAAAATGAGATCTTGACACAGTGTCGAAGTAGCGATTCAATAATCCGAAACAGTACTCACGCATATGGATCTCGTCAGAGGCGTTTGGTGGAAAGAGAATAGAGGCGAGAGCGCTGAGCACCTCGGCTGTCATCATCAAGGTGACGAAGTCTGGTAACGTGTTGTACAGGGAAAATAGTACCTGGAGTTAAATACGTATTATTAATATTCATAAATTTAAAACAGTTGTGACGCATATTGTATGGCCGATGGCTGGCCATGCGTCATACTCGTGAACGGGTGCTACTTGTGGTGACTGGTCGTACTTGAATTCGTGTATGCGGTGATGTTGTTATTATTACTACGTATTTGCGTGTTGTTTCCACGAGAATGTAAGTGCGTGCTCCTATTTCACCATGCCTCCTGCTGATAGATGACAAATCAGTTTTTAATTTATTATTATTTATTACTTAAGATGTCATGTGGAAAATGGTCACGTAATGGTTGCAGCTCCTTACAAGCGTTGTGTAAAACAAAAAACTTGGCGATTAAAAATAATGGCGGAGAGTTTATTGCTGGTTCTTCTCTTCCGTTCTAGGCTTTACAACTGGCAGTAAATGTAATATTAGAAGCATTTAATGTATTTTTTTTAACATTTGACATTCATTAATGTACATTGCGTTACCTATATGAATAAATGATATAGATTGATTGATTGATTTACTCGAGAGATTACAAAAAAGTTGCCAACATACGACTAGACTAGCGCACTTTAAAATGTTGTCATTGGAGAATTGAAGATGATGTATCATTTCTATTTTAGCTATTTAACAATCAGGTTGATTTCCCCGACCTTTTATCAAAATTTAAATCTCGTCATTCATTTGTCCTTCCTTTCCGAAGAACGCATTTTGGTCAAAGCTCCAGATGTCCAGATTAAGCAATCTGGTAAAGCTCTGGCTATCCATTGTTATTTTACTTAAAACATTTACTTTAAAAGAAATTGTGACGCCATAAATTTATACAAAGCATAAAAAAAAACAAAAACTACCTGTATAATACCAACAGGATGGTCATTCAACCACTCGGGCAGGGACTCGCCATGTACCAGGGACCTAACAGTTGCCAAGAGTATGACAACAGCCTCCGGGCACAGGGTGATTCTCGCCGCCAAAGCAGCTGAAGACTGTCTTTGTGGGGCTGCAGCCCCCCAAGCTGCGGCCCATACGCGCTCAACTGATACGGTCTTGTCTGGGCCCGTTTGACGCATCGGTTGTCCGAGGGTGAGACCGAATAGAAGGTAATATAGCTCTGGTATTTGAAGGTGGAAGAGAGAGAGCCTGGAATATAAATACATCTTCTGAATTGACTCTTATATAAAGCCCCTTTTTTATCGAAATATTATTTTTGTGGTTATTTTCGGCTCAATCAGTTAAAAATTTCCAAATATTATTTTTCAAACAATGGTTTTATGACTTAATATTAAAAGTATATTCAACAATTTAACATCTATATATTATATCTACCAGGCAAGCAGCGTGAATCCAGATGTATAAAGCAGGGGCGCGTGCAACCTGGGATGCGCGAGCGCAGCAGCGGGCAAAACTACGCCCGCCTGCCCTGTCCCGCACACTTCCGCGTGACGCACCCATCCGCCCGTGCTTAAGCCCTCGCGGAACCTGGTACAACCACATAATATCATTTATTACGTTACATTCATTAAATCAAATTGAAATTTAAAATAATAAGACTTTTCAATCAAAGTTTTATATACAAACAAAATGATTTATGATATATCTCGCATTTATATGCAAATTGGGAGCTGATCTTAGATTCAGTTTAATTTTATGCTATAATCGTAATCAAAATTCCAATAAAATGGCCACAAACCTTTGCATTATGGCACTTTGCTGTCCCTGTCCAGAGCACAAAATGACCAAAATCCTCAACGCCCACAGCACAGTTGCCGGATGAACATTCTCTTGCATAAAGCTTAAAAGCCAATCCATGCCCAGAACTCTAGAGATCTCCTCGCAGACGATCGTGTTCACTAAATTCCGGTTCGTGAACAACAAAGTATGGAGCACGCACAAACATTTATTCCTCAATATTATAACTTCGCCCTCAGAATCCTTCTCAAAATCGTCCGTTATGGGTATATTCTGTTCCGTTTGCGTAGGTAACGGCAGGGTATAGGCCATATATTGACCAAGACACAAGAGATCGCTGGGCCGCGGTTGACCTCCCAGCAAAGCCGCTAGCAAATTGATCAGAACATTTTTTGTGCTTCCCACTTTGACATCGTTGACGATATACAATAATTTCGGTACGAGTTGCAACTCTCTCATTGTGCGTAAGTTGTGCGTTCTGTGAGCTGTTTCCGTCGCTAACTCTAGTAAATGCTCCAAGAGGGACTTTATCAGGCCACTGGGCGCGCCCAGCCATACGTCTAGATCGCATATCAAGTCCTGAAATTTAATAATACCCCCCTATATTTCTGTTAAATTGATTCTAATAAATTGACACGATAAACTATTTATATATTCAAATTTTACTAAAACTGTCACTGTCATAGACTTTATCTGTCAGCTTTTGACAGCCCTTGTTTTTCGCAATTTGTATATATAATTCTACTGTACGTGTGTACATACATACACATGTCAGGAGTTCAGTGACATCACTGAACTCCTCTTAAACGGCTGGACTGAATTAAATGATTTTTGATGTGAAACATCTATAGCCGCACGTAAAACCGATTTCTGGCGTGGCGACGCATGTCGTGGCGACACGTCGCCACGCTATATGATGGTATATATATATATATATACAGTCTATATGCAGTAGTGTGTACGGTGTGTGTATTTCGAAGTCACTGATTAAACGAATTAAGTAGTCACGATTTGAAAAAAATCGTAAATTTTTGTATTTAATGAAAATAAATGTTTATTAAATTAATAGTCATCGTTATCTGGAAAAAAAATCGTAATATTTTATTTTCAATCTGTTCTTTTCTGCTTTTCATATTACTTTTACAAAACAATGTCGATGTTTCACATCTGCCAGGCGTCCCGTGACGGCTCACATTTTTTTAGTTACGTTTGGGTGGCGCCCTGGATGGTTTAGATTCACGAATCAGCCGTACTCATACTTTGTTTAATATCCTAATCGCTTGAAATATCATGCAAGACAACGTCTGTCGGGTCTGTATATTGCGTTTACGCTATGATTCAAATACAAAGGACATTAAAGGCTGTCAAAACGTGTCAGAAGAGAAGTTAAGGATTTGAGGAAACTATAGGAATAGGGGCCTAATGTAACCTAGCACACAAATAGAAACAATTTTTTTTTTTAAATAATAATAAAGAAATTTACCTGAAAAGCTGTCAAGTTGGGTATCGATGACGTTTCCTTCTGGCTGTCTACAGTGCCGACCAAGCCAAAAATAAGATGCAGAATATGTGAATTGAGAAGCTGCTTCTTCTTCTTCAATAACATTGCCAATGTCTGGTATCCTTTCCGCCTGTCCATTTCTGCTTGGGCGGCCTTGTTCGAGCGAACGACACAGACCAAAGCTTTGACACCGGCGTACAAGCATTCCACGTCCTGAGCCATTGCTATGAGACCTAGTAACACTGAACATCCGCCCACTGTGTCGATCTGGAAAATATATAAAGCATTGAGATCGTGATTACGAATTTTTGATAGACCTCGTCTAGAATCTCACCCTCTTTAAGGGTAAGATTGATAGTTGGACTTACCGCTAAGGGAGCGTTCAAGTATTACGTCGTAGTAAAACGTTTCGTGACCACCTAGTGACTCTTTATACCTAAAAGTTACCATTATGTGGTGTAAAGTACTGGCAAGTCGAAAATGATATTAAAAATAACGCGTAATTCAATCCCCGCCCCGCATCGTAACGTTTTACAAAAGGAACCCCCCCTCCCAAAATTCGTTACGTAATACTTGAACCCTCCCTAATTTTGACTCGAGTAACTCAAATCCAATACAATTTTGACATACTTTGTAGCCAACGAATATGGCAAAAATTCTTTATGAATTTGTTCTTTAGGATTTTTAAACACTATTAATTTCCAGTGTCTGCTAATTTTATGTGACCCATGAGACAAAACATACACCTGTATAAAACTAAGACAGTACCATAATACTTTTAGGTCTGGGCCTTCGAATGCTGTATGTCTAAAATCAGCCTTCACACACAGTTGTATATTTATTAATAAATAAATAATTATTTGTCGGTCTAAGACGTGCCGGTATCCTCACGATGCTTTCTCCTTCGAGCAGTGTTAAATGCGCAACCTCAGGGATAAGAGACGCTGAAGGCAACGCTGCTCGAAATGGGTTAAAGGGACATAAAAAGAACTTACCATTATGGCCGCTGGTTTAGGACAAAACACTCTCACACCCAAATACCCCACAACGACCCCTCCCAGGCACCTGGCGGGTCCCACCAAGTGTCCCGCGGAGTTATGTAACACCCTTATTGGGGTAGCATTTTCATGGGACGACATTCCCAATTGCTTGGCAATCGCCTTATTATCATTCTTGCTATACACTTTGCGAATCTTCGCGAGTGTCAGTTGGGAAAGCGCCCGAGCGTTTATCCCGAATATAACTTTCTCTTCGGCCACCAAAGGTCCTAATGGTTCCTGATTCGGGCCAGGAAGAACTGGCGCTTGCAATGTTCCCATGTAGTGCGGCCCCAACTGGTATATCACCGATATTGTTTGTGCGGGCAATACCTGTTGTGGAACGAGTACTTTATTAATTACAATGATTTTTTTTAAATCAAGTTACCCACAACACAGGGACTCCTAGCGATATATGAATTATGTCATAAATAAAGTTTTGAAGTTATACTTCTTTTGGCGCGTTAGGAAAAATTATCAGAGTAAATTTAACCGATGCGCGCGCAAACCGTCACAAAAACCCGACACTCTGAAGTAAGCATTTATACAACATTCTAAAATAAACAATGTCAATTTCTTTAATTATGTAGAAATATTTTTTTAAATATTTAAATAAACTTTATTTAACTAGATAATGCGTTATAATAAAACTTTCAATGTATTAAACACCTTTTTTCTATTGTTAGTGTCGTTTCTTCTACGAATATAAAATACATTTTTTGAAAAGATTTTTTTTCTTGTTACGCCAAAGAAGTATAACTTCTAACGCGTGTACACACACAATACACATGTTTATTATTTTTTATTTATTTCGACACAGAACCTTTGTTTTGTTCAAAAAGTCCTAAAATTAATTGGAAAGTCCAGAATAAAACGCTTAATAGCTACAGAATACGGAAACACACTTACATCCTCCAGCAGTAGTGCAGGTCCCTGTCTCCAAAGAAGCCTGGAATAGCGCCTCCAATGGGGCGGAGTCCCCACGACGCAGTAAACGCTAGAGGCTCCCGATAAGGTGGCGGCTCCACCGCCCGGGTTAGCGCTTACGTAGTGTAACTTTCCCGAGTGCATATGTTGCCCTGGATATACAATTTTCATTGTTATAGTTTTCAAATAATATCCATAGACTATAGTCTGATTTTTGATTCCGTAGAATTCTGACATTTCATAAGTGTTGCTACTAAAAAAAGATCTCCACCGAAAAAGGGACTAATTTGACCCATTTGAAGTCAATAAAAAATAAAATGCGACGTATTTTTCACGTTCTATCTACAAAAAGGTAAATCTAAATATTTACTTAGTCAAGTGACCTAATACAGAACTAAGCGCTCCCACACAAAACCGCGAATTCGCATCGCATCGCAAATATCTGCGAATTCGCACGAACGCACCGCAAGAATTTCCGATCTGCTTCGCATCGCAAATTCCTGCGATATTACGTCATCCTTGGTGACGCCATTTTAGTCCCCTCTGAGACAGCTTATAGAAAGACGCGCGCCTTCTTTGTTTTTAAATAACAATAACAATGGCGGAATATGATATAGATTTTTTAATATCTTTAATTCACGAGCGTCTCGTCCTATGGGACACAAGTGATGAACATTATGAAAAATAAATTATAATAAATTCTCCCCTTGTACGATCGTTTTTGAAGGCATGGTGATAATAAACTCAGAAGCTCTTCAAATGAAGATATGCTCATTCTAAAATATTTTTTTCAGTTCTCAACGCATAGTACTTTTGAGTAAAATAGTTCCCATCAGAGTTCATAATCGTAATAAATGGCTGAACCCAGAATCTTCGATATATATGCAATATTCTTTTTTGCGATCCATCTTACGCTTCCTTAAACCAGTCCAGTACGGCTGACTACGAAGGAATGGTCGCCCTACCAAACGGTTTGTCGCACTAAATCGTATCGCAGAAATTCGCATTGCATCGCATCGCAGTTTTGTGTGGGAGCCCTTACAAATATTAGGTATAATAACATTTTATTTACAATCAAGTATACAGTTTTTACAAATATTTCAATATCACGAACCATATATCGAATTAACTTTAATTACTTTATTTTATTCTTTAGCTGGCATCACTGTCTACAAATTCCAGGTTTAGTAAACCTTTTAAAAAAATAAAATGTTATCTTTACTTTTGCGGTTTTTTACTGTTAGTGATGAAAAGGGACGTAATTATCACTCGCCGTAACTACTTTATTGTACATTAACTACTTTTAATGTGGACCACCGCACTTAATGAAATGGATACATTTAATAACAAATTAAATGTATGAATAGACTCAGATGTTCAGAGTCGTATTGAAATTGAAAAATGTGCCTGGCCAAAAGTTTTGTCATCTCTAACATGTAAAAAAATGATAGCTGACAGAATTCTACGGAATTAAAATTCAGAGTATAAGTTGTTTACCAGTTTATATACAGGAAATTGTGATGAATCTATGGTAAAATCTTTGAGGGTTTTAAAGGAAGTGTTGCTCAATGGTCCACTGATGGTAAGATTCAGAAATGAGTGGATCTGCAAAAACTAACCAAATAATTCAGGCTCCTCTCTTTCGAATTCTTCACTTTACACGGTACTTATCCGTGGCCATTCGAATTATATTCGGTAGTGGGCAGATCGGTTTTAAAGAAATCATTGTTATGTGCCTATCTCGAAACCTAATCCGCTGTTTTGCTGGTAATATTTTTTTGCTACTTATTAAATATTTCTGGTATTTTTATTTTATCTTGTATATATTTTAATTGTATTTGTAACATGTATGTTTTTCTAAATTGTCATATATTTTGGATAAAAGAGTGTGTAACATATACCGTAGATTTAGTACTATGTATGATGTGGTAAACTTTAATAAATAAATAGATCTCACTCGGGGCAAAGAGAGTTGGCTTATAAAAAATCTAGAATTTTTAACGACAAATTATTTTACGTTTTTCGAATATACTTATATCTAAATAAATATGGCATACCGTCAAGATAGAGCGAGAAGGAAGAGTTCTTGAGTACGGCCCGATTGAGGACAAGGGCTAGATGGCGCCACTGACCCTCGTGCTGCAAGTCGGGACACCACACACGGGCGCCACATTCGCCTACACCCTCGGGCTCCCATTCACCAACATCTACAACAAGTATCCGTATTCAACCTTCACTTCTGTTACGCTATCGTGTCAAGTATGAAAAATTTAGTTAAGAATAAGATTTTTCATACAAATATTTTACAATAAAATTAAAACTTTTTATCACACGAAACATGAAAAAGACTGAAGAAATTTTATAACAATTGTTTAAAGGCTTAATAAATGTGGATTTTGAAATAACATATAACAAATATTTATTAATAAAATTTGCATTCATTAACGTAAGAATACAATTAGACTACTAAAATCAAGATTATTTTACAATTACTTACTCTCAGACATACATACATGTAAATGACTCTTTAATACTTTGTAAGTGTTATACACTAATTTAAAGTAATATAAGCTTGCGGAAGTTCTTTGACCTTTGACGATATATACATATACTAGCAGACCGGCCAAGCGTTGCTGTGGCTAAGGTTTTTGTTATATTACATAGTAGTAAACTATTCAAGGGAAACGGTAGGAGAACACCAGTCATGGGGACCACCATGCTTTTTTGATGGTTATGCCATTAAATTGTAGCTTTAATGTGAAACGTTGGTACTTTCAACACAGCGCCATCTTGCGACTATCAAATAATAAACAAATATTTTGCAATAAAATAATATTTGCGGGTATAAATTGAGAAGTAAGCTATCCTATCTTTTAAGTTGGATCAAACTACACACGGTGTGCAAATTTGATTGATATCGGTTCGGTAGTTTAGGAGTCCATAGCGGACAAACAACGTGGCACGTAATTTATATATATTAAGATATACTTTTAACGAAATCTTATTGCTTCATAATAAAATACTCACTGTGGGGAACTAAAGTCTCCTGCGTCGATACAATGATAGCTTTATCCCGAGCTGACAACACCAGAGCCAAACACACGAGGTGGTCGTCCCTTGAGTTGTTAATATTCCGTACGAGGGTCAGCAAACGGACACAGTGTGGGTCCGTACGGGCCTCGGAATACTTTTCCACGCAGATCCACGTGGAATAAGTGAGCCCCGTTTGAGGAGGGAAAACTCGGTCGCCTGGAATTTAATATCAATCATATTCACAAGCCATGGTTTAAAACGCACATTACGGGCTTCGAGGACAGAGCATCGTAAACTTTAAAATTATTAAATACAGTAAGTTATTACCCCATTCCCTGTTTAGAAATTAAACAAAAAAACTGTCACAACAAAAAAATTCTGTAATTTTGTATGAAGCCATACAAATAGCAATTTTTCCATTTCAAAGTGGTTCCCTCAGTATGTTGCTTTATTAAAATCACAATTTACATTAATATAAGAGGTCGTTGGTTCGATCACCGGTGTACGCCAATTTACTTTCTGCCTTTGTGGTGAAAAAGAAACAGTGAAGAAACTGGCCTAACACCCAAAAACAGTCTACGGCTTGAATCAAGCACAGAAGGCTGATCAACTGATCACTTTTCTAGTAGAAAACACAAATTATCACGAAACACAAACTGAGGTCCAAACAGCTTGTAGCACCAGCGCTAGTTCTTTTTTGGTTACAAAACTCTAGTCCATAAATCATTATTATCATTGAGTTTATCTTAAAATATTTAAAAAAACTTGGCAATCTAAATCTTGAAGAATTCATTTTTATTCAACCTTATTTATATGTGTACATAAATAAATGATATTTCATCATAAATTGACGGATTTATTCGTAAGGAAGTTTTGTCCTTTTGCAAAATTTTAAAGGCTGGCAACACACTTGCGAGCCCTCTGACAATGTTAGTGTCTATGGGTGGTATCACTTAACATCTAGAGGGTCGTTTGCCCCGTTTTATATAAAAAAATCGTCTGTTTCCAGTCATCTAGACAATAGCGAATTAGAACAAAGAATTACCCGATCCAATTCCCCCGAGCGTAGAGGAGTCTTGCGAGCCGAGGGCGTTCAAGTTAGCCGCCTGAGGAGCGATGCTGGGGAGGTAGAGGCAGCCGAAGCCCTCCGCAGACATGTCGAACTCCACGAACGGTGGTAACGTGCACGAATTTTGTGCCCTGGAAATTTTTAATATACTTGAGAACTTGTGCAAATTTCATTTTATTTGTCTTTTTTTATGTAACAGAAGGCAAACGGGCAGAAGTTTCATCTGATGTTAAGCGCTCATGGACACAACTCAAATCAAATTCATTTCTTCATTTAGGTAACACAATGAACACTAAACGGCAAAAAGAAATACATAGTTTTAAGGACGATGAGTTTCCATTTGATCGGTCCATCTGGTTGGTGAACGGCCACGATCAGTTTCTCCAAGTTCTCATCGCCTCTGCGATTCTTTATTTATTTGTATTTACAGAGACCCTAATGTTTTAACGTTTTTACCTTAAAATTTAATGTTTAGGCATAATTGCATATTCAAAGATTTTTTGTATACACAACCAAATCAGGTGAAAAGTTATATAACCTATAATCTCGAGGCGTTGTCATGGAAACCAAAGTTTTAATCCTCGTCAATGGCACTGGTCCCCCGGGCTTACTGACTTGTCCGGACTCCGGCGCCAAACAGTTCAACGGACTGCCCATCCGTAGGAAATCCCTGAAAAAAATACATGTAAATAACTAAAGCAATTTGTAAATCACCCTCGTTCAGCAATAACTCCATTTAGATATTCTGAATATAGCATTCACTCTATATTAGAACACAAAAAAATAAATGTAACAACCAGGTCGGCCTATGTAAAAGCAGTTTTTTTTACATTTATTTCCGTATTTGTAAAGTTAAAATACCAATATTAAATTTACCAATAAATACAAATATACATTAATTCAATTTGGATGACCCAATCATTATTTATGAATATCATATCTAATATATAAAATTCTGGTGTCGCGGTGTTTGTGGTTAAACTCCTCCGAAACGGCTCGACCGATTCTCATAAATTTTTTTGTGCATATTGGGTATGTCTGAGAATCGGACAACATTTATTTTTCATCCCCCTAAATGTTAAGGGTAGTCCACCCCTAAATATTTTTTTTATATTTTTAGATATTTTTTTCTGTTTTTATTTTTTTATGATACAGCTTTAAAAAATACATACAACCCCTAACTTTCACCCCTATTTACTGCTGCTGCTATTTAAGCTGATCCGGCAAAACGACGTTTGCCGGATCACTAGCACAAGCGATATCACTGTTTTATGTTAGAAAAAAAATTGGATTTATATACATAAAAAACGATGCCCTTTTTAAAGGTTCCTAACTAGATCGCGAACACTTCGTTACCTGAGATCCGAAGGCTTCAGAGCGTGGGCAGCCAATCGTTCCAGCACGTACAAGGCGGGCGCGTGCAAGGGATGTCTCTCGTTGCGCAAGGCCCAGCCGCACTCCCGAAGCACGACGCCGGCCAGGCCTCCCACGCACATCACTTGCTGGTTGCGTTCACTGCACGTACACGCCCATTACTAGCACTTTTTTACTGCCAAGTCTTTAAATACCACAGTGAAAGTAGTTTTTGTTGTGGCGTTTATAATGTTTAAAGTACTTTATTTTTCATTACAAAATGTATAATTTTTACATGAGAAACTTAATATATAGGAAAGATTAGATTTTTTTAATGATAACCTACTATGGAGAGTTATTATTTTTTTTTGAAGTGAAACTTCTTTATCGGGGTTGGAAAAAAATGTAGTGTAACATTTTTTCGTTACGCGTCACATTTTTCGGTTACGCGCCATGTTGCTTTTTGATGTCAAACTTTTTTATCGGCGTTGGAATGAAACTTCTTTATCGACGTATGGGAGAAACTTTGTAGCAAATCGTCACGTTTTTCAATGATAGTACATAATAATTCTATAACAATTAATGAAATTCTATAATAATCTTCGTAGTGATAAGGTAAAATGAAATATTTGTATTCATGTCTATGATAATAAAAGCCTTTTGTTAAACTTTATCTAATTTAACGAATTTCTGTAAAGTTGCATATAGTAGATCATTTTTCGAAAAATAAGATCTTATTTCTTAGTTTCACTTCTTACGTGTGTACACCTAGTACACGCACAATTTTTTTTTAATTAAGATACGGGTGCTATAAACATATAGTTGTTTAATCGTCATCGTTTTAGTTCCTTGGTAAAATAAACAATAGAAGTAATAGTAATTTAGAATATGCAAAATTTACTATCAAAGAAGAACAGTTATGCATTTAACTATGTGGATGAAATTTCATACTTGTATGCCATATAATACAACTACGAAATGGTAGATACAGTATACAGTATTTTACACTAATCAAAACCCAAGACTAACCAAGCCAGTTATGCTTAATGCAAAATCCTTACGAAATCATAAATATCACGTTAAAATTAGAAATACCAAATGGACCAAGGCAAATAAGTCTTAACTGAAATCCTCCAACTAAGATCTGGAAATGAGGATATGCTAAAAAATAATACATTAAGAACAGACCTTCTCACAAGACTCTTCAAAACGTGCGCCAAGTAATCTCTAAGCGCCCTCGCATAGTCCTCGTGTTGCGATGGGCGTGGCAGCGCGGGCAACAGCTTGGCCAACACGATGACCACGCCCGGGTGTATCACCCACGCCTCGTTTGAGGGTGCACCTATCGACAGGTTCAAAGGTGCCGATCTACCCGCAGGTTTGGCCTGAAATATATAGAGACGGTAATCATAAAATTTAAATTACCAAAGCAACGGGAGGTTTTATACAAGCGATCTTCCCGTTGAACCAAAGTAATAATTTTTTTTTAATAAAAAACAAACAATAGTTTAAACAATAAATAAAATAAAAGAATGATAAATTAAAAAAAAAGTTGTTATAAGAAAATATACTAGTAAAACTAAAATTGGAAGTGTAATATTTTTATTGTATTTTTATTTTCGTCAAATTTATGTTCACCGTATTTTAGAATAGATAGATTGTAACTTGTGCTATAGAATTGTGGTGTTTTAATAAAAAAAAACGTGTGGCACTCGGGGACTGCCGCGGTAAAGCTATTGCATAGCATTTTTTATCAACTTATGCAGTTATAATTATTTATTTATTTTTTATTTAATATGCAGTATTTGTTTTTCTTTGATATTAATTCAAGTTTTTTCTTTGATATTATTTCAATCTACCACTCTACCAGACTCAGACTAAAACGCCTATATAGTCCGTCTCACTCTAACGCGTACACCGGCCGCGCTCACGCTACGTTACCGATCTCGTCAGAGAAATGGGAATGCGCAGTATGCGTTCTGTCCCACTCTAACGCGTATTTGCCGCACCTATATTACGTCATCGTGTGTTAGGTTTTTTTCGTTACGGAATTTATTGATTCGGTCGCCGCACTCAAAGCCCGCGATAAAATCTATGCAATAGCTTAATAAAAGACAACTCACAAATTAAGTCCTCAAATAATTCGCTATTATCAATCAACCATTAGTTAAATATAGAAATCCTTATGAGTCAGTGATCCAAAAATTCGAAGTTTGTATTTGTGTATTTAAGAATCAAATACCTCATTAATAGCAGAGCTCTGTCGAGTCAAACTTGGCGATTTAACATTGAGTAATCCAAAAAACGATGGTTTGTCGAAGCAATCCAGGGCAACGTCGTAAAGTAACCTCAACACTATACTGGCGTGAATAAACTCCGCCGGGACTTTCTCAGGAAATCTGGAAGTAAATGTAACTAGATTGGCTCATGTGTAAATATGTGAGCACCATGTATCTACATAATAATATAGTTATGTACTGTATTGTTTTTTATAAGACCATGAGCCTTTTTATTGTATTTTTTTTTTGACATGGTCATCACAAATAAATATTTTCAAATTAATGTATACAAAGTATTGTATAATATTATTGTATTATGTTATACCAATACGACTCAGGGTCCTTCTAGAGCGTACCCAATTCTTTAAAGACCGGCAACGCACTAGCTCGCCTTCTGGCATTGAGAGCGTCAATGGGCGGCGGTATTAATCAACATATTCATAAACGAACTATGTATCAAGTATTTTTAAGTTTAGTCGTAAGAAGCCAAGTTCATTCTTACGTGGTCTCCAATATATTGCTGGTAAAGATCTCATGAAAGACTTCATACAGCTCTTGGTCTCCCGCTTCAGTGTCATTGAGAAGCTCAGTATCACTGGTGAAGCATCCCAGCAGTCTTATCGTTTCATATAGAGTTGTCATGCAGATCTGAAATTTTGAAAATAAACAATTGTTTCATTAAGTCTCAGAAATTCTAGAAGTATTATGGAGTTTTGCTTCTTGAACTTTGTACTTATTTGTTAAATATCCATTGCACTCCCTTTGCCCTGTATAAGCAATACCTGGACCCCTCTGACGCAACACCATTATAAAAGGTAGCGGACAATAGACATCTTTGATTGGATACCTCATATCGGGCCGGTCAAATCCTCAAATCAGTAATAAGTCTAAAATATAGATTATTATTGATCGTGCTCCTTATATCGGGCCGATTCAATTGTTATATTTAATTAAAATAATTGTAATAGTTTGATTAAAGTAATTTAAATATTATTTTTTGGGATTCACCGCACACTTATTTATTCGTAAATATTGTTATGAACTAACCAAGCCAATCTAAATATAAATCAACAAACAAGGGTCTGTTTGATTGATTGGCGTTAATTACATTTTCACTGGCTTGGGAGTCGGCATTATCAAACTCGAGTTACTTTGTATATATTACTAGTGGACCCCACAGACGTTGTCCTGCATGATATTTAAAGCGATTAGGATATTAAGCAAAGTATGAAAGTACCGACTGCAGTGCCATCTGCCGGGCTGATTTGTGAATCTAAACCATTCCCAGATCCCCTTGAACACACACAAAAAATTCATCAAAATCGGTCCAGTCGTTTGAGAGAAGTTCAGTGACATACACACTCACAGAAGAATTATATATATATATATATATATATATATAAAGATGTTGCTAAAGCACAATTTTATTGAAAATACGTTGTTGCGAGATCTGTTCTCTTATTTAACTTAAGATCGCATTGCCAAACGAACTATCAGTTTAAATTTTAACTTGATCTGAAATACATCCACATGTCATATTTTTAAACATAACACTTTCTTTCAATTTATTTGACTTCTTTTTTTGAACGTATTATTTACGTAAAAGAGTTACTCACTTAATAAACACATTAAGATATAATATATTACTTAATTTGGTATATTTGCGAACCCTTACCTCGTGGTGAAAGAACTTGGCGTTGGCAGGTTCGAAGCGCATAGCTGTTGTGATAGTATAAAACACCACATGTATGAGATGCAGCATATCTCGGGACAGCAGAGTGCCTCCTTTTAATCTTCCCTCCAACGACACTAACACGCTGGTCACGTAAACGAAACCGCTCACCTGAAATTATTCGTATTTTATTATTGAAATCGAAAGAGCAGTGTTGGCCTAGTGGCCTCAGCGTGCGACCTCAGGTAGTCGTAGGTTCGATCCCCGGCTGTGCACCAATGGACTTTCTTTCTATGTGCGCATTTAACATTTGCTCGAACGGTGAAGAAAAACATCGTGGGGAACAACTGACATATCTTAGACCCAAAAAGTCGACGGCGTGTGTCCGGGAGCGTTCAAGCATTACGTTACGCAATTTTTGGAGTTTTTTTTTTGTTTTTAAGAAAGTGATTAAAGAAGGAGAAAAAGCGTTGGGCGAACAAAGTGCCCTTTTTGGGTGGCTTTTATATCTCCGTAGGTTTGCGTTGTGTATGATTTGGTGTGGTCGGTGTTTGTTTCCAAAAGCCAAACACAGGCATTCGAATTTTTTTTTCGAAAATTTAATTATTTTTAATTTCATGACACATGATACCAATATAGTGGCGAAGCGTTTAAACTAAATTTGCTATTGAGTAAAAATACCTTTCTAAAAATAGTTCTCGTCCGATGAGAGTCCCTCAGACAAACCAGTAATGCCTTCAGAATGTGCAATTTGAGTCTATATGCGTCGTTTGGCGCCGCGTGCATCCCGCTTAACAACATCGACATGTCTTCTTCTCCCGATCCACTCACAATCAACTCTCTTACCACACCTTAAATAGAGAAAGAAGAGTACAAATTGTGCCATGTCTAAAACCTGTCAAAATATTTTTTGTACTCATAAATTAAAGGACGGAATGATACGCGTACATACGTATACGTACGACAAGGTCGGAGTGATGTTCGAAAGAGATAAAGGGCACGCACGTCCTAGAATTGTGCGATAAGGATAGAACACCAGCTACTCATTACCACTTATGCGCAGAAAGCAGTTATCAAGGATTAATTTTTTGAAGAGTTCTTCCACGTTTCTAACCGTCCCCTCATCTCGTAACGGCATTAATTTCAAGGAACTATTTGTATTTATTTTATACTCGTTTCTTCGTTAAACGCCAAATAAACACAAAACTATAAAATATGTCATTGAAGTAACAAAACACTTGACTGAGACGGAATTCGCAGAAAAAACTCACCTAAAGCTTTTGTCCTACACGTTTCATAGACGACCATTCCGTGCACACATTTAGCGCCACCACAGTCCCGAAAAACGTTGCAATTGTTCACATTCCCATTCAAGAGGGCAGTTAGACCCTCCATTACCAATTCCCCCAACTCCTCTTCCTGACTGTCAACGTTAGGGTCTCTGATCAAGGAATCCTGTCTCGATTGACGCTTTTTCCTTTCTGGAGCTTTTGGGGATTCACTTGCGCTTCTATCGGATTCTTTCTGTTCTCTTTTTCTTCCAATTCCTCTTCAAGTATTTGTTTATCTTTAAGATATACCGCGTAACGTGTTAGACACGTAACGAACACTTCTAACATACCGACCTCTCGGTACACGTCCTTGAAAATTGCGTTGTGCCTGTAAATGCATTATTTATTTACCAAAATATATCAAAATGTATGACTGGTGATAAATAATTTGATTAAGTATGGAAGAAAATATTATAATATTATAGCCATTTTTATTAATTTCTTTAAACAAAAATTATCAGTTAATTCTCTAATTCGAATTAATAAAAATTTATAAGTGACATATTTTATGAGGATTAACCTAACACGCTTTTCTTTATGTAACAGAAGTAGCAGAAGCCTCATCTGATGTAAAGTGATACGATGGACAGATGCCAGAAGGCTGGCAAGTGCGTTGTCGGCCTTTTAAGAATTGGTACGCCCTGTTCTTAAAGGACACTAAGTCGGCAAACTAAATAAAAACCAATTACATATAATCTCAGAATTTTACTAAATAAATGATCACGTATCTTTAGACTTCCTCACGATATTTTACCCCACACCAAACGAGTTGCCCAGTCGGGTTGCAAACACATGACTCCTAACCGCAACTAAGTTCAAACGAAATAAATCGTATTACTTACTTGAGAATATTTAACAATGTCTTGATACAAAGAATGCTGCAGCTTCTCGATCTATTCGCTTTCAACAACAGCGACAAGGAAATCAACTCTTTGCATGGCACGAAGTTCAGTTGGAAAACGATAAATTCGAGCAACTCGAAAAATTTCTCTTGTATCTCAGCGTTTTTCGTGTGAATCCTTTCTGAGAATTGACTGAGTGTGTTTTGATTTTCCAGTATGAAATAATTGGCGTTGTCCGCGTGGTATACGCTAGAGATGGCGTCTAGGATCGTACAACAAAGAGCCGGCGAATTCGATTTTAAGAAGACGGATTGTAGTACCTGTTGTGAAAGTAAAATGTTATTTTTTTGTTAATTATATACATCATAAAAAAAGGGCGCGTGTACTTATGTACGCGCGTAAAAAGTTATACTTCTTTGGCATTATTAAAAATAGTTTTTGATTGCATGCAAATAATTACATACAATTAAATAATCAAAGACTGGAAAAGGAGTCATTATAGTCAATAAAGTTCAGTTTACATTTGAAAAATTAAATAAATAAATATTTATTATTATTCTCTTACATTAAGTGTAACATAAATTCTATTATTATTCGAATGTTGTTTTTAAATTATGTCCAATTATGTATGTGTTTAAATTATGCCGTAGCATCTTCCGTGGGCAACTTAATTCTGTTAATTTTGTGTCACGGTGCACGCGCATCGTTAAATTTCACTCTCATCGATTTTTCATAACGCGCCTAAAGAAGTATAACTTCAAAAATAAGTTTCCAATAGCGAGGTGGAGCGCAGAACTAATTTAAATGAAATCATTATAATATAACGCGTAATAAGACGGTATATAATGAAGCCCATAAACACATTAAAGCAATGCAAGAAACCTGTTTCCGACGACAATTCATATTCGATTACAAGGTTTCTACATAGGTTTACTGATTAATATAATTTATTTTTATGCATAATTATTGTTTGTTTTATGTAGTATTTTTTTTCAATCGTTGTTTGTAATTCTTCCTAGAAAGATATTAGAGCTACTCATGACCATGTGTAATATCTTTTCAAAACCCCTATTAAATGCGCCAAAACTTGTTATACAGGGTCATTTTTCGGTATAGTATTTTTTTTCACAGTGGGTTCCGAAATAAACAAAAAATTATGATTTGAGAAATTTTTATATCGTATAACTTAATATTATCTTCAATATACTCAATAAACAACTATAAATAGTCTGTCTAACGCAAGAACTCATCAGTACCAATCTAGTGGATATTATGAAAAAGATACAGGATGTAGATTTTTTCGAATTTTAATAAGAATTAGTAAAAAAGTCAATTTTCTTATAAAAACGCAAAATAAATTATAACTCTGCAGGGGTAGAGCTTAGGGACCTCCCGTAGAACAATTTTTTGCAGCTGATGACCTCATCTATCCCCTATTTTCGTTTAAACCACGATATTTTGGCCGTCCTGTATATTTTTTTTAATGGGGGAAAAAATAAACCCGTTGGTATGAAATGTTGTTGTTAAATGAAACTTATTAGTAATTGAAAATATTTTTTTTATTCAAGAGATTTAAATGGTCGATCAGAATATAGAAATCTTACTAGTGATTTTTTATTATTTTTATATAATAAACGTGCCTACGGTACGCCCAAAGGGCAGTCATCGCAGCCCTTGGACACCCAGTTTAGTGGGTGCGTTGCCGGCCTTTAAGGGAGGAGTACACTCTAACTTTGAATAGTTGGAAGTCGTATCTCTCAGGGAAGACCCACACCGGGAGTCGATTCCACATTTGCTAGTTCGCAAAAGAAAGTGCCTTGTGAAACGGACTGTGGAAGACTTCCATTCATCATGGTTCAATTTCATATTTTATCTTTTATTTTTTTATTTATCATAATCTATTCTTCTAAAAAAAATTTTACTTAAGTGCTCATAAACTCATACAACAATGCCTAGCGCTCTGATGTTTTAATAACTGCGCAATTTCTTGCAAAAACAAGTTGCTGCTAACATCTTACCTGAAAGGCCTGAACATTCCTCACAGCCTGTCCAGGCGTAGAAGGCTGTGGCAGAACAAAGCCTTGAAGCTGAAATAGTTCAGTGTTGGCTCTGGTGGGACGCAGCTCCGAGAAGCCACAAGCACAGAGCGAGGATATCATCAGAACAAGATTCCTCAGCGCCGCTTTTGCTTCCGTACCACTTACACGTTCCTCTTCCAACCTATTACACATAAGAGTGAAATAACGGACTGTTAAAGTGAATAAATATTTCTCCTAGCGTTCACAAAAAAGTATATTCACTTTAAATTTCGTATTAAACACTTTGTATATTTGGTTACAGATTAGTCGTGCAGACCTCGCAGACTAAATTTCCATTCAAGAAGCAATTGACATTGTACGAATAAATCTTTGATGTTTTTATATGTATTTTTATGTTAAGTACATAATTAATGTAGTTTAAAGTTTAGTGTTGTATTTTTCATAAATTGGATTGGAATTTTTTATAATTGTCTGGAAGAAACTTCTTTTCAGTAAGACCGCCAATTTACATTATTTGCCTTCAATTATGTTATTTTCCTCTGTTTTTTTTTATTGTGATGAAAGTAAAGTATTATTATTATTGAAATTGATTAAAGTTTAAAAATATTTTTTCACGATCACGACACTTCACGCTAAATTCGTTAAGCCAATCCTGACAACTTCATCTGTATAAGTGCTATGGAAGGTAACACAACTATATACGTTAACCAACTTTAAAGTATGGATGCTATCAGCTGTATGTGATATTGATGGATTTGGATACATATATGAGTATAATAGGCTTTCAAGGCATATATGTATCTTTTTTTTTTTATTCTTTTTTTTTTTATTATTGGACAATTCACACCAATTGACCTAGTCCCATGCTAAGCTGGTGAAGCTTGTGTTATGGGTACTAGGCAACGGATATACATTATACATACATATTATAGATAAATAGACATATAAATACATATTTAATGCTCATCACATCGATGTTTGTCTCAGCCGGGGATCGAACCCGGGACCCATGGATTCGCAGTCAGGGGTACTAACCACTAGACCAATGAGCCGTCAAATCTTTTGAATGTATGTATTAAAAATTTCTCAGAAAGAGAAACTTATCAAAATTATCCTTCAACAGTTCAAGTCTCTTCGACGTTGTTTATGCATGAATTTTTCGAGGTTACATGTATAGTATATGTCCCTAGGTAAATAAAGTTAAGTCGATTAATTTTTCTTAATGACTCTTTGAATCAAATTTGTAGAGTCTGTCTCAATCATAAAAGCTATGTAATTCTATTTAATTCATGAAAAAGAAAATCAAATAAACCACAAAAAAAATAAAAAAATGCTTACCCTGACGTCAAATAATCAGGTACATCTTGTCTCTCATGTCTGTGACAATAATAAATGAAACACTTAAAAACAAAAAATAAGTTCTAAGCAAATTAATAATAGCCTCAAAGCGACATGCAGCAACTAAAATACAATTCCAATATTAAAAATACATACTTCAATAGAAATTCTGAAAGGAAGAGGTATCCTTGACACGAACGAAAGTCGTCTAACAATAACTGACTAACGTCACTGGAGTCCTTCAGAAAACAGAATACGGCAACGAACATTTCGACCACCTAAAAAATATATTTTATCAAAAATATTATGTAAAGATTGTATTGTATAACTCTAAGAATTTAAGAATTGTCTGTTTAAATAAACTCAATCTCATGCATCGATTGCAATTCTTTCATCAGAGCGTTAAAGTATTACGTCACGCAATTTTTTGATTATTGACCCCCCCCCATGTAACGCGCCGTAACGTTTTTTTCTGTACCCAATAGTAAAACGTTTGTGTAAACCCAGTGACTCTTTATACATAAAAATTACCACTATGTGTTGTTAAGTACTGGAAAGTCGAAAATAATATTAACAATAACGCGTAATTCAATCCCCGCCCCGCATCGTAACGTTTAACAAAAGGAACCCCCCTCCCAAAATTCGTTTCGTAATACTTAACGCCTAATACCTTAGTAACATAGCCTATGTATATATTAATCTCCAAAATTTAAAAATAAATGTCCAGCCAGTGTTCTGGAGTTAGATAATCAACATCACTTGACGTACTTGTTCATTAATACAGATAATAATAGGTAACAAATAGTTACATTAATCTTAATGGCTATTAGTACAAAGATAGAATATAAAAGAAAAAATCTAATACACAAACTCAAGCTATTTTGACATTATGGCTTTAGACACACAGATTCAATGACATTTCTTCCTTTTCTAATAGTATGGTATAGCTTAAAGGTTACTGACCTCTAGGGGTGTTAGTTCCGGTATTTTTTGCATGTTTTCTATACACAATCCAACGCATCCTTTATCTGAAAAAATCCTTTATCTGTTTAATGAGGTTCTACAGATTATTATAAATAAGTCTTATTAGTATTATTAAGTTAGTCTCAATAAGTTTGTTTACATAGTACCATGACATGTTTACACTTGCATGTTCAAATATATTTCAGTAATCTATTTATTGTATTACCTACTATGGTTACCTGGAAGACACCTCAAGTTAGCGACAAGCCCGCCTATTAACAGTGTCTAATTATTGTTCCACTTTTATTGAGTTGTATTTTTAACTACTAACTTCAAATATCGGGTTTACAATTTGAACCTTTTTTTTAATTTTTTTTGTGTAACTGCACTACTATGTATGTGGCAACAAAGTATTTAATTATCTTTCTCATCAATACTTACTATGAATATATTGTACTACAGATTGTGTTAAGCCATGTCGTGATAAAGTCATCAAGACCTCAGCGGCAGATTTCCTCCACATCATATTATGTGGAGCGCACCACGACGTAATTGCTGAGAAGAGTAGACTCAGGTCGTCCTTCCTTGCCAATTCCTCACAAGGAAATGGGTGGCTACACAATCTCACTAACACCTAAATATAGCAATAGGTTAATAAGTGCCACTAAGCTCTCGTTCAAGCAACAATGAGTCTGCTTCGCTGATATTTTTAAGGCACAAGTGGTCAACAACCATTATAAGCCACTAGATGCACTAGACACCATGGGTTGTAAAATTTCAATATGTTAAAGAATTTTAACTATGTAATAAAAAAAATTTTAATTTTCTAATCTAATCTAAAAAATGCAGAATTTTAAGCTCTGCTATTCTTAGCTAAAACAATATTTGATTGCTTCACATTTGTGATAGTTTGGTTATAAAGTTAATTAAAAGATATCATAATATAAGCCTGATATAAATCAAGTTCAAAGTACCTGAACAAATATCTTTTGCAACAATATTCTTCTTTCTCTTGGTGTAAATTCACTAGCATCATCATGTACATCAGCCTCTGATTCTGGTATTTCAGGGAGATCAAAAAACAAGTATAGACACTTCACCAAAGTTGAGGGTATTGCGGCTGTTGTCATCACCTACACAAGAGATATTATACAATTAACTACTAAATATAAACTAAGGATATACATATGTGTAGATTTTTCATAAATAAATACAAGGAAAAAAACTTATTTAATAAATATCAGCAAACAAAACAAAAAAATATTTCGGTATAATGTATTACTGTAATAATTTTATCCCATTAGTGTTGAATATACTTATACAACTATGACGTTGCACTATAAAGGTAAAAATATAATGCATAGTAATAATAACTTACCACATAAATCTGACATATTAATGCTAATTGATACTCAACACTTAAACATATCTGTAAGTTCTGTATAATATTATGCATATATGTACATTATACATATGTATTATGTATTTGTATTTAAATAATATTTTTATTAAATAAAATAGAATTAGTACTATTCAATCAATAAATAGCAATTTTGTGCTGTAAAATTGAATCAGTACCTGTATTAAAGATTGATCACCCGCAGCTAAAAGATTTAATGTTGACAAGAGCATCCATCCATTACTAGATTCTTCAGAATTCTCTATTTCCAGAAATTTTGCAATAGCACAACTAGCTGCTTCAGTACTTTGATTGCTGGCTCTTTTTCTTATTTCTGAGACCATCAGCTTTGATACTTGTTGACAAAATGATAAAATATCCCAAAATTTTTCATTCATTTCTGTTGAAGGACTAGCACCAAACACCTAAAATCCAACACAATTTTCCTTATTCATTTCGATAAAAAACAGCACTTACAATGGATATTACAAGTTAAAACCTTAAAATTTAAGTTATTAAAATGTATAATAAATTAAAATATAGCTGACATACCTTACAGAATAATGGTAGCATGTTGTAAAGTTTATCATCTTTTTCAGCGTCCGTAAGCGGTTGAGGAGGATGGGTGTACTCTGCAAACAACTTTTTCAGGTGCATCAAACCAAGCTGGATGTGAGAGCTTGCAGCTTCGGGCTCCGCCGACGTTGAGGCGGACGACCCACGCAATTTGCGCATCAAATTCATTTTCGCTGGTGGACTACAGCAACATAGTTCTAATCACTTAGGACTGTTTTCCATGACAATGAAACATAATATTCAGCTATTTTAATAAATTACGAATTATAAAGTATCAATTACATTTTTCTCAAGCTATATAAATTACACATACAATACTAAAGTATAAATAAATAAATATTTTGATGGTAGCTTAGTTTATAGAGGATCCTAATGAATTTTTCATAATTTAAAGTTAGCAATTCGCTAAAACGCAAGAAAATTGGAAAACAGCAATCGCGTATGCAAATTGCAGTTTTAATTTGTTATGTCAAATTCTCAAAAGTCTAATGTCAAAATTACCCGCAGAAAATAATGAACAAATGTCATATTTTATACCGGTTCTATAATATGTCGCGTCTCGCCAAAATCCTCAAGATGTCACTTTAGCATATTATATATTATACATAATATAATAAAGTAAAATATTTTGATAGAATAGCACACAAGTATAGAGTATTTGCAATATTATTAACTATGTAGGTTAATAACAATATACTAATTATTATTATTAAAAACGGATAAATAAAAAAGTAAAACTTTGTGCTTGTCCGAGGGAGGTGAGACGAGCTAACGTTCCCACACAAGGGATATCACATTCGGCCCCTTGTCATCATCCTTGCGATTCCTGTTGGCTCCTAAATGGCTGGAATATTGACGGAGGCAAGAGAGACGTGACATATTATGATGTCGTAGAGCTCGTTGTGGCGAAAAAATGACCTGGGGCCTTAGTCAAGATGCCTTAACAGTAGTGTATGTTGAAAGTCAGAAACGAAATTTGTATGAAAACTTTTCGACACGAACTGTCATTTCCATACAAATTTAGTTTTCGACTTTCTACATACACTACTGTTAAGGCATCTTGACTAACCCCCTGCACTCTTTTGTGAATGGCTTCTTCTTCTTATTTCAATGACACAGGACACTTATGGAGAGTATATTATAATCCTAAACGAAGGCTGACCGCTGACGGCATTTCTAAGCATCATTTCGAATTCATCACAGAGTCCAAAAGGGTTCCAGTGTTTGGCGAAGAATAAGTATTAAGTCAATGACCAGCTTCCCTAAACTGTGGTGTAGGATTGTGTAACATGAGAGTTTTGAAATTCTGATTCACAAAGAGGATCATCCCAACTCCTTTGAAAGTTGACGTTAGAACTTAGACGGCAATCTCAAGCCTGGGCCGAATGCCAAACAAGCATTTCTCGCATCTTTTAAATCCGCAATCTCGTAGTTTGTAGAATAAGTTGTCAAAATTCTCACCGTGAGATAGATATATTTCACATTTATCAAAATTTTATGTTAGAACTATTGAATTAAAATCAGATATAAACTGAAAAAGATCTGACAGTACAACATCTACGTTACCTAGAGTACCATCATCAGGTTTTGTAACAGTGTACAAATAACTATAATATAATTATATATTTTATATATCGCATAAACGAAACATATAGTTAATATATAGGTTAAAAGCCCTTTTTTCATGTAAAATAATTAAGAAATTTATAGAATTGTATTTGTTGCTCTATTTTTGATATTGTCTGTATGTTTGTTGATATTTTGAATGGAGACTTTTAGTTTGAACATTAGTTGAAAGTTTGCAAGTTGTTCTATTATAAAGAAAAAGTCGAAACAAGAACATAATTTTTCTCCATCTTCATGAATTTTATAAAAATATGCAAGTTATGTCGAATTGTGCAATGTAAATCTTCAATACTCTATTAATGCCCACTCTCAACACACAAATTGTCTGTTGTTAGTTGTCAAATGTCATAACTCATGGGTAATAAAATAATAATTAATAATGTAATTGGTATTTGGTATGGCGATTTGATGCTCGTTGTAGGGTTATCGTGTCTGTATTAGTGAGAAATATTAAAAATAACTATTTTATATTGTTGTTTACACGAAATTAAAAAGGCTCTAACCCAAAACATTACCAATGCCGGAAAATACAAATCTTATACGGTGTTATAATCGGGGTTGTGGTCAGCTTTTCGATCCCAATGATAATGATAAAGGTAGATTTTTATCAAGCTTTCATGATCCAGATTAACCACCTATTTTTGGGGTGGCTGTTCTCCAAGAGATGGTAAAAATAATATTTCACTTATGTTATACAAATACATTAATTGTTATTTGTAGATACGTGCTGTCATCACCCTGGTGCACCTGTTTTCCATGACGCATATAAAGGATGGTCCTGTTGTAATAAGAAAAGCGTTGATTTTACAGAGTTTTTGAATATACAAGGATGTACATTATCTAAACATAATAGTGTGGTATGTATTAGAATAATTAGTAAAATTTGTTTTTTAGAATATACTCGAAGTTAATGTTCTTTTATATATAGAAACCTGTGGAACCAGAGAAAAAGGCTTTGGATAAAGATTTGGAGCAAAAACAAGTGATAGAAGTAAGGGCCCCAATTGTTGGACCACGACTGCCCAGGCCTCCATTTGACACACCAGTTGTTACCTTAAAACCAAATGTTGCGGAATCTTTAAAGCAAACTGTTCTTAATACTTCACAACAAGCTGCTGTTATTACTGATGGGTATGGTATTTATTAGTTACAGTAAAACTGTTTTCTGAAAATGTTATAGTAAAAAAATACTTACACATGATAAAAGAAGTTCTTCTTCTCAAATTAGATTCTGGTTAAAATGCTTTTTGGTTTTAAATGTTTAAGTCCACATGAAATTATATATGTAATTATTTTTTAAAACTTTATTTTTAATAATAAGGACAATAGCAATTGGCACAATATGCAAGAATGGTGGATGTAGTGCAGCATATGAAGGCCCCCAAACTAATGACAGTATATGCACATACCACCCTGGCCTTCCAGTGTTTCATGAAGGGCTTAAATTTTGGACTTGTTGTCAAAAAAGGACTACTGACTTTAATACCTTCTTAAGTCAACCAGGTTGCACAACTGGTACTCACAAATGGATTAAAGAGGTAATATGTAATGCCTAGCCTTGCTTTTGCCCTAGTAATTTATTTTTAAATTAATTTACAAATGGAACAAAAATAATTTTGCAGGCTGCTGCTGCTGGCACCATAAAATGTCGCTGGGACTGGCACCAGACACCAGAATATGTAATAGTCAGTGTCTACGCTAAAAAGTATGATCCTACAACAAGTTTTGTAAAATTGAATCCAATTCGGCTTAATGTAAAGCTCTTTTTCTGTGAAGAGGGAAATGCTTCTTTTGAGTTAGACCTTGAACTAAGAGGGGTAAGCATTAAGGACTTATATGAATATACTTACAAAAACACTAAATCTGAGAAAAATATTGGCTTTTAATTCTATCTACAGGTCATAGATTTGGACAAAAGTAGCGCATCAATGTTGGGTACTAAGGTTGAGGTTAAACTAAAGAAAGCTGAACCTGGTGCTTGGAGTAAATTAGATTTCCCACGAGCCCCACCTCAAGTTGAACAAAAGGAAACACCTCAACCACAAGTTGAAGAAGATGACTTAGTGGATCTATCAACAGTTGAAGCAATTAATTCAATCGGCCAAATCAATATGTCGGGCTAATATTTAGCAAATAAAGCTCTTAATTTATACCATAGCACATTTTTTTTATAAGTACAGAATAGTAAAGATTGTTTTAATTGGCTTAATAAAATATATTATTTACTTCTTCTATATGCATTGATATACAAAAAACCCAAGATGCACAGTCTCGAATAAAAGTAACGCTCGAAAGTGTCCCGAAACACTATTTCTGTCCATAACAGTATATGTTACAAGCATATATTATTGAAAAAATCAACCTTACGCGAATTGTTTAAAGTTGTTATTACAACGCAGTGTATACGTACTTAAAGCAATAAAATTTTACGACCGACCGTGGTCGGTAGGACAAGGTATTGAGTGGAGTCGAACATGACTTTTTTATTTACAACTATTTAACATTATTTTAAATTTATCCGACTTTTCGGGTGCTTTACAGCGTGAGTGGTCACGGTGACTGAAGACAAAAGGTGTTGGATGTTAAATAGTTGTAAATTTATAATAATACATAATATTAATCCGGTTAAAAAGTTTTTTCTTTAAATTAAAAAAAATGTTAAATTGGCTACCTCCTGACCCACACTTTATATAGCGTAAATATATTTGTCAAAAACTACACACAAAAAAGTTCAAGAGTACATAAATTTATTTATAAAAAAAACACAAATAAATAACATCGACTCCACTTATAGACGCGAGACTATTTGAAATGAGCGCACAATTTAGAATGTTGCGCTCATTTTTTTGAGGACGTTTTTTAGACGTTGATTGTGCATCTTGGGTTTTTGTATATCAATGTCTATATGATTATTTTTATTATTTGCTAGTATTGATTTTTAAAAGATGTATCAATCAGGTAGTATATCAAATGCTGTTTTGAGATATGTTTATTTTTCTTATACACAATTTTTTATTTAATACACTTATTATAACACTAGATATACATACAATATGTGTGGCTTGAGAAATGACTAGATTTCACATTTAAATTATACAGTAACAATAACTGCATCATGTAATGATGTGCCAATAAATTTATAAACAAACCAACAATATGATATATACGTAGTTGGTCCCAAAGTTCTGTCACTGGCACATTATTTCTATATTTCGAGCAGGATTTTATAAAAAAGTTATTGCATTCTATTTTGGAATGTTTGACTATTGTTTTAAAATAAAAAACAATAACTTTCAGTAAGTTTTCACGACGGAGTGGACATTGAAAGAAGACCGAATAGTTGTTATTGTGTTGCACCGCTGTGGGCACTCGCCGAGTACCATTTTCAAGTTGCTCAAAAATTTTAATATAACGCTTAGGTTTGTGTACGGTACTATTGATAGGTACCTTGAAGTCTCCAGTGTTGAGGACAAGAAAATAACTGGCCGGCCACGCTCCGCAAGAACACCAGCAGTAATCAAAGCTATCAAAGCGCGGATAGTAAGAAATTCTGTCCGAAAACAGAAGTTGATGGCTTTGCAGATGGTTGTCAGTAGGAAAACAATAAAAAGGTTTTAAATGAAGATCTTGGTCTACGAGCATACAAAAAAAAAGTGGGAACTTACTTAATGCTCGTCTAAAAGCAATAAGGCTTAAGAGATCGCGGGTGTTGTTTAAGCGGTACGCGAAAAACCGACACCGTGATATCCTCTTTACGGACGAAAAAAATTTCGATAATGAAGAGAAGTACAATAAACAGATTGATACAGTGTACGCTAGGAGTTCTGAAGAAGCTAAAAATAAAGTTCCAAGGGTACAACATGGACATCATCCATCATCAGTAATGGTCTGGTTGGGAGTGTCCTATTACGGGCTAACTGAGGTTCATTTTTGCAAAAGGGGGTCAAAACCAGAGCTAAAGTGTACCGAGAGACGGTTTTGGATCGCCTTGTCAAAGACCTGTCCAGCACCCTATTTGCGGGACATCACTTCGTGTTCCAGCAGTACTCTGAGCCTGCATACAAAGCCAAGACCACTAAAGCCTGGTTTGAGCGTCAAAACATCGATTTAATTAGACATGAGGATTGGCCTTCCTCCAGTCCGGACCTTAATCCTTTGGACTATAAATTTTAGCAGGTCTTAGAGAGGAAGGTCTGTGATACACCCCATAAAAATTTGGAGAGTCTGCAGTCGTCTTTAAAAAACTCAGTCACTGAAATCGACATGAATATGGTGCGTGCTGCGATAGACGACTGGCCGCGGCGCTTAAGGGCCTGTATTAAAAATAAGGGAGGTCATTTCGAATAAGTTTATGCTATTTCTATTCCTTAATTAATGTACTATGAATTGATATATCACTCATTAAAAACTGATCAGTACTTTTGATTTTATGATTATTTCCATTTATGACAGAACTTTGGGACCGACTACGTACAAGTTTTGACTAGAATTATTTGAAGATTTATAATTGAAGACTCAAATAGCTGAAATGCGTACCATCTGCTAGTCATAATAAGACATTTAATTGCTCTTACTAATTATAATTTGTATGATAAACTTATTTTTTAAATTTATACATATGTAATACAATATTTTATTTTACATGTTGAGTTTCAAAGCTCTAAGAATAAACAGTCTGTTGAGGCACAATTAAACATATTTACATACAATTTACTATGAATTCAACTAGTTGTATTACAAGTCAAACTCCTTATTTAATAGGCTAGGAAATAAAAGTTTATAATACTTTTTACAATTACCGAAATGTTAAGAATAAATATGACTAATTGAGGATAATATGGACAACTTATCTTGTTTTATTTTAACATTGACTACTTCCTAAAGTTGTCTGAAGTCATTTTTATGTTGTTTTAAGTGTCTATCTTTCGAATTTGCACAAATGCTGTAATAAATAAATAATAAAAATCCATTAGATAAAAAACAATGCATGACACAAGCTTTAGTGTGTAAGTTGGTGGTTGGTTGGTTGGTAGGTAGTTGGCAACCTAGTGCCTTTGATTTACACAATTATAAGTAATTTAACCACAAACTTTATCTGTTTTATCTAAATTAGGATGGCCTATAAATCTAAAATGTCCTCTGAGTACTATGTAATAGATTCTTATGTGGGAACGCAGAGGAATCGGGAAGCAAACTTCATGGCGAGGAAGAGTGTTCTGTGTTGGTGACAGTAGCAAAGGCCGGGTGAGGTGCGGGTTGCATGCGGTACATATCGTGGAGTAGTGTTGCAACTGATACGTCGCCAACAGTTTCTCGAAATAGTAGTAATTCGATAGATCGTGGACGCACCGCTCGGAGGGACGGTAATAGAAGTAGCAGACGGCCAAACCTGAAAATAACAGGTTGAAGCTATAAAAAACTGTCTGCAGTAAAAATGTAGTTAAGAGTAGTAATTTGTTAGGATTTCTTCGACGCCAATTTAAATTAAATTTGTAAGGGCGTGTTGAGAAATAAACTCAATTGTCCTTATGAAAGTAATTTATTGTTCTTCTTGATACAATATTGAATACATTACAGTAGGTAGGTACCTACTTACAATATGAGTAACCTAACATTGAACTGTAGGTAGGACGCGGGGCATCACAACCCTTATGTTCTAGCTAAGGCTTAACGACGCGGGGCATCGGTCAAGAAAAGCTACTGAAGATCCACGAGCAGACGACCCGGTGGGCTATCGTACTCGCAGACGAATGCCACGAGCTTTATTTTTTGTAAGGAATCTCGCTGTTGGCCTTAATTGCCAAGTTGGGCCTTTACAGCTCAGCTCGGGCTGTTTTGGCGAGCGTAGCTTGGCCTGAATGGGACTTGCTATGAGCTTTTTTTAATGGAATCTCGCTGTTGGCCTTAAGGGTCTTTACAGCTCAGCTCGGGCTGTTTTGGCCTGGTGCCATGAGCTTGGTGGCCTTCGCATTAATAGAAGCCGCGCGCTTCTATGTGTGCGTTGCGTGTATGCGTGATGGCCGTAGTGTGACATTGTTTACGCCAACGCGAGTCTGTCGCGTTACAAATTATAATAAAATATTTTATAGAAGCTTTGTACTAGAATCGCCTATGTAACCATAAACAATGGGCGACCAAAACATAGGTTGCATCAAATGAGTCAACTCGTTAACGAGACCGTTGATTGATTTTAATTGAATTTGTTATAAAGATTTATGATTTCTTGTTTTGTTGATATGTAATATTATGTTCTTAGTTTATAAAGAGCAATAATAATAAGAGTAAATAATAATTAATGACTTACCTAGTAGGCTGTCGAGTATACCTCGTCCGAACATAGTCTGCGAGAATGCACTGGGCTTGATCCTGAAGCATTTCTACCGGCTGAGTCTCACTTAGCCCTGCAGTGTCTGTCAAATAAATAAATTTGTAATATAAGGAAGTCCATCAAAAATAAAGTAAGTTCATAGCTTAGAGGACAAATGATATCTAAGTGATCAGATGCAGATCATGTCAACTCCATGCCACATTGGTGGTCAGGGTTTAATAACTAAGAATTCTTAGGTTTTATTTTGTCTTTCTTTAACTTGATCATTTAAACCAAACCTATTGTGGCGTTCAGTTTGAATTAGATATCATAGCTCTTTCAAGAAAAGAGCGTTCGAATACTTAAAAGGCCGGCAACGCACTGCGAGCCGTCTGGCTTTGATGGCAGTGTCCATGGGCGGCGGTATCACTTAATATCAGGTGAGCCTCTTGCCCGTTTCCCTCTGTATTAAAAAAACTTGCTGGTACCCGCGGGATCTCGAGTTTTCAAAATAGTCTTTACCTTAAATTTGACCAAGCATTGAACGCCAATGTAAAATTTGTCGTACTTACTACATAATTATAGTAGAAAGGTAATATTTTTGATTTACTTACCAGGGGAAAATAAAACTATTGCCTTCATACATCCACATTCGCTACCGTCGGGGGCAATCTGTCGAAAGCGACATAATATTTCCTGAAACGACAAAGTCACATAATCGTTAAGATTATAGGTAGGAATCCTAATTGATTGTTTTACTACTGACCTCGAGGATATGTGATGTGTGATATATGGCCAAAGTAGCTAGGGACCCGTTTCCATAGCTACTTTGGTCATATTTACATGAGAGAACCAAATAGTCTCGAGAAGTTGGTAGGTATGGAGGAGTAATGGCAGGAGGAGTCGGGGTCGACCGCCTACACGTTGGTCTGACCAGGTAAATAAATTATGGCTCTCAACATCCGTCAACATCCGAGGATAGAGTGGTGTGGAGACAGCAAGTCAATTTATCGCTTAGGGCTTTTCAAGACAAGCACGACCTTCAGTAATGCAGTTTGCGAAGAAGAGATGTCTCTTAATCCTCGTGGGTTTAAACCTCCACCTCATCCAAACCTCGTAAGCATATGTTTGTTTCTATATACCAACGGACTCCGCTCTGTTGGTGATTCTATGCCATTATCACCATCGTCAATATTTTATACCATTGTCACCATTGTGATGATTTATGGTCATTTTATACCATGGGCAATCGTGAATTTAATTTGTATTGCTACATCAACCTAATGAAAATTAAGACAGCTATCAAATAAGATCCAATTTACCTGTAGAGTATTCAGTTCTAAATCAGCGAGTGGTTCGGGCGGAAGTCTTGCTCGAGCAGCGGGTGCTGACAGTAGAGGAGCAAGGTCCCAGGGTGCAGACCACTGCGCCAGATGAAGCAAGAATAGGTCCTTCCATGCAGCCCTTAATAGTACTAGCTGATCAGAGGTACCCAACGCCTGGAACGGAGCCAGGCAACGCACCCAACGCACAGCCATGAACAGCAGTCGGGCACTTGTTTCCTAAAATGACGAAAGATTATCTTAAAGAAAGAAAATCTGAAAGCGAGTGGTTAATGACAATACGATTTTTAGACAACCCTGCGATTCTGTAACTCACTTTTCGAACTCACACAGCGGTTTTCGCATCGTCGATCTCAAATCAGTCGTGAAGCAGTCATTTTATGAGTTGGCATTCTGAAAAGGTGGGAGCTTGTAGTTTATTGTTTATCAGAATGCCAAATCATAAAATGACTGCTTCACGACTGATTTCAGAGCGACCGCCGATGCGAAAACCGCTGTGTGAGTTCGAAAAGTGAGTTACAGAATCGCAGGGCAGTTCACGATATCATCAAAAATTTTACGAAATTACATTATCTTTGATAGTATCTATGGAATTAGTATGTGGCAGTAGAAAACTTAAAAAAAACCAAACGTGTTAAATTGGAAATCTCTTCTTAGGAAATTTTTCAAGTAGGTTTTAGCAAGGTTTGATTGTAATAAACGATGTTTACAGCGAAATCCAAATACGTTCTATTAAAAAATGTATATTTATTAATTGCTTGTGGTTCAACTCTAATCTCTTGAACGATGCTGCAACCACGTAGCAAAACTGTCGCGACGGTTGTAGCTCGTAGCCCTTGTATATCGAAGATATAAATAGGTAGGCGTAAAGTCAGTTGTGTCACGACCAATGGGCGGGGTAAGTCAAGTAGGCGAAAAGTCACCCTCGTGGCGCCCAATCGCGGCTCAGATCCCGCCCTTAGTCACAAAGGCATTCACGTAAAGTACATCGAATGATGCGTATAAAAATATACCTATAACCTATGGATGTTAGGAATTCGTACTAAACAATACCTATTAGGTAGGTAGGTATACTCTGTTTTTTATTAAGCAGTTTTTGTTAATGGTAATGTTACGATTACTTAAAGTAAATATTGCTTCTAAGAAATGACTTTATTGCAGTAACAAAGTACTCTCTCAACAGGACCGTTACAATTTACAAATGTTTGCGTAATTTTGTGCATTGTTAAATATATCGTAACACAAATCCATAAAAACGTCCTTACGATGTTAAACATAAAAGTAAAAATGTGCTATACCGTTCATGTTATAGGCTTTTTACTTAAAAATATCTTCGACTAACCTGCAGTAGTTCCCACGTAGGCGCGAGAGGTGCGCCGAAAGCGGTGTGCGGCGGCCGCAAGAGGCTTGGATCTCCTTGTAGTTGGAGTTGCTTGGCGCTCCACATTAGTTCCTAAACACCAACAAGTATTTTAGGATTTTATTTTTATTTATTAATTCCAAATGCTTCCAAACCCTTTAACATTAACATTCGGAACTAGTGATATCGTTCATTACATAATTAACTTTTAATGCTTAAAAATTCTATAAAGTTCACGAAACGTGCTCGCGTGATGCAACAATGGGTATGATACGTTACGCTAATAAAAATAAAAGTTACCTAATAGTAATTTTCTGATAGTGTTGAATTCATAACTAATTTTAGTCTCTCATTATTAATTTACGTAAAATATATTAAAAGCACACAATGTAGGTAACTTTTGCACTTAGAGTCGTCGATTGAATTATCCCATGATACAATAATATATTTACTATTATCTAAAGGACGTAATTAGGTAATTTAATGCCCAACTATTAAACGAATTATTTATAGAAACCTTTTTAAGTTCCTATAAATCTCTAACCATTTACTCATAATTAACGACTCGGAATATGACTGTCCTAACCTGACATTTATCACTGGACATGAGCATATGTAGGAGCCCTGGTGGTGGCGGGGCCAAGAAAGGGTCTGTAATGAGGGGCAGAGGGCTGACAGCGCCTGCACCGCCCGCTCCACTCGAACCGCCTGAAGACGCAGTGCTTAGTGGTGCGGATTCGCTGATATTGGTTATACTAAACTATATGGAAAAGGAATAATTACAAAACGTTAAAATGATCGGTATTATTCAGTATATAGCTTAATTATAAACATAGAGCATAGAGTAATACTTAAAACAATGACATCATTAAAAAACAAAAGTATTGACATAAATCTTCCTTGAATAAGTGTATTTTAATTAAATCACTGTTTATGCCCCAGTTAAGCTCACATATCTACCAACTATCATTATGTACGGTGACACTTACCTGAAAATTAAAAGGCTGTGGCAATGACGTGTAAGGTGAAGGCGGTGATAATTTTAACGGGTGAGGTTTGTGCGCGTGCGACATTCCTGGAGGAGGCAGCGAGCCCAACGAACCAGCGTGGAGCTTCGGCTTACGAGGTCCTCTTTCATGTTGCACGGCTATGAAATATATTTTAATATAATAATAATTCAATACAATGTTTGCAACCTGAAACATGTATTACTAAAAGTATAAGGCAAATGAATAAATGCTATTAGTGAAATTAATCCAAGTGATTTAACTAACCTGCTAGTAAATTATAGCTAGTGCAGTTTTAATAAAGTTTAAATAAAACAGTTATGTTAACTTAACTACTATTACAATTCTTATTTTGTTTACTGAAGAATAATTATAACTTATACTAACGATACTACTTGTAAAAATAATTTTATTATTATTATTTTGACAGCTTAGGACAGTATTATTTTACCTAGATTTTTTATACAACACAAAAAAGAAAAGATTCTTTTTTGTGTTGTATAAAAATATGTAAAATTGTAGCAGAAATAAGGATTCTTTTACGATAAAGGACACTACTTAATCTTAAATGTAAATCATACCCAAATAAAATACTTGTAATATCTAATACTAATACTAAGAAATAGAATATGTACTTTATTTGTATTGCCCGTCATATTTACACTTTGAATTCCGATTTAATATATAACAGTACAAAGCCATTACACAAAGCCTTAACGTACAGTGTTGTACAAATTATTACTGGTATTCTGGAATTATGGAAGTTTTCATGTAGGTTAAACGCGGCCTCTATATCTAGCTACAGCACATCGAATTATTTGGATATTCAGGAACGCGTTCGTAACTCGTGATTCGTATCTGAATGAAATCCTTCATCTACAATTCAATTACTTCATAAATTTTAAATAGAACACGTGATCCGTAACTTAAAATGCGGGCTATAAGTGCAGTGAGCATGTATAAAAAGTTAAACAGTTTCGATTGCATCCCTGTGCAGTAGCAGCCCCCGTAATGACGTCACGCAATCAGCTTAGTGCGACTGAGTCCATGAGAATGCGGCTATTGTACGCGCACATGGCGGGCCGGCATACGCTCGTTCCCGCGCCCGGCTTACCTCGGCCTTCCAATACTGCACGGACACTACATGAGTAACAGATTAAACGCTACACAAAAGGGTAGCTGCGAAGCGTTTTGAAGCTACACAACACCGAGACGAGCTTAAGATCTTAACGATTTGAACAGCTATTTGCTTCACGTCGCTTTACGAGTATAGCTTCTTACAATAATGATTCTCTTGAATATTTAAACGCGTCAGTGGTATAAACCTCCATTAGAAGAAAATACAAACGCAATTTAAGAAAGTCATTTTATTCATATCAAACAAATATACACTATTTACAATTTTCTTAACCTAAATAGTAATAATAAAAATTAATAAAAAGAAATTTAAGAAATAACTTCTAACAAAATTTGTCAAATAGGTTAACAAGTGGTGGCGAAATAATAGTAATCTAAAATAGGACCTAAAACCGGGGCACGAGGCGTTGGTCATATTACTTCGACTGTTGGATGTTTTATTTATGATTACCTTTTCGACTATGTATTTGCGTGATGTTTCTACGAGATGTTCCGCGTGCTCCTATTTCACCATGCCACCATGAGGACAAATCTTTGTTTTTCATTTATTTTATTATTATTTATTACTTATTAATATGTCATGTAGAACATGGTGTAATGGTTGCAGCTCTTTACAAACGTTGTGTAAAACAAAAAAAAATTGCGACTAAAAAGAGTGGCGAGAGTTTATTGCCAGTTCTTCTCGTCCGTTCTACGCCCTTGATTTGAGAACTGGCAGTAAATGTAAAATTAGATGCATTTAATATGTATTTCTTTATTGACGTTCGTAGTAAAAATATTCGGTGGAAGTGGAATCCAGGTTTGAATTGCGGCAAATATCACAAGTAAACTAAGTTTATAAAGATTGTAATACAATATATTTTTGATACGCATCATGACTTCGAGATGTGTACAACAAAACCCAACTATAATGTAACCTTTTGTTTATAAACTCATGTAATCCCAAATAGAACACGTGCTTTTTTCTCGGCTTCCCTGGTGAACCAGTGGACACACCCAAAATATACTCTATTAAGTCAGGCTTACGGTGTAAATTCAAAAAGCTGGATCTACCCGAGGGTGCCCGAAACCAGGGGTTAAGTTTCCAGTATAACGCGGATATTCACGAATTTAATTACATGGCGATAAAGCGAAAACAAAGTTTGATAGCGGTGGAATGACTCTTTAATTATTTTTACCAGATAACTCTGGAAGTGTGAGTGAAAAGTGTCTATAATCTCAATACTTGTATACGAAATTAAAATAATTCATTGCCAGTTTTATTTTCACCACCACAATTTTTTCGATGGCTGGAAAACTTCAACAGTATACTTCTCTTAAAGGCCGGAAACCTACCCATTTACATGGGTGTCCACGGACTGCGGCAGGTGCCATTTATGGCTGTTCCGTTGACTCCTTTGCCGTCATCATATAAAAAAATATGTATTTTCTGTTAAAATGAAACATCATTTTTTTTAAATAGTTCATTGAAAGACATCTGTGTCTACCATCAGTACCATAACGAAGTTTAGAAGGGAATATACAAGTTCTCAACATCATCAGAGGCTTTGGGCCCGCCAGTCAATGTTTAGACTGGTGGAGGACCGAAAACCACATCTTTTCTTGCTACAATACAACCATTGTCAAAACGTTAATAAACATAAAATCAGCACGACGAATTCACAATAGTTTTACAAACAGATTATCATTATTATTTGGCTACCGTTACGCGTAGTTTTGAAAGCGTTTTCGTATTTAGTTCACAAAAGGTACCACAGAATAGTCAAATCACTTTGCAACCCATATAAATGGAGATTTAACTTTGACCTTATATCAGCACCCACCCTCTGTTGCCGAATTAAAAGTAAACAGAGTGTATTTTTCAAAAGGCATAAAACATAGCTTTGTTTCATTTGGCTCGAGGCGTTAATTTTCCAACCTAAAATAAACACATTGACAGCATTGTTGAATTGCCGTTGCATTGCTGCATGGGGTATGGGACACATTTAGTTCATTTTTATTTAGGCAAGTTTGTGATTAGTCCTTGACTGATTTCGTCGATTTTTTAATATAACGAACCGTCTTATTTCACGATGTTTACCACGAGTGTACGGGCAAGTGTCAAATAAGAAATGGTGCACCGGGGTCCGAACGCAGGATTTATAAAAATAAAACTGTCAAATCAAAGTTTAAAATACGTTTTTGTACATTGATAGTCCGAGGTTCGTATCAGATGTTTTAAATAATATATTTCAAGTCATTTTGTCCTGCCCTTTTCAATGAAAGATCAAAAAAAATTGTTATTTCGATGTAGGCCCTCAAATAAGCAAGGTCGTAATCGACTGTGTTTTAGAACTTTTTTACATTAATTGTATTAATAATAATAAATCATTTATTTGCAAGAAAGTGGTACATTTAGATCAATTATAAAAATCCGCACAATAAGCCATATATAAATGTCATATTGATTTATTTTTTATAATGTCATACAATATGAACACCAACACAATGTCACAATAATAAGCTAAGTTATTTATAATGTCAAACTTATGGTCTAAATACTCGCCCACGCTATAATGGCACCTTGCCTTTAAAAATTTAATCACCTTCCCCTTGAAAGAATTACACGGCAGCGATCTATAACATCTAGGGAGGAAAATAAATAGTTTTACAGCCATGGCGCTCCGCTGCGGCAACTCACAGCAAAAATTACATTTAGATTTTGTTACTTTCTAAAATAATTTTAACTGTTTTTGTATTCTGTTATTTATTTTTATTACAGGAGTGTAATCATTCCATAAATAAATAAAAATGTAGGCAAAGTAGATGTGTAATCAAACATTAAAATCACAGTCGATATAATAGTTGCCTGAAATCGTATCGTCGAGTATGATCATGTAAAAAAATTTAGACTGTTTTTTTTAATGAAAATAAATTCTTGTCTACAATAAATTTTATAAGTAAATATCAGTACAATATGATTCTCTGAAAAACCCTCCAATTGCGTGTTATATCAAAACTTTTAATAATTATTATAAAAAGGAAGTTTCCTTAAAGATTGCCTGCGTGGGTAGGTTTAGTGGGAGGAGGTTTGGGGTAAGTGAGAAGGTGGCGTCCGGTCACGTCCGCGGGTGTGATTAATGACCCAATAATCCCCGTCTCCTCCTGGCGAAAGCTTCACGAAGCTGAATTGGTGAATGGTCAAAAGGTTTATTGACTAAACTATTACGCAAGAGCCTAGGTCTGCCTTGAATACTCATATTAAATTTTATGTTTTTATCTATACTAATATTATAAAGAGGAAAGATTTGTATGTACCTATGTTTTTAACAAATTAGCTTGAACAGTACTGGTATAGTTAATTGCAAGAAAATAATAAGGAACTCTACTAAAAAATGCCTATAAAATATCTTTTATCACAGGCGCTGCGACAACTATTGATGATGGAACAAAAAAATATCCCGCAATATTAAAGAACATCAATATCAACAAAATATGTTTAAAAAATAATGACCACCCGTGCGAAGCTGGGACGGGCCGCTACTTATAAAATAAAAATCTATAGGAAAACGGTCAACTGTCAATTTTAGTATTATCGTAAATGTTATATTTTTGTGGAACAATATTTTCATATTGGAATAATTATGTATTTTCACATATTTTCAACTAATCTATCTATAAATTGAATTGCTGACAAACGAACGTCTCGCAAAATTCGAATGGCTGGACCGATTTGGAAAATTATGATCTTGAAATAATTGTGGAAGGTTTAAACGGTGGGAAACATACTAAGTAAAGAAAAACACTAAATATGACAATTGAATTTTCCAATCAAAAATATTTCCAGCTGGGAAATATTTGATGTCTTTTTATAAATAAAAAATTGTCACTTGACATATATGCCTCCTAGAATTATAGAATTGCCTTATAGAATTTTGCGTTTCATAGCTGTAGGTACAATGTCTTTAAATATGTTGTATTAAGTTTTGATTCAAATATATGTAGGTGATAATAAAATAAGCGTCCAGAATACATCATACGGCATTGAGAGTGTCCATGAGCGGCGGTATCACTTAACATCAGGTAAACCCTCTGCCCGTATGCCCCTGTTCTATAAAGATATGTATAAAAAATTAACAATCTATAGTTTTAAAAATAAGATAAGAAGTATTTTAATGATTGCATTCTTAATATCGAAGCCAGGACTATACAATATACACATTGAATAAATCGCTCGTAATGACCTGAATGACAACACAGGAGGAATAAATAACTATATATTATGTATATGATAATATGAGTATGTAACTTGGCATACATATCATAAATTGATTTAAGATGAAGCTGTTGGAGCAAAAAAGCTTAGTCATTTGATATCTGCCTCTATAAATGGTTTATTGCAATTCAGATATCATGACTCATCTAAAACACCGAGGAGTTGGAAATCTTAGGAAGGGACGTGATATGAATACATATTTAAAAAAAAGTATTAGATACAGGTTCAAATGCAACTTTAAAATATCACTTATATAATAATAAAATAATAGACATTGAAATAAATAACTAAACTTAACATAAACTAAAATATATCATTAAAAGGAGTCCCTTTAGGCAAGTTTCCAAAGATACTGGCAGCGTTCCCCCTTTGAATTGCTAGACTAATTCTTTGTCCGAGGTAGCTGCCAGATCTTCGGTCTCCTGTGATGTCGACTAACCTTTTTGAAATTTCTTTAAAAAGCCTTAAAGCGCTAGGACCCCACGGACCAAGGGTCTCGACACCGAATGGGACAAAATCATATTCTGAGCCTAGACCCCTGTACTTGCATGCTTTATTTTTTCAGCCGCTTCACAAGCCGCACCAGCTCTGTAGTTGGTTCCATGTAGATGGGAAGGGGCCAGCGTGTCTGTACAGGTTGCATCCCAACAATAAAATATGTTTTCATACAAAATCCAGGATAAAATTAGTTTCATTAATTGTTTATTTCCTGTTAATTTAAGGGTTTTTCAATCTGTTATCTTAGCAGATATTTTGTTCTCTGATATGGTTTATTTACTTATTTAATATCTGAAAAAGGGCCTACAATTTACTTCCAAAGGCATAAATGCTTATCAAAATCATCGCGTGGAAAATATCGGATGAGAGGGCTCCCAACGACCCGCGCCCCGTGGCTCGACATTCGTTTCGACGTTAATTCCAGCCGCATTTGTTCCATTACATTTCCGACACAAAGTAGATACCGTTTGCCGAATTGACTAGGTGGATGCGACCAGGCGAACGCACCGCGAGCGAGACGCCGCGAGTCCTGCTCCTGAGTGCGACAGGGAGGCCGCATCGAAAGTGAGAAAGATGTATTCAGAAGTGAAATAGTCTGCTGGCTGAGCACATCATCATTAACGAGCCACTGAGGGCGGAGGGCAGCGAAGAGGCAGAGGGGGCGGCAGGTGCCGCCGCTCCCACGGGCCTCACCTGCGCGCGATATTGTCCCTTACCAAGCTAGTACCTAGGGAACATAATTCCACAAGCGCGTGTAGGATCTGAAGGTTTTGATCTCAGTAATATTTTCGAGTTCACATACATTAATATTACGAGAAATGTCTGTGTTTTTCCGTATGGTATTAAATACTTGAATGTGAACCAGCTGAAATTGTGACAAAAGACATTGCAAACTGTTTGCCATAAAAACAATCATATTTAATCATTCAGAATACTAATATCACGTAAACAACATACCTAGTCTCACTAACCAATGATAGAAGTATTTTATTCGTAAACTAGAGTCACAAAGATTATAGGAATTTTGTAATAAGCTTAACGGAACTTAAATATTTCACGTGCAAACAAATAAAATGTTACTCAATAAAATTAGATTTTTATTTATTTCCTGCAATTCCTGCATTAAAGTATTTTTACACCTAGATATCTTGACGATCCCTTGTCTAGATTTAGTATTAACGTAAGTACGTTCTTAATTGGTGTAAATAAAAAACTGTAAAACACATTATACTTTTCTTAGTTAATATTAAACCATAACAAAATACGTATATATAAAACTAACAAAATTTTAATGTTACCATGTTTCAAGCCGCACTAAAAACAAGTTACCGAATTCTCAACAACACTTTGTTTCTCGCGATAAAACTTTGTTTTGTGACATTGAGTTCACAAACCGACCAAAGATATCTGCAATACATTTATTGTACGCCTTTCTTAAATAAATATTTTATTATGTATGGCGTATTTTAGCTTTGATTTTATTACCTACATCAATGACTGGGTCCATACTTCTACTTAACGCTATTTAAATATAAATCTCTTTTTCCTTCATATTATTTACGTGATAGTTGATAGTCTTAGCAAATATTCAATCAAAATTTATGTTTGGTTTAATACTGATAGGATACTGTATGTATTATTGTGAATAAATAAATGATTTCCATAGAATAATTTTTACTTCAAGTTGAAACCATACACGAGACACGAATATAAACCCCAAAATTATGTGACAGCTCCTAAGTAAACATTCGGAGAAATATAACAGCTTGAATAAAAACTAGACAGTCTTACGCCAACTTTACGCCCAGTCGTCGATACACACAATGCCGGGGTACTTAATAATTTAATTCCAAAAAGCAATCATTGCTAAACCTCAACAAATCCACTCGGATGTAATGCAATTAACCCCCGACTGCAGCGTCCAAGTTAATTAATTACCGACCTGACGAAAAAATGGCATCACCAGCTGGACTAGTTTATCATTTAGTTAATATTACAATGACCCGGCAATAATTCGTTCACGCACATTAAAATTAATGTGAGAAATGTTTGGTAGGCGAGGTATCGTCACCACATTGGTGGATCAAGATTCTAACATCAATATGCTAATATTAAAAAGTATTTTTCAATTATTACTCGATTGTATCCGCGTTTGACTCATGATCAGTTGCAGGCTATGTAAATATACCTGTTTTGTCTTCGCATTTGAAATTTCCTAACCTCTTTATACATACTCCACAAATATATAAGTAACCTTTGATTAGTAGAAGTATAATAACTTTACTAAGACTATACGTAGAAGGCTGATTGAAGAAAGGCTTACTGTGAATAAATGACAATTATTTCTTAAGTAAATACTTTTTAGGTTTAATAGCTAATTTATTAGTTCCGAATTTTCATCAAATTATGTAACTTAGAAAGCTTTCCAAACGCTTTACAAGCATAGCCAATTCGTCAATAAGACTGTAATTATTTATTGAGTCCCTCCCGTCGACCCTCGCGGTCAGAGGTGTGGAACACGTGTTACAATCCTAAACTCTCCGAAACAACGCTCTTTCAATTTGCTACGCTCTCGAGGTCGTAACACGCAATCACTTTGTACAGATGAGCAATAAAATTAAGGGGCGTTTATGATTAATGTTTAATGCACCTTGATCTACTTAATATTTTGTTAAAACGCAATAGAATTAGCAATATATACAGCTGTTGCTGCTGGATTTAGAGTTTGCAAAAATATCTTTAGTCAAGTCTAAATTTTCTTTACGGACTATCTACCTGAATATATTGTATTTTCGCGAAATGAATCTAGACGAACGTTTATTTATTTATACGTTTTAAAACAATATGACGTTACAAATTTTACATACATACATCAATTATATAAGAACATCAATCTCTAGTCAAGTAATAAGTCATTTATTTAAAATGAACGTAGTTACGTGATTAATTACACGATTAGTAAACTACTGATTAAAGGAATCAAACGGTTGTATAAACATTTCTATCATCCTACTCTATATGTATAAAAAAATCAGAATATCAATTAATTTCGTATTTCATTAACTCATTATTATGATTGTTCATGTTAAAACATACAGAGATTGAACCTTAAAGGTTCATTTCAATTCATTAATATTCCAATCTTTTGCACAAAAAGAGCTTGAAAGGTAACTCGATTCCGAATCTTGCGTGCGAACCGTTAAATTAAAAATAAATATTGTGAAACGTCAGTATGTTACGGACGGGAGCTGGAAAATATCAGGGAAAATTGAAAAAAGGCAGACCGGCTGATGTCGGTTCGCAAGGGTGGCGTGGGGTAAGGTGAATCTTTTTGTGAAGTAGAGAGAATTAATTTAACCCGCTGCGGGGTTACACGACATGGCGGTAATTGAAAAGTTTGCTCGCGCCCGCCGCTCGCCGTCTTGACGACACTTTGCTTTTGCTTGAGACTTTGTGATCACTGCTATACTTTAATAAATAAGATAAGATTACAATAATTTCAGTTTTTGGACACTTAATTTGTGCTTAATCTTAAGTAGAAAATATAATTGACTGACCATTACTACCGAAATAAAAATCTAAAATTATTTTGTGTTAAATAATTTTAGTTAATAATATTATATAACTATTTTGAAGCCGTGTGCGTAAATATGATAAACTAAAAAAGTGTTCGTCATAATGAAAACAAATGGTTACGGATATTTAAACATATACAACGTAATAATAAGGATATTGATAATATGGTAATAAAAACTAGTTATTAAAATGTAGTTAAGTTAACACGATAAATATATCTCGTAGCGTGTTTGCGTCGCGTAGCTCGTAGCACCATCGATTTAAAATTAATTTCAAAAAGTTAAATTGAGGATCACGATTGTTTGATCGTTCGGAAGAAAATTAGAAATTTGCAAATGTTAGGTATCTGACCTAGTTTTCATCCGGTAGCTTTTATCTACAGGGTGACATTTTTAATAGTAAAATGATAAAATCGTGTATAAATTCCATTATCCAAAGTTTTAATTATCAATTTTCTTTACAGACACGTAAGCGATCAACATTCTGTGCCTATGTATCCGAATATAGTATTTTTTCGCAAAATGAATCTAGGACGAACGTTTATTTATATATACGATTCAAAACAATATAACGTTACAAATTTTACATACATAAATCAATTATATTAGAACAAAGAAATTATATACAGGCAAAGAAAAAACACATGAAAGCAAAGAACAAAAATATTGACAAAACAGCAAAAATAAAACGCAAACTAAACGTGACGGTGGTAAGTCAGTTAATACCAATTCATAAAGAATCATTTATAAAATTTCATTTTAAACAACCATGAGAAACGTGTATTTGCGGTAAAGTATTAGATAGGTAGGTATAAACAAAAATATGAAAGTATTAATATCGAAAAGTTAGAGAGTTACCCAGGACCATCAGGCTGGTTTTCTACGCTGGATGCCCTCTGCCCAACTTGGGGGACAAAGAACTTTAAGTCAAGTCAATATGTAAAAGAAGTAGTAGTATAATTTATATACGAAAAAGTAGATTTGTATATTGCTCTGTCTTGTTCTATTCTTGCGGTCGTGAAGACTCCTTCAAGTCCTTAATTAACGAGGTGACCCTGCCGATAGCTTTGACAAAATTCTACTAGCTTGAACCTCCTCTACGGGTAGGGATCCGTCACTGTTCGTGGTTAATTTTTATATTCACTATTTATGTAGTGTAGGGCTAAGAATCCGTATCACCTTTACATATATGACAGGCCACCGGCTGGCAGGCTACGTAAAAATAGCCTACATCATATTAGGCATAGACGTTGCCTCAACGGTGTGGTATAAGTTTCGTGAGGGCGTATAATTACGCGAGCGAGTAAACATATAAAGGTAATCCGGGCCGCGGCGGCACAAAGTGATGCTCGTGAATAATTTAACGTCGGAGCACCTGCGGCGAGACCACACTTCCCTACTTTTAGTCCAGGGTTGCTACACTTTAAACTTTTCGCTATTTCTTTATATATAAGTACTTAGTAGTGTAAGTTTTGGAGAACGTTTTCGTTTTAAGCATGAAAATAAATTAAAATGCTTTCTTTAAAAACTTATTACGAATGTATTAATGAATGTTGTAAATTATCAAGTATTTCTATTGATTGTGTCTGTGTGATGGAGTTTCTATTACCGGTGAAACAAATAAATCAAATCGAAATCATTTCTTCATATAGGTAACACAATGTACACTTATTAATGTCAAAAAAGAAATACATATTAAATTCTTCTAATTTTACATTTACTGTCAGTTCTCAAATCAAGGGCGTCGAACGGAAGAGAAGAACTGGCAACAAACTCACCGCCACTCTTGTTAATCGCAATGTTTTTTGTTTTACACAATGTTTGTAAGGAGCTGCAACCATTACACCATGTTCCCCATGACATCCTTAGTAATAAATAATAATAAAATAAATTAAAAACAAAGATTTGTCCTCTTGGTGAATCGCATGGTGAAATAGGAGCACGCGCTTACATGTTCGTGGGACCAATACGCAAATACATAGTAAAAATAACTAACATCACCGCATACACGAATTCAAGTCCGACCAGTCACCACAAGTAGCACCCGTTCACGAGTATGACGCATGGCCAGCCATCGCTGTAGAGGGTTGACGAAAGAAACAGAAGCAGTATTACCTATTTCCTATGTATGAGTTGAGGGACTCTAAACATTACTGCTATTAGCGACGACCCTAAATTGTAAGTTACATAGAATCGCAAAAGCTTTGTTACGTGTGAGTATGAGAACCGGCACCCGACTTGCTAACGACATGGGATGCTATGAATATTCAATTATTCTTAGAGTTCTGCTTAATTTCAGAGATTTAAATTTATCCAAAGTCATCTACATAAGTATATTTATGGATGAAACTATTATTGCTCTTAGTTTGACTCATGATTAAGTTTTAAATATAATTTTATAATTTAGAGTGTTGGCCTAAGGGATTCAGCGAGCAACTCTGATCCCTGAGGTCCATAGTTCGATCCCCGGCTTGCATCAATGGACTTTCCGTCTATGTGCTCACTCAACACTCACTCGTACGGTACGGTAAGGAAATCATCGGGAGCCAATGACCATTGGCCTTAGACCCATTAAAGCGTGTGTGAGGCAGAAGACTGACCACCTACTTGCCTATTAGAAACAAATACAGAAATCTGAGGCGTAGTCCTAATAGGTTGAGGTCCCTCAGGGTTTCTACATTTATCAGTATAGTAGTAGATATATAGTACAAAATACATTTGTACTTTACGATACGTCAAGAACATAACTTGACGTTATCTGTCACCTTCATGTGACAGATAACGTCAAAGTTAATGTATGAAGGTGTATATCCTAATTTGATTAAGGTATATTTTATTTGAATGTGTAAACACACATAAACTAAAGACTTCTGTGAACTGTTTACTGTAAAAGTATTGAAAAGGAATGAAAACAAAGACTACAAAAATGACATATGAGAGCGAGGCGGGATGAAAATTGAAGCGATCCTGATGTCTACTAGTTTTATTTCACTCAATATTTCAACGCTCCGCGACAATACAACCTGCTGCGAGTGTGATGTGCTGTATAATGGATTGTATCCCAATATGGAGTTTGCTATTGTGCAATGTTTTTGATCGTTCGATGTCGATTCATCACGACACAAAGGCTAATTTTCTATAAGCTTTTCCGCTATTGAGTAATAAATTTGAATAATTTGTCTAATAACAAATGTGGATTAAATTGAAAAGGTTTTATGCCGTTTTTAGCCATTATTAAACCCTTTTTCTGGTGTTGTTAATTAAACATATTTGTTAATGTTTCTGAGCTAAAAAAGTTTTATTGTCGTCAAAAATTTTGGAATCCTGGTCTACGGTGTTAGACTGTAAAACGAAAGACGAAACCCTTCGTTTCGTCTTTCGTGTTTCATTTTATTGTCAACAGGATTTCTAGTCGACTGACAGATGACACAAAACATCATATTATGTCCGTTTGTACACTAACAATCAACGGAGTTTTGTCTTTCGTTTAAAATTCTTACCCCTACTTACTAATCAAGCGCAGACCGATTTTAGCGCAACTCACTTAGCAACACGCAACTATGCAGCCAATTTCAACTTATCCCGCTTATTTCTGGTTCTTAAGCGAACATAAAATGTACTTATTCTACCAACTTAGCTTTTCACATATTATTGTTACCCATTAATTAATGGATTTAGTTTTCAATATTTTTATGAACGTTAGGAATACTGTGCTATATTTCTGTGTTATTAATATAAAATGTTATTATTAATTGATGGTATCATAATATTATTATTATAAAATATAATAAGTATCGCAATACATCGAGGAAAGGCTGCCAGCGTTAAAGGTCCACTACCACAGGGACCAGTTTTTAAATTTGTTTTCATTTTCTATTTATAAATTTTAATAATTAATATTATTCCTATGTATAGCCTACAAAACCCTAGAAAATTGTAAATACTGAATATAAATAGAATTGCTTACCATCTTTATTCATATTGGCCTGAAAGCACTTGGCAAGGCGACAAGCGCGGCACTGGTTGCGATGTGTCTTGTCAACTGGGCAGCGTCCCTTCAACTCGCCACCTGCTTTGCACGTATATACTCGATTTCGATGGATAGACCGCTTGAAGAACCCCGAGCAACCTATAAAAGGCCTCATTTTAAATACAGATTTAGCATTTATCGGCTCGTAAAGGTTACTTTATTACAAGTGTAAATTTGAATTATAAACAATGGTAAATGAAAATATAGAAAACAAAAATAAAGGGTAACTAAGTCAGTAAGTACTGTTATTGGACACTTTCTTATGATAAAAATCCTTATTAGTAATTTAAGTTAGACTTAAATTACTTTTTAGTCTTAAGTTAGGCTAGATCGTAATGGTCCATGATGTCTCAGTAAAGACATATGTATTTAAAAAAAGACGTGTAAATTATTATTATTCCAATAGTGATTTCAGACCTGGTGCTTTCCTCACTCAACAAATAAGTATATAGCGAGGAAATGCTATATAGTACAAACTTTTTAATGTACTATGTGATTTTATGATGTAAAAATTTAATCAGCATCTAAGAAGCCGGTTGTTTCGTAGCTTTGAGATCAACTCATGGAGATGTATAATTACAAATCAATTAATTTTAAGTTATCTCTTTTACCGAAAACCTATTTATAAAATTAACTTACCATCACAGCTGTATATCCCGTAATGTTTTCCGGAACTTCTGTCACCGCATACATTGCAAGGGATGTCCAGAAGCCTATCGCCTTTAAAAAAATATTAATCTTTATAATCATATCTGTCATCGTAGGTAGTTAATTTATGCAGTTTAATTCAATGTATTAAGTGATATCTGGCATTAAGTGTTTAAAGCGCAAAGGATTGATCACCCAAATAGCGTAAATAAACGTCTATCCTCCTCATTAGGTTTGAAATGTCAGAATATTTATATGAAAATTTTAATATAGATAATGAGGTGAGAACAAAATCATCAAAAGCTTCAATAATCTTCGTTTTCGGGAAACCTTCACCTTGAAATGTATAAATTTCGGGGATATTAAGGAATCATAAGATGTTTGCTCAATAATTGACGCTCCAAAGTACGCCACTCCCTTACCCAAAACGGATTAGTCAGATTACACCAATCTCGCTAACAACCGAGATGTTTTTGTTGCGTTTACTGAAACCATCCCCTGCCTACTCAATTGCCCCTTTTCCTTAACGTTTTGTTGCCGACTTAATTTACACCATTAGTATAAAAAACAGTCAACGCTTTTCAACAAGGTATTTATTATGAATAGGTAAGATGTTAAAAATCTATATAATTAATTGCTGAAACTGAATGACAACAAAAAGATGATTTGATTTAATTGTGTTCTTTTCCTGTCATGAATAAAGTGCAAACTGGAACGCATACGACTCCCCCTTCTTAATGACGATTTCTTTACAATTACATACATACATACAGTATCCATTTTTAACACACCATCATTTCCAATTCACAACACATTTTATTACATTTATACAAACCAAAGTAGTTTTCAAATATAATATACCATGATTTAGATTTTATGTAAAATAAATAAAAAAACGAACTGATAATTTCCTTCTTTTGAATTCATTTATATCGTGACTTTGCTTATCATGCTCTGTATGAGGTTTAAGTTTCCATTTAGTTTTAGTTATTAGGTATTACTTTTTTGTTTTTTATTATGTGGTTGCTTGTTTATACATATGTGTAGGTTTATGTAAAATTTATGTTGCCAATTTTTTTTTAATTTTATGCATGCACATTGTTTTAGAACTTATAAATAAATACTCGTAAATGAGATAAAACCAAACTTATATTAAAAGTGTTCAACTACTCCATCCGTGTTGTTCGGTCGATTTCTGATACATTTCGGTGTAAGAACCGCCGGTAATTCTTTACAGCGCGAATCCTTTTTAAGAAATTTCTCTTCGTTTTTATCAAAAGGTACTTAGACGACTTAACTGATTGTCTTTTGGACGGCAAAGCCGTAAAGTGCCGTAATTATCTAATCCATATTTATATAAAATGTATATTTTTTATTATTTTTTGACGTAGCATAACTATAATGTTATGTGTGTGTACGTATATCATACATGTTTATAAATAACCGTTTAAAAGCTTACACGGTGTATTTGGTACATTGTAAAATATCAATTAAGGATGAAGGATATTATCAATAAACGTAAATTTATTGACTGTTTGTTAGATTTACTTCACTGTCTCCCTGTTACTCTCTCGTGCTAAGGAATGATAAAGATAGAAATACAATATCTAATATATAAAATTTTCGTGTCACGGTGCTTGTAATTAAACTCCTCCGAAATGGCTCGACCGATTTCCGTGAAATTTTGTGTGCGAATCGGAAAATATATATTTTTCATCCCACTAAATGTGAAAGGTACAAACCACGCCTAAAATTTTTAGTTAAATTTTTTGATAAAAAAAATTGTTTTTATTTTTTATTATACCACTTACAAAAATACACACAACCCTTAATTTTCACCTATCTATGATCAACCCTATTTTTTATAATAGTAGATAGTTACTTTTATTGAACTAAAATTTTTTTTCTAGAAATACATAATATACATGGCAAAACAACGTTTGCCGGGACAGCTAGTATTTTATACATTTTTATCTGCTACAGTACTGATACAGTTAGAAAAATATTAACAATGCAAATTTATACGGCTTTATAATTAAAACAATGTTACACAAATGCCTGATCCGCTAATACCACTTGAATTTGTATCAAATAGTCACGTGACAGGTAATACAGTAATTTTCATATTAATGTTACCACAGCAACCGCGGAGAGGCGTCTAATGGAATGAAATTAATTGTGTACTTTTTCTATTCGGCTATAATACGTATAATTCAATTAGAATCTCTTATAAAGATAGAAACAGTATGTATTTGTTTAATCTGATGAAATATAAATAATAAAAATATTAATAATAAAAATGTAATCTGTAATCTTATTACATATAATAATAATAAAGCCCGTTTTATTTCCAATCATGGCAAAAACAAATTATAATATACAGCTTAGATTATTTTACCATTTTTATACATTTTTTTTTCTTTTGCTCGTTATCCTATATCCTAGCTACTTTCAGTCCCGTCAATCGGAACGCCTTTACACGTAAAGGCCTCCTCCAGCTTTTTCCAACTGACACTCTCTATGGCTCACTTTCTCCATTCGTTTCCTGCTACCGCTTCTACTTCTTCTATCCACCTTTTTTGGCCGACCTCTTCTCCTTCTTCCTCTTGGTCATTTCCATACAGTCTTTAAAGTCCATCTTTTATCTGTGTATCTTGCTATATGGCCCGCCCATTGTCACTTCTTTTTTAGGCCATAATATAAGGCATCTATCACTTTTGTTTTTCGTCTTATTTTTTCGCTTTTGTAATCTTATTATTATCGTACAAATTACATTTTTAACGTATAAATTACGGCTTTGCTTCGCAGAACTTTTTTTTAGTATTAGAATGATGACGGAATGTTGTATAAATGAAAGGTTGTGAAATTATTCTTCACAGACAATTCACACCAATTGACCGAGTCCCATGCTAAGCTGGTGAAGCTTGTGTTATGGGTACTAGGCAACGGATAAACATACATATAATAGATAGATAGACATATAAATACATATTTAAACACCCAAGACCTAAGCACAACACCAAATGCTCATCACATCGATGTTCGTCTCAGCCGGGGATCGAACCCGGGACCCATGGATTCGCAGTCAGGGGTACTAACCACTAGACCAATGAGTCGTCTATAGAGATATGCCATCACACATTTTACACACAAACACATACACATCAATTATATTAGAGCATAAGCAAGCTAGCATTGTATCTGCCAGAGCCGTGTTCGGTGTTATCTAAGCATCATTAAGATCAAAGTGTTAATTTCAGAACACCTATGTATTGCTCGGAGGGTTGTAATGTATGTGTTGGTGCATCGATGCGTGAGCTGTGCGTTGAACTCAGACTAATCTCGACTTTATTGTGACAATCGTGTGAAAAAACACACATTGCCGTCAAATAGAATCAATTTCATTTTGACTAGCGCTTAACAGGGGTCAAAATGGACTTATATTACAGATATTTATTATTTATAGTTCAAAGTAGAACAAATAGTACAATCAATTATATTTTATAGTAGGTACTCGTGTAAACTAAAGATTATCACAATGAGTTTTATTATCTTTATGATTTATAAGAGCGCAATTACGGGTTGAACTGAATTATATAATTAATAAATAAAATTAAGTATAGTTTTATTAATGTTTTTTGTGTAAATCAATCGATAATATCGCTAGACGGCGGACTCCCATTCGATTATGAATAATAGGAATAGAAATATAGATATATCTTAGGAATATTATTGGGGAAGTGGCTACAGTCCTCTCGGTCCTACATCACAATCGTCGGAGAGATTAACAAATTTATAATTTAAAAAAATCATAAGTAATGTTTATAACGGTTTTAATTAAATTTCAGTATTAACTTTATGTAATAAGAGTTACTAACAATGCGACATGCGCAGATTTTTCTTTAGCCAAAGTAAAAATAGGTTCAATAAATGTATGACATAATATGTAGAGGCAATACTAAGCCTATCATTATTCAATTCAATAGTTACATGTATGTAGAGCTTGGCACACAATGTCTATGTTGATTTATCGAACTTCCCGAGATGTGGGCTCATGAAGAATGACTCTGGGTTGAATTAACATCTTACTTTATACAGTCTGAATTTATAAATATACAGGGCGTCCCAAGACTATGGGACATGAAGGGAAAGTACCTCAAGTATTTGGGGACTTTCTTACGACCAAACACGATTATTGTAATTTGACGCAAACATTTTACGTTATTCCTCTCTTTAAAAAATCTATATTACTTATGAAGAATTATTATTTTTTGTCCATTCTCTTGATTGGCATCAAAAAAATAAGGGGTGTTTTTTTCACATTTCACATACTTACTTTCCAAAATAAAATAGTCTTCTTTTCGCAAAATATCCTATCTACGATATTTAAGGTAATTTCCCTTGATGTCCCATAGTCTTGGGACGCCTTGTAGGTATATAGTTTTTATAGTTCTTTAAATAAATAAATCAGTGGCGCCACAACCTTTTTAGGTCTGGGTTCATGAACTTTTGTCAATTTAATAGGCAAGTAGGTGATCAGGCTCCTGTGCCTGACACTGCCGTCGACTTTTTGGGTCTAAGCCGGTTTCCTCACGAAGTTTTCCTTCACCGTTCGAGCGAATATTAAATTGCGCACATAGACAGAAATTCCATTGGTGCTCAGCCGGGGATCGAACCTACGATCTCAGGTATGAAAGTCGAAAAAATAGATACAATACAAAATAATTAAAATATTGTACAATGTACGAAAATTTATTATATCTAGGCTAATAAACTCTAAATAAATTTTTTCAAGTTTTCTAGGTACCATAAGATTTAGTCTATAAAATTTAAATCTTTCGTCTGTGTCAGTATACTGAACGCGGTAAACTCAAAAACTATCTAACAGATTTTTATATTTTATCACCAATGGGTAGTATGATTCCAGAAGAAGTTTACATGTGTAGATTTATGTAAATTTACTGAAATATAAATGTTGAATATGTCTCAAAAAGTCTTGTCAAAAATACAGAAATTCCAAGCAGATGAAGCTGCGGATGAAAGCTAATATTTAATAGAACGGTGTTGTACACGTTCAAATTATGAATATAAAAATTTAACAACCTAAACTAGAATTAAACTAAAGGAAATAAATAAATCAAATCGGTACTTGTTCTATTGTGGTTCCACGTATAAATTCATCCAACCATCTCCATAAATGCAATTCAAAAGTACGGAAGCAGGAAGAATTTCTAATGATATATTTTTAAGAGAAAGTAAATTTCAGTAAAGATAGGATTTACCTATTTGAAGATAAATGTATATTTGCTATTATCATCTTATCACTCTTTTATGAATTGAGGTGACATTTAATGAATTTGTAAGAGGATATCTTGTCTTGACATTTAATTTTCGAACCTCCTGTAGACCAAGAACGGTTGAAGCCCTAACGAGGGTGAGACAAGCAAAGTTTCGGGACCGTCGCGTCCCTAAGTTACATTAATAGACTTTTCCAACACACTGATCAAGGATCTTATATAAAGACTAATGTCTGTTAGTAATATGAGGCAAATATACAATCTTACATAAGGATTTATTTTGGTATATATTGAAACATATAGCTCTTCAATTCGGTTCGGATTTGGTGGGAACAAATTTTACCTCTACGAACTACATTATTTTGGAGTATTTTATTAGAATATTTGTAAAAGTGTAGTTAAATATATATTGAAACATATAAATACTCTTTAATTCGGATCGAATTTGGTGGGAGCAAATCATACCTTTACCTTTCCATTTAT